CCAACAGGGTTCTTTGAAGATGCATCACTGACATTTCTCTGCATGTAGGTCACTGATAGGGTTCTATGCAGGGTTCTATGCATGAATGTCACCAACGGGATTCTATGAAGGAACATCATAAGAGTTCTTTGCATATGGATCACTGATAGTTCTTTGCACATATGTTGCTGACAGGGTCCTATACAGGTACATCACCAACAGGGTTCTATGCAGGAACATCATCATCAGGGTTTGTTGCATATGCATCGCTGATAATTCTATGGACATATGTCGCTGACAGGGTTCTATGCAGGTACATCACTAACAGGGTTCTATGCAGGAACATCAACAGTGTCCTGTGCAGGGTTCTATGCATGAATGTCACCAACAGGATTCTATAAAGGAACATCATCAGCATTCTTTCCATATGCGTCACTGATAGTTCTATGCACATATGTCACTGGCAGGGTTCTATGCAGATACATCAACAGGGTTCTATGCATGAATGTCGCCAACAGGCTTCTATGCAGGAACATCATCATCAGGGTTCTTTGCATATGCATCACTGATAGTTCTATGCACATATGTTGCTGATAGGGTTCTATGCAGGTACATCACCAAAAGGGTTCTATGCAGGAACATCAACAGGGTTCTGTGCATGAATGTCAACTGGATTCTATGCTGGAACATCACTAGTAGGGTTCTATGCATGAATGTCACTGGCAAGGTTGTATGCATGAATATCACTAGAAGGATTCTACGAGGGTGCATCACCAACAGGGTTCTGTGCAGGAACATCAACAGGGTTCTATTCATGATTTCACCAACAGGATTCTATGCAGGAACATCAGCAGCAGGGTTCTGTGGAGGAATATCACTGGCAGGATTCTATGTATGGGCCACACCCAACAGGATTCTAATTGTTGCAGTCCTGCTTAGGTCCTGCTGTTTCCCATAGACAGCTGTTTGACCACTGTGTAAGGAAAAATGCTAGAGTATGTAGTCTTTTCTGAGCCAGCACAATGAAGTGGGTTGAGCAATGGACTAAGTCAAACAAAGGTTTGAATGCGCACTCATCCATGGAAAGCAGTTGAGAAACCTTGGGCAACTCATTCTTTCATCTCAAGAGGAAGTTTATGGTGTATGTTAATCTTGATAGATTTTGCTAAGAAATGTGTCAAGGCAGCATCTACCAGGTCCTTCCTCTTATTGAGTCACTTTTATGTTGGAGTCAACTTGAAGACACATGACGAAGATAGACCTTTGCTACGATTCAATAAGGTCCTTCCTGTGTTCTAGATCTTTAAAAAGGACCTTGTAGTAGAGATTATACCCAATATGATAGATAATGCCGGACAAATATGGATATTGCAATTGAATCATAGATCACCTTGCAATTATAGGAAGAGAACCCCATGGGGAAATTCATGGGGTCACCATATGTGTTGGAGTTCAGCCTGTGATTGTGTTTCAGGATCAGGGTGCTTTGGAAGTGGGAAGTGATGTCAGTGAATTACAAGATGGCAATGGTTTGGTCAATGATACTGATGCAGAGAAGGAGCAGGAGATCCTTGTGCAAAGTGTAGATTCCCATGAGAATGTCCCTGAAGGGTGTGGGGATGATGGTGTACTCCCTGAATTGTTACCATAGAGTTCACAGGATTTGGGACTTGAAAACAACTGGGCACCTGATCCAGCTGCAAAACTTAATGAGCGAATAGATAGATGGCAGGAGATTAGTTAAAACAGGCAGACCGAACAGTGCCTTTGACGGTATGCCAGAATCCGACAGAAAAAGATAAGGGAACCTCAATTAAAGCTAAACCAGTTTCTGACTGCTTGGGATAACTTAATGAGGCGATAAAAGTTCCAAATATGGAGAATATAGTCAGATGAAGCATCATTTAGAAGCAAGTGTAGTTTGTGTCCTTGTTTCATGGAAGCCTTGCTGGGAAGATCGTTGTCTAAGTATTTCTTGTTTCACGGTTTGGATTCTTGGATTGTACGAATGCCTACTCAAGCCTTGGAATTAATGTTTTCTGGTTTTCTGAATTGTTTATTTATTTACTTTATTTGTATACCGCTCTTCTCAGCCCTTAGGTGACTCATTTTATTAGAGAAGTGTGGACTTTGCTTTTATGGACTTTGCTGAACTTTATCCTGGACTACTTTTGCTCCTGCTTATCTTCTTACCTAATTGGATTTACCTATTCCTTTAAAGTGCTTTTTTTACTTTGCTGTTTTTTTTTTAATAATCTTCAATAAAAGGATTGTTTTCCAGTCAATGGTGTGGTGTTTACAGTCAGAGGGCTTTTCCTGTCCTGGAGTGCAATGATATGTCAATGGATGACTTGAAGGCACACACAAGACTATTGACAATGGAAACTAATCCTTATGTCAACTGAAAGTCTTATCTGATTTTCTCGGTAATACACAACATGATTCTAACCAAGGTACTTTTTTAGAATATACCACACATGGCCAAACTTCAGCCCTTCAGGTGTTTTGGACTTCAACTCCCACAATTCCTAACAGCCTACCGGCTGTTAGGAATTGTGGGAGTTGAAGTCCAAAACACCCAGAGGGCCCAATGCTTGGTATTTCTGCATAGGAGGATTATTTACCTGTTGACTAATAAAACTACCATGCAGATCAAGTTTTTGCTCTACTTTCAGAGCAAAAGAAATGTTCTCCCATCACATCAGTGCTTCCCTTTCCATGCTGTCAATCATAGGAGCAGCCACCTGTTTTCGACACACACGGTCAACTCTAATGGGTGCAAGCAGATCTTTGAGGATCGTTGACCTTGGGTTTCTAGCTCGGACTTCCCTTGACTCTGTCTTTTGCTTTGGAGAAAACGGTATTCCAAGCTGCTGCTGAGAGCAGCATCATCGCCCGAGTTAACCCAACAAACCTAGGGTGCATCTACACTGTACATCAGTTTGACACCACTTGAACTACCATGACTCCATGCTATGGAATTATGGGGTTGCAGTTTGATAACCTGCTCTGTTGAAGAGTGTTGGCGCTGCACCAGACTCCAAACCGCAGGGTTCCATAGCATTGAGTCATGGCCAAATGGGACGAAACTGCAAACATTTTACAATGTGGATACACCCCAAGTTAACCTTGGCAGCCCCTTCTTGTACCCAAGAATTGGGTATATTTAGCTTGGAGAAGAGAAGGCTGAGTGGAGACATGAGAGCCAGGTTTCAGTATTGGAAAGGGTGCCATTTATTTATTTGTCGTGTCAGGGCAACCAGTCAATTGTACTACATTTCGAACAGAACAAAACAAACAAACAGACAGACAAAACACAAAATTTGCAAGTTTGGTAGTTGATTAAATGTTCTATGACCAGTATCTGGCCACTTGGAGTACTTCTGGTGTTGCCGCAAGAAGGTCCTCCATTGTGCATGTGGCAGGGCTCAGGGTGCATTGCAGCAGGTTCTTACCTACAAAGCCCTAAACGGTTTGGGACCTGCCTACCTTCGTGACTGCATTTCTGTATACGAACCCACACTATCTCTTTGATCATCTGGAGAGGCCCTGCTCGCGCTCCCACCTCCTTCACAGGCGCGATTGGTGGGGACGAGGGAGAGGGCTTTTTCGGTGGTGGCCCCTCGACTCTGGAACTCACTCCCCAAGGACATCAGGCATGCCCGAACTCTGGCAGTCTTTGGTAGGAGCCTGAAAACATGTTTGTTCCAGTGTGCCTTCCCAGAATAAGGAAACACCCAGCTATATGTCCCTAAATGCACTTTATCAATGATCTAGGATTGTCTGCACGCCCTTTCCTCTCCGAAATTCTATCCTAGTTATATATTTCACCTGGTCAAGCTCAGCATTTTTTAAAATTTTTTAATTATTACATTTGGCCCAGCCATAGGTTTTAAGCGTTGTTGTGCTATTGTTAATGTTTACTGCTTGTTTTTTGTTTATGAGTTTCATTTTATTGTTTTGTATTGCTGCTGCTGTTGTTTTTGCTGATGTATTGTGGCCTCGGCCTCATGTAAGCAGCACCGAGTCCCTTGGGGAGATGGTAGCCGGGTACAAATAAAATTATTATTATTATTATTATTATTATTATTATTATTATTATTATTATTATTATTATTATTATGGCCTTTGGGGTCTCTTCTATGTGAGAGGAAGCCACAGGGAGGAGGGAGCAAGCTTGTTTTCTGCTTCCTTGGAGACTAGGACGCATGGAACAATGGCTTCAAACTACAAGAGAGGAGATTCCATCTGAACATGAGGAAGAACTTCCTGACTGTGAGAGCCGTTCAGCAGTGGAACTCTCTGCCCCAGAGTGTGGTGGAGGCTCCTTTTTTGGAAGCTTTTAAACAGGGCTGGATGGCCATCTGTCAGGGGTGATTTGAATGCAATATTCCTGCTTCTTGGCAGAATGGGGTTGGACTGGATGGCCCATGAGGTCTCTTCCAACTCTTTGATTCTATGATTCTATGACTCTGGCACAAGCCCAAGCCCGAAGATACAATACAGCAAAATAAAATACAAAGGAACAAAAAAAATACATAAAATAATAAAATACATAAAATAACAAGATAAGATAAACAGTGCAAAATAACATAATGGAAAGATGAAGACAAAGGGCAGGAAGTTCTTCCTAAACATTAGGAAGAACTTCCTGACAGTAAGATCTGTTTGGCAATGGAATATGATGATGCCTTGGAGTTTGGTGGAGTCTCCTTCTTTGGAGGAGAAGCTGGATGACAATCTATCAGGAGGATTTGATTATATTTTCCTGCATGGCAAAATAGGGTTGGACTGGATGGCCTTTGGGGTCTCTTCTAACTTTTCTCGGAGAGCCTGTCTCCTAGTGATGGGCTTCCTAAAAGACGTTGCCCTTTCGTCTCTCCACCGCCTGAAATGCAATCTGCCTGTTAGATGACACCGGGGGCTATTTTGGACATGGGAGGCCCTGTCGGCCGCCCAACTGGACTGTCGTAGGGTGGATGAAGGGAGGGGCCGGAGGGAGGCTAAGCCCTGGAGCTCTGGAGCCACATTGGGGGGACTGAGGGGATCGCTGTCCGCAAGTCCCCAACCTCACTGGGGTTTCTGTTTTGTTTCTCCTTGGGCATACAAGTGGGGAGGCCGACATTCACCGGGTCTCCCCATGCCCCCTTCGCCATCCTCGCCCCCTTGGCGTCCACTCCAGAAGGATCTGCTTTCTGCCATTCCAATGCAAGTGGCCTGTTTCACCCAAGCTTAAACAAGACTCCAGGTAAGCTTCCAGATGTCAAGTTTGAATGCCGAAGGGAGTCTGGATAATGAATGTCTTTGGAAAGAAAGATCTGAAAGATGAGCCGTTTTAGTTGAAATGAACCTGAAAGTTGAAGGTCAAGACTCCAGACTTGAGATAGTTCTCTCTTCAGGGCTTTGCTTGGTGATGATGGAAAGCTGTGGTTTTCAGCTGCTACAAAGAAGGAAACAAAGCTATTCTGCAAGTGGCTTAAACTTGAGATGTTGAAGTTTAGATTTGGCCAGAGTGATACGATTCTTTGGGTGTGATAGAGATGGAGGTGGACACAAACACATATTTGCTTTCTCCCCATTTTGGTTCTGTCCGCTGCTCAGTTTTTTGGCCTTTGGTTAATTTCTCTGACTTCACCGCTCTTTTTCGGTGGGCCTTAATCTTAGCTGCGGCAGCCCCCCTTCCCCGTTCCTCGGCTTGCATTTCTACAGATGGGCTCTGAAAAAAGACGGAGAATGACAGCTGGGTCTATTTTAAGAGCGGTATCTCAGTGACATGGAGTGGCTGCAATGGCAATTATGTCCCCCTTTTTGCGTTCGGTACAGATGAATGCCGATCCATATTGAAGACCCACATTTGTTGTTGGAGGAGGAAAGAGAGGTGTCACTCCTTCTCGTTCATCTGCATTTCTGTTCTATAAATCTTCAGAGATATAAGAGCTGCCAAACTTGGACATAAGTCCCATAGAAGCTACCAGTTTACAATGGCATATGGCTGCAAAAGTGTCCATCCACATTTGAGAGTTTGACTTCTGGGGAATTTGAATACACTATGTAAAGTCCCCAGTGGCACAGTGGGTTAAACCACTGAGCTGCTAAACTTGTTGAACGAAAGGTTGCAGGTTCAAATCCGGGGAGCAGCGTGAGCTCCCACTGTCAGCCCTAGCTTCTGCCAACCTAGCAGTTCGAAAACATGCAAATGTGAGATCAATAGGTACCGTAATATCATAGAATTATAGAATCAAAGAGTTGGAAGAGACCTCATGGGCCATCCAGTCCAACCCCCTGCCAAGAAGCAGGAATATTGCATTCAAATCACCCCTGACAGATGGCCATCCAGCCTCTGTTTAAAAGCTTCCAAAGAAGGAGCCTCCACCACACTCCGGGGCAGAGAGTTCCACTGCTGAACGGCTCTCACAGTCAGGAAGTTCTTCCTCATGTTCAGATGGAATCTCCTCTCTTGTAGTTTGAAGCCATTGTTCCCTTGCGTCCTAGTCTCCAAGGAAGCAGAAAACAAGCTTGCTCCCTCCTCCCTGTGGCTTCCTCTCACATATTTATACATGGCTATCATATCCCTCTCAGCCTTCTCTTCTTCAGGCTAAACATGCCCAGCTCCTTAAGCCGCTCCTCATAGGGCTTGTTCTCCAGACCCTTGATCATTTTAGTCGCCCTCCTCTGGACACATTCCAGCTTGTCAATATCTCTCTTGAATTGTGGTGCCCAGAATTGGACACAATATTCCAGGTGTGGTCTAACCAAAGCAGAATAGAGCATGGGGAGCATTACTTCCTTAGATCTAGACACTATGCTCCTCTTGATGCAGGCCAAAATCCCATTGGCTTTTTTTGCCGCCACATCACATTGTTGGCTCATGTTTAACTTGTTGTCCACGAGGACTCCAAGATCTTTTTCACACGTACTGCTCTCGAGCAGTAGATCAATAGGTACCGCTCTGGCGGGAAGGTAACGGCGCTCCATGCAGTCATGTCGGCCATATGACCTTGGAGGTGTCTACGGACAATGCCGGCTCTTCGGCTTAGAAATGGAGATGAGCACCAACCCCCAGAGTCAGGGGAAAACCTTAACCTTTACCTTTACCTATGCAACAAAATTTGAAAAAAAAATCTGTTCCCTGTTTGAAAGTGTTATTTCCTGTTCAGTTGTGTAGTCTTTACTTTGAAAGTTGTTGTTCTACTCCAGAAACATCGTTTTTGTGCCTGCCACAACTAGGTTGAATTGGTTGAGACTCTGCGATGAGGAACTCATTGAAAGACTATAGCAAAATGTGCTATAGCAGGATGTCTCTCCTGCAAAGACAAAGTTTTTTCAGTTTAATAAACTTTTCCCACATTTTTATGATAGAGCCAATTAGGAAATGACATTTATTATTATTCTTAGTAGTAGTATTAGTATTATTTATTTCAGTGTTTCTCAACCCGGGGGGTTGGGTCACGAAGGGGGATCAGAAGAGTCACCAAAGACCATCAGAAAACACAGTATTTCCTGTTGGTCATGGCGGTTCTATGTGGGAAGTTTGGCCCAATTGTCTTGTTGGCAGTGTCCAGAGTGCCTTTTGATTATAGGTGAACTATCAATCCCAGCAATTACAATTCTGAAATTGTCAAAGTCTATTTTCCCCAAACTTCACCCGTTTTCACCTTTAGGCATATTGAGTATTCGAGCCAAGTTTGGTCCAGATCAATCATTGTTTGAGTCCACAATGCACTCTGGATGAAGGTGAATTACAACTCCCAAACTCAAGGTCAATGCCCACCAAACCCTTCCAGTATTTTCTGTTCGTCATGGGAGTTCTGTATGCCAAGTTTGGTTCAATTCCCTCATTAGTGGAGTTCAGAATGCTCTTTGATTGTAAGTGAACTATATATCCCAGCAACTACAACTCCAAAATGACAAAATCAATCCCCCTCCCCCCAACCCCACCAGTAGTCAAATTTGGGCGTATTGGGTATTTTAGCCAAATTTGGTCCCGTGAATTAAAATCCATCCTGCTTATCAAATATTTACAGTATGATGCATAACAGTAGCAAAAATACAATTATGAAGTAGCAACAAAAATACATTCATGGCTGGGGGTCACCACAATATGAGGAACTGTATTAAGGAGTTGCAACATTAGGAAGGTTGTGAGGTCTGTTGGAAACTAGGCAAGTGAGGTTTATATATCTGTGGAATGTCCAGAGTGGGAGAAAGAACTCTTGTCTGTTGGACGCAAGTGTGAATGTTGCAATTGGCCACTTTGATTAGCCTTTGATGGCCTTGCAGCTTCAAAGCCTGGCTGGTTGCTGCCTGGGGGATCCTTTGTTGGGAGGGCCATCTACTTACTTACTTACTTACTTAGGCGATCCCTCGTAGTCCGAGGATGATGGTCCTCCAAATTCGATGTCGTGGCGGTGGGTTCGTAGGTGATTGTGGAGCCCTATTCTTGATCTGCATCTTCTTCCGCAGTGAGGGCATTGGTTTCCAGGTGGAAGGCGGTCTCAGTCGGGGTTGGCTTGACGTGCCTTCCTCTTCGCACGTTTCTCTCTTTCACCCTTCAGTCATGCTTCTTCAAATTCTGCAGCACTAACACCTCCCAACAAAGGATCCCCCAGGCAGCAAGCAGCCAGGCTTTAAAGCTGCAAGGCCAATCAAGGTGGCCAATGGCAACATTCACACTTGCCTCAAGTAGACAAGAGTTCTTTCTCCCTCCCTGGACATCATTCCACAGATATATAAACCTCACTTGCTTAGTTTCCAACAGACCTCACAACCTCTGAGGATGCCTGCCAGAAATGTGGGCGAAAAGTCAGGAGATAATGCTTCTGGAACATGGCCCGACAGCCCAGAAAGCTCACAGCAACTCAGTGATTCCGGCCATGAAAGCCTTCAAGAACACATGAATATCATTTTTACCATATTATGTATATAATATGGCTTACGTGTGTATGGATTTTGGCATTTCAAAGAGGTTCTGAATCCACTGTACTCCATATTCCTTTTAGCTACCAGCTCTTTTCTATCCCTCTTTGTCTGCACTCCACATTCTGAACATATTTTGCCAAGCAAACCCCATGATAAGTCCTGCTTAGGGTTGCCATCAGTCGGAGATGACTTGAAGGCACACAACAACAATAACAACAACAACAAACTCTTTGTCAATGCGTGATGGAGATTGCCACCATAATAAATGGCTTTAAGCTTTTCTTAGAGAATGATGGATATCAGTGAAGTTGAACTTATGGAAAAACAACCATAGGATAGGGTTATTGTAGTCATAACTTGACCGGGTTTCTGCTAGGGATCCATTGGTTGGGATCCATTGGTGATCTCCACTTATTATGGTATAAGAATGACCCAAACCATGTAGGGCAGTGGTTCTCAACTTGGGGTCCTCAGATGTTTATGGTCTACAACTCTCAGAAACCCTAGCCAGTTTACCAGCTGTTAGGATTCCTGGGAGTTGAAGGCCAAAAACATCTGGGGACCCCAGGTTGAGAACCACTGATGTAGGGTTTGATGGGACATAACCAGCACTTTGAATACATGGATGCATCTACAACATAGTTTGACACCACTTGAACTGCCATGGCTCAATAGTTGTGGGGTCCTGGGACCTGTAGTTTTACAAGATCCTTAGCTTTCTTCTTCTAAAGATTGTTGGTGCCTTACCAAACTGCAACCACCAGGTTCCCAGCACATTGAGCCAAGGTAATTCAAGTGATGTCAACGATCAAGTTGTGCTAATTCTACAGTGTAGCTGCACCCATAGTAGCAGAAAACTGAATGTTCCTAACCAGGACCACAATAGGATCTAACTCAAGTAATTATTTCATATGCTCCTCCATGATTCATGATCTCAAAGGAAAATTGATATCATGGTCTCCATAGAGAACATCATTTGGTGATGTGATGGAAAAACAGCTCATGCAGAAAGTGACCCAATGTTCTGATTTGAGAAGGATGGGCAGGATTTTTGGGTAGATGCTTCATCATCCCAATTTGGGTGATGTGATGGCTTGGCATATCTCTTGCAAGTTGCTATTAAGGTCTGTTTTGCACAGGCATGGGCAAACTTGGGACCTCCAGGTGTTTTGGACTTCAACTCCCACAATTCCTAACAGCCTACCGGCTGTTAGGAATTGTGGGAGTTGAAGTCCAAAACACCTGGAGGACCCAAGTTTGCACATTTCTGGTCTAGCAGATGATTCTCATTCCAAGTGTGGCTATCAATTCAATCCCTTTCGTTGGGTGAGTCTCTTGAGCTGGTTGTTAGGTATGCCTGCATTCATCATGAAATTCTCATTTCAGTGTTTATTTTGGCTTTGAAACCAATATATTAGAAAGGAAACAGAGATTATGATATGTGCCTCAGCTTGGCTGCTTGGAAATGAATGGATACCTGGCAATACCAATTTTAATTAAATGCTGATGAGTGACTGGGTGTGAAATAGCATGGTGGTGTCTTCAAAATAGTTATGCTTTGTACTTTCCAATGGTCAAAAGATATTTGTGAGCTTTCTGTTACTATGGGTGCAGCTACACTGTAGAATTAGCACAACTTGATAGTTGACGTCACTTGAACTACCTTGGCTCAATGTGATGGGATCCTGGGAGTTGCAGTTTGGTGAGGCACCAACAACCTTTGGAAGAAGAAGGCTAAGGGTCTTGTAAAACTACAGGTCCCAGGACTCCATAGAATTGAGCCATGGCAGTTCAAGTGGTGTCAAACTATGTTGTAGATACACCAATGTATTCAAAGTGCTGGTTATGTCCCATCAAACCCTACATCAGTGGTTCTCAACCTGGGGTCCCCAGATGTTTTTGGCCTTCAACTCCCAGAAATCCTAACACCTGGTAAACTGGCTAGGATTTCTGAGAGTTGTAGACCATAAACATCTGAGAACCCCAGGTTGAGAACCACTGCCCTACATGGTTTGGGTCATTCTTATACCATAATAAATGGAGATCACCAATGGATCCCAACCAATGGATCCCTAGCAGAAACCCGGTCAAGCTATGACTACAATAACCCTATCCTATGGTTGTTTTTCCATATGTTCAACTTAACTGATATCCATCATTCTCTAATAAAAGCTTAAAGCCATTTATTATGGTGACCATCTCCATCACGTATTGACAAAGAGTTTGTTGTGGTTGTTGTGTGCCTTCAAGTTGTTTCCGACTGATGGCAACCCTAATCCGAACTTATCATGGGGTTTTCTTGGCAAAATATGTTTAGAATGTGGATTGCACTCAAAGAGAGATAGAAAAGAGCTGGAAGTTGGAAGTCATATGGAGTACAGTGGATCCATGATCCCTTTAAGATGCCAGAATTCATAGACATGTAAGTCATATTATAGCCAATGGCATGGCAAAAAATTGGTCATGCTAGTTCTGTGTGGGAAGTTTGGCCCAATTCTATCATTGGTGGTGTTCAGATTGTCCGGTGCTGTTCTATGGGCTTCTGGTGCAAGTATGCCACAGAATATGGAATTTTAGAGGACCTAGAGACCCACACATGGTAGTGTTTGTGAGCCTCTCCAGGTCCTCTAGCATTATTCTGTCTCATGGATTCAATATCTATAGTTTCACTTACCGACACCAAAAATATTCCCTTCCAGATGTGTTTGTTGTCTTTTCTATGTCCTCTAGTGAAGTTTAATGATATAATCCCATCACAACTATAGTCAAAATATAGGGTTCACTGTTATCCATGGGGTGGTGAAGCTCATGGAACATATCTCCTTGGGTATGGAGTCATGTAGAGTCCAAATAATCCACCACTTCAGGTATCCGCAAGAGGATCTTGGAACATATCACCCATGGATGTTGGGATCATACTGTACTATTTTGAAACCTTTTCTCATACTAATGACAAATTGGCATTGCATATTTTGAATATTTTGAATAATTATTCAGAGTGAGGGGAAGCTCTTTTGTTGCTACATGCTGGTATGTTTAATATTGATGTGCATGGTTGTATATATTTAGGGCAGTGTTTCTCAACCTGGGGTTCGGGACCCCTGGGGGGTCATGAGGGGGTGTCAGAGGGGTCACCAAAGACCATCAGAAAACATAATATTTATTAGTTATGGGAGTTCTGTGTGGGAAGTTTGGCCCAATTCTATCATTGGTGGGATTCAGAATGCTCTTTGATTGTAGGTGAACTATAAACCCCAGCAACTACAACTCCCAAATGTCAAGATCTATTTTCACCAAACTCCACCAGTGTTCACATTTGGGCATATTGAGGATTTGTTTGGTCCAGAACTACCATTGTTTGAGTCCACACTGCTCTCTGGATGTAGGTGAACTACAACTCCAAAACCAAGGACACTGCCCACCAAACCCTTCCAGTATTTTCTGTTGGTCATGGGAGTACTATATCCCAAGTTTGGTTCAATTCCATCGTTGGTGAGGTTCAGAATGCTCTTTGATTGTAGGTGAACTATAAATCCCAGCAACTACAACTCCCAAATGACAAAATCAATTCCCCCAAACCCCAGCAGTATTCAAATTTGGGCATATTGAGTATTTGTGCCAAATTTGGTCCAGTGAATGGAAATGCATCCTGCATATCAGATATTTTCATTTTGATTGATAACAGTACCAAAATTACAGTTGTGAAGCAGCAACAAAAATAATTTTAAGGTTGGGGATCTCCACCATATGAGGAACTGTATTGAGGGTTCGCGGCATTAGGAAGGTTGGGAAGCACTAATCTAGCGTCTCCAATGCCAGATATGGGAATGTTTCAAAAATGATCTTGTGATCAAACTTCCCACTGATGACTATTCTTTATCCCTTTCCCTCATTTTCTTCTTTCTAGATCATCAAGATGGATTACAACTCTTACAGCGGGGTTCCAAGGTTCTTGACCAGGCCCAAGGCCTTTGCGGTGTCCATGGGGAAAGATGCCACCTTGAGCTGCCAGATTATGGGAAATCCCATCCCGATGGTGAGCTGGGAGAAGGACAAGTTTCCCATCCAGACTGGAGGGAGATTTAAGATGGTGGAAGACGGGGATCTGTATCGTTTGACCATTTATGACTTGAACTTGGAGGACAGCGGCCAGTACATCTGCAGGGCCAAGAACACCATTGGGGAGGCCTTTGCTGCAGTGAGCATCAAGGTTGGGGAGCAGACGACGGTGACGGAACAGGCACCGTACTTCATCCAGAAGCCGACATCGATCCGAGTGATCATGGGAGAAGATGCCATGTTCAAATGCATTGTCCAGGGAAGTCCTCCTCTTTCTGTGAACTGGGAGAAAGATGGGAGGAACTTGGGTGGCAGGTCGGAATCCAACCGCATCCAGATTCAATCCCAGGGTGAGAAAAACGCCCTCAAGATCCAAAGCACTCGCTTGGACGACACCGGGACGTATACTTGCCGTGCCGCAAACCCTCTTGGGGCCACCAGCGCCGCAGCTTCATTGGTGGTCGATACATCAGATTCTTACAGCCCGGGGGGCACCCGACATGCCATAGACGTGGGCAACAGCAAGACGTCCCCATTGCTAACCCACTTGCAAAAAAGACGGGAGGAAATCCGGAAGACGGACTTTTCTAGCACCGACTCCATCATCTCCTCAGCTTACGCCTCCACCGAAGGACGGTCCAAACTGGGCCTGAATCTCTCCCTTGATTATGAAAGGGCGGCCAGCTTGACTGCCAAAGGCCTCCGAGGTGATGGAGGTTCATATTATGGGGTGACCACGCGGACCTTCACTGTCACGGAGGGGAAACACGCCAAGATGAGCTGTTACGTGACGGGAGAACCCAAGCCAGAGATCGTTTGGAAGAAGGATGGCGAAGTCATCCTGGAAGGTCGAAGGCACATCATCTATGAAGACGAACAGGAGAACTTTGTGCTGAAGATCCTCTTCTGCAAGCAAGTTGATAATGGTCTCTACACTTGTACGGCTTCCAACTTGGCTGGGCAGACTTACAGCTCTGTTCTGGTCACAGTCAAAGGTGAGTAGTTGCAATTGGCATAACCCCAACTAAAGCCATATCATATATATAGTACTCATGTACAAGTCTAGAAGATTTAGCCAAAAATTGGCACCTCCACCCAAAAAACCTCATTTTTCATCTTATCAATGGCTTAATGAAAATGTTGCACCTTAACTCTTATAAAAAAAGGGACTATTATTTTCTCTAAGTTGTATGGCAAAATGCAAGAGCCGAGAAAACCTAAAAGAAGCCCAGAACCACTTTATTCCATCCATAGTGGTGCCACTTCTAGACTTCTTGAATGTTTGGACAAGAAAATGGCAGTGCTAGCTAAGGGTGGCTGGCCTCCTGAGATACTGACCTTTCCCCTCTCTGCAGGATGACCATGGATGCATCCATAATTTTGGTCCCAAAACTTGCCCTTGACTTATCCATAAGGTTGACTTACACATATAGTACTCAGGTTCCATGAGTGGTAAGCAGTTGCTAAAGCTGGGGTGGGCAACTTTCTAATGATGAGGTTGCTTTAGATGCAGAGAATGAGAATGGGATTCCTATTCAAAGTGTCTTTGCTGATGAGAATGTTCCCGAAGAGTTTGGGGATGATGGGATGATCTCTGGAAGAGGGCCCGATTTGCTCTCAGAAAATTCCCAAGACTTTGAGTCTGAGAAAAGCTTGGCACCTGGCCCAGCTGCAGAAATGGTGGGGTATTAGCTGTCCCTTGAAGACATTTGGAGAGCCATAAACTGACCACCTCATCCAAATGACACACACACAAAAAGCATTTTATACCAAATGCCTTCTAGGACTCATTGGGGCATCTCACCTTTAGAATGTATCTGTGTTCATGTTGGGAATTTTTGCTACACTTTGTGGTGCTCTGTTTGGCTTTCTTTCTTGATCCATCTGGACCTGTTTGTATGTAGATCATTTGGTGGTGGCCCTGCACTTTGTTTTTTGGTTGGGGCAAGAGAGAAGTTGGATTGGGGTAATGGATGGCCTGGACTCAGAGTGCTGGATAAGATGAATGCTCAGGCCTTTCCAACCCTAGACTGTAGTTAGATAAGTCTGTGAACTGCTTGTAAAAGGGACTTCAGACTTGCCTTGGTCCTCAGTGGGAAGTTTTTGAAGTGAAGTCATTTCATTGTTTACTTGTAAACAAATTAAAGTTGTAGGTGTAGTGTTTTGCGCGTTGGGTTAGGACTCTGGAGATGAGGATTTGAAGCCCTACTCCAACATGAAATCCACTGAGCGCATCACATTCTCTCAGCCCCAGAGGAAGGCAATGGCCAACCTCTTCTGAAGAGATCTTCCCAAGACCGCCACGTGATAGCTTCACTTTAGGGTCACCATAGATTGGAAATGAAGGCACACAACAACAATAACATCCAAGGGTCAGGGAAGCAGTCCTGCATCCACCCCATGAACTGGTTATTAACAGTTGCAGTTTGCTTACTATCTCCATGAATTATTAGGCAAGCAGGAGGTGCCTTAATCCAGCCTGTCCACATTCATTAGGTGTTCATCCGAAAGTGACAGAAGGCTGCGATGTCTGGACAGCTGTTTGGCTGCTTATATGCCACGAGTCGGAGGGCCTCCCATCTCCTTCCATGGTGAACAGGTGCCCCCTCGAGCCTGGCCTCAAAGGCAGCAATGCTGAAACTGCTCCCTCATTTGCACAAGAGGGCTGAGGTTGCAAAATAGTATGGCTTGGCCTTGCTTCTTGACTCTTTACCTTCTGAGTGAGCCCTCTGATGAGGACAGTTTGTTCTGCCACTCCATCCATTTCTGCATTTGTCAGTGTGCATGATTTTCACATAGAAAATATTTCAGCATTGATGCTCCCACCTGGTTGCATTGTCCTAGTTGGTTAGATCTTCAGCCTCTTTGGGTGCATCTGCATTGTAGAATAAATGCAGTTTGACACCACTCAACCTACCATGGCTCAGTGCTATGGGGTCATGGAAGTTGTATTTTACAAGGTCTTTAGTGGTGAGATACCAGTGCTCATGGGCATGGGGAAAGGAAGGAAGGGAGAAGAGAGGGAGGTGAGGCCTCCTCTTTCATCCCTCATATAAATATGTGAGAGGAAGCCACAGGGAGGAGGGAGCAAGCTTGTTTTCTGCTTCCCTGGAGACTAGGACGCGGAACAATGGCTTCAAACTACAAGAGAGGAGATTCCATCTGAACATGAGAAAGAACTTCCTGACTGTGAGAGTCGTTCAGCAGTGGAACTCTCTGCCCCGGAGTGTGGTGGAGGCTCCTTCTTTGGAAGCTTTTAAACAGAGGCTGGATGGCCATCTGTCAGGGGTGATTTGAATGCAATATTCCTGCTTCTTGGCAGAATGGGGTTGGACTGGATGGCCCATGAGGTCTCTTCCAACTCTTTGATTCTATGATTCTATGATTCTATGCTTGTCACCAGATCAGGTGGAGGTCCTGCTCTGATGGTGTCACCTGGTGCACCTTGCACCTCCTACATTCCCTAGTGATGCAGTGATCCAGCCTCAATTTGGAACATAGCATCTTGTTCTCTAGAGACCCAGCATGATGTAGTGTTGGATTATGACCCTGGAGATCAGGATTTGGTTCCACACTCAGCCATGGAGCCCACTGGGTGACCTTGGACAAGTTGCACACTCTCCGCTCCAGAAAATTCTGTGATATGTTGCCTTAGGGTTGCCATCAGTTGGACAACAACAGCAACAACAATAAATATTGTTCTCCTACTTAATTGATTGTTTCAGTCTTCCAAGTATTCTAAACAGAGGCAAGTGGAGGGGAATGTTGCTGGTCATGCTGGAAGGACTTCATGTTATGCCAAACAGGTGGCCTGCCTTGCAGCTGGCGGTGATTCATAACCTTCACTCCCACTGGCAGCCCTCTTGGAGGGCACGAGGCTGGGGCAATGTATTCCTGACTGTGCAACATTCAGGAGAAGCCTTCTCTTATGGGAGAAGATGGCCCAAGGGGGAGGAATAACAAGATAAGGATCCATCTAAATGGCACAATGAATGCAGTTTGACACCATTTTTACTGCCATGGCTTAATGCTATGGGATCCCATGAGATGTACTTTGGTGAGGCACCAACACTTGTTGGCAATAAGGGTGAAAGTCCATGTAAAACTGGTCAAACTGCTTTCATTCTACAATATAGATGCATCATAAAAGTAGCCATGCAATTCAAAAACCTCATATGTATTTGAAGGAAAGCATCTTGCTTATCACACCACTTAAAAACAATACCAATTGCTTTCTCATACGAGCTTTAGTTGATTAATTGAGCGAAATGTGCCAGTTGGAAAAATAATAGTTCCAAAGCAGAAAGCAATTTTGTTTGCTTCAGATGATCCACAGTTGGATTGTTGTAGGTTTTTTCGGGCTATATGGCCATGGTCTAGAGGCATTCTCTCCTGACGTTTCGCCTGCATCTATGGCAGTTGTTTCATAGCATGGATGCAACATCTTACAAGGGAAGGCCTTTCTGATGATTTATTACTGCTTTTATAAGTTCAGGTTGGGTATCACTGGATCACTGGAGGACCTAGTGATTCCTGGAGAGAACATTGGTCTAGGCATTTGTGAGATGCTATTATCAACGTCTGGTGGATGTTGTTTATAAAGGTCCATTGGAGGACCTAGAGATTTGTAGAGCAAACACTTCTCTAGGCATTTGTACGCCCTGTGGTCAACCTGTAGGTCCTATGGTGAACTTCCAGCAGATACAAGCTGGAGGATCTGGAGATTCCTCAAATGAACCTTTCTCTATTACAGTGGTTCTCAATCTGTGGGTCCCCAGGTATTTAGCCTACAACTCCCAGAAATCCCAGCCAGTTTACCAGCTGTTAGGATTTCTGGGAGTTGAAGGCCAAAACATCTGGGGAACCACAGGTTGAGAACCACTGCCTAGGCATTTGTAAGTCCTATGGCCAACTTGTAGGTCCTATGGTGAAGGTCTCTCAGTATTAATTATTCTGCCACAGTGGTGATTAGAGGAAACCTTCTATCATGTCCTCGTTTTCTTGTGATGTTGCAATTCCAATAACCTTTCTCCCCTTTCTCCCCCAAGAACCGAAAATCCCATTCAAGACAAAGCTACGAGATCTGGAAGTCCGGGAGAAGGAGTCGGCGACCTTCCAGTGTGAGGTTCCTGCTGCCACCACCGAAACCACCTGGTTCAAAGAGGAGACGAAACTTCAGCAGAGCAAGAAGTACAATATTGAAGAAGAAGGAACGCACAGGAAGCTCACGGTCCAAAATGTCACCATGGATGATGATGCTGTCTACATCTGTGAAATGAAAGAAGGGAGCAGGACCATTGCAGAACTGACTGTCCAAGGTGAGTGGAAGTGAAGTTCTCATATCCTTAGGATCTTTGGGGTACAAGTGTTACACCTGACAGTTTTTGTGGATTCAATGAGATATAGTCACTAAGTAGAATTTGAGAAATGGCGAGATGTACTCTGGCAGGCATGGGCAAACTTTGGCCCTCCAGGTGTTTTGGACTTCAACTCCCACAATTCCTAACAGCCTACTGGCTGTTAGGAATTGTGGGAGTTGAAGTCCAAAACACCTGGAGGGCCAAAGTTTGCTCATGCCCACACTATGGTGCTAGAGAACCAATTGCTCAACTTGATTTTATATCATGCCATCTTGAGATGTTTAGTTATAGGGTGGAATACAAACCAATCAACCAACCAACTAATTAAATTCTCTATATGGTCTGGACACATTCCAGCTTGTCAATGTCCTTCTTCAACTATGGTGCCCAGTGCAAGGAGAAGTGAGAACTTCTACCCTCAGATACAATGAAGAAGAATACCTTCCTACCTTCAGCAATGACCCAGTTGGACAGCTCCACCTTTTTGCTTCTACACGTGGAATGGTGGTCCCGATAGCACCATCTTTCCCTTATATGGCCAGTTCCTTGGGTTTATGCTCATGTAGATGAAAACCCAAACCACCATGAAACTATCCCACTGTACTGACAGAGCTGCCTGGTGCTCCGGTGACGCGTCTCTGCTTTCAAAACTCTGGGAGAACATTAAATGTACAACCCACCTCTTCCTTCTCTTTGCAACTTGACTACTTCTTGCATCCTCCCTAATGTTGGTAAACAAACCCATCTAGACCTTGTATTAACAGGGTATAAGCGGATGTTGCGTGGGATTTGGATGGGATTCCCGGCTCTTTTTCTCACATTGCTGCTTGAACAGCTGAGCTGGGGTCATAAAAGTCACGTCCTGTCATACAAAGCTAGGTTCAGTTCCATTTTGACAGAGAAAACAATTAAAGATTATTTTAAAACATGGTGGTTTAGACCCTCCCATATATGTGTGCAGCCCACAAAGCTCACAAAAAGCAAGACAACTGGATTAAACAAAATCAGAAGAAAAGAGAACTGGAAGTAACAGCCCATGACTTGTGTATGTGAAATGTATGAAAAATGACAAAGTTACCCAAGACTCTTTGAATGCTTAACGACCTATTTTCTCATATTAGTGATTGGAGATAAGAGCAGAATTGGCTTCCAAGCTGGTTAAGGAACCTACAGGCCAGAGTTTTCCAGAGGGACACCCAAGCAGTTGAGAAAACGAATGCAGACAGACAGATCAATAGCCTAACGTAATCACTCCTTGGATGCTAGTTTCTGATATCTGATCAATGATTTGAGATAAGAGCAGACTTAGTTTACAGGTAGAATAAGGAACCTACGGGCCAGAATTTCCCAGTAGAACACCCTTGTAACAAAGAAGGGGAATGCAGAGAGGTCAAAGGCTTGATGTAATCACTCCTTGGATGTTAAACAGTTGTCTTCTCTCTGATCAATGATTGGAGATAAGAGCAGAATTGGCTTACAGGCTGGATAAAGAACCTACAGATCAGAGTCTCCATATGGGACACACTATAACCTGCAAAGAGGAACATGGATAGACCCACAGCCCTAAGTCATTGCTCCTTGGATGCTAAACTGACTCTTATCTGGGACCAGTGATTGGAGATAAGAGCAGAATTGGCTTTCAGGTTGAATAAAGAATCTCCAGTTCAGAGTTTTCTTCAGGGACACTCTATTAGCTGAGAAGGGGAATGTAGATAGACCAAGAGCCAGATGTTATCACTTTTTGATATCCTCCTTGAGTCACGAGAAGAGACGAGTAAGAATTATTATTATTATTATTATTATTATTATTATTATTATTATTATTATTAAATAACCTCTTATCTCTGATCAGTGATTGGAGATAAGAGCAGAATTGGCTTGCAGGTTGGATAAGGAACCCATCTATCAGTGTTTCCCTGAAGGACACTCTATTCGCTGAGAAGGGGGAATGCAGAAAGACTGAAAGCTGGACGTAATCACTCCTTGGATGCTAAGCAACCTATTTTCTCTGATCAGTGATTGGAGATAAGAGCAGAATTGACTTGTAGGTTGGATTAGGACCCTAAGGTCAGAGTTTCCCTACAGGAGAAGGAGAATGCAGATAGATCAAGAGCTGGATGTAATCGCTCCTTGGGGATCAAACATTTGTGCAAACATCTTACCAATTATGTTTGCACAATGAGAAAATAGCAGCTTGGAAAATCCCACGAGCCTCCTTTACAGCAATGGGAATGGAAGGCTCGTTCCCATTCTTGTACAATTCCTTCCATGCTCAGTTTGCAGCTACGGAGCTGAGACATTTCGCTGGCAGCAAGTGCAAATCAGTGATTGGAGATAAGAGCAGAATTGACTTTCAGGTTGAATAAAGAACCTCCAAGTCAGAGTTCTCTTCAGGGACACTTGTTGGAGTTCAGCCTGTGATTGTGTCTAATGATCAGGGCTCTCTGGGTGTTGGGAATGATAGTGCTGTTTTTAATGATGTTGGGAATAACAGTGCTGTTTCTAATGATGAGGGTGCTTTAGATGCAGAGAATGACAATGGGATTCCTGTTCAAGGTGTCTTTGGTGATGAGAATGTTCCTGAAGAATTTGGGGATGATGGGATGGTCTCTGGAAGAGGGCCCAAATTGCTACCAGAGAATTCCCAGGACTTTGAGCCTGAGAAAAGCTCGGTACCTGGTCCAGCTGCAGAAATTAATGAGCTAGAAGATAGAAGGTTTGTTTTCAGACAAAACAGAATAGCACACCGATCTCTCCGGTGCTCTGCCAGGCTGAGAGAGAAATTGATAACAGAATCTAGGCAGAATAGAAACAGGTTTCTGGCGGGGATTTAGAGTAGATTAGGGATTAAAAGTGCCAAGTACAGAATCTGTAGTCAGATGAAGCAACGTTTGGAACTGGATCAAGACATAGTGGCGAATCTTGCAGTCTTGACTTGGAAAGATTCGAATCATAGCTTGTTTAATTTCATGATTTGGAGTATTACCTTGGAAGTTTCTGTTTTGAGTTTTTTCATGTACTTTGATGGATTTATTTCCTGGATTATTTGTTCCTGCTTATCTTTCTACGTACTTGGATTTACCTATTTCTTTGGAGTGTTTTACTGCTAGTGGTTTTAAAATTACCTACAATAAACTGCTGGCATTTTTACTCAGTTGTGTGGTGTTTTTAAGTCAGAGGGCTTCTTCCTGGCCTGGAGTGCAACAACACTCTATTGCCCAAGAAGAGAAGTGTAGATAAACCAGCATCACTAAACAAGACTGCCAACAAACCTTCATCTGGCTAAGTGATTATGTTGATAGTCTGGCTTTATATCAAATAGATTAGCAACTGGACTGAATCTCCAGACAGACTGCCCTTTCCCCATAACTTGCTACTTGATGGTTTCAATGAGAGATGTGATAGAGTTAGCTGAAATTATACACAAAGAACTTTACTTTTGTTAGCCTCCTGCATTTAAATATATATTGTGAATGCTTAACATAGAATCCTAGAGCTGGAAGAGACCTCATGGAGCATTTGGTCCAACCCCCTGCCAAGGAGCAGGAAAATTGCATTCAAAGCACCCTTGACAGATGACCATCCAGTCTCTGCTTAAAAACATCCAAAGAAGGAGCCTCCACCACACTCTGGGGCAGAGAGTTCCACTGCTGAACAGCTCTCACAGTCGGAAAGTTCTTCCTCATGTTCGGGTGGAAAATAATTTTGTTTCCCCAATTTTTCCCATAGGGAATATTATCAAGAAGCTTCCAAGGAAGACTGCAGTCAGTGTGAACGACACGGCCATATTCTGCGTGGAGCTAGAAAACAAGTGCCAGAAGTCCCGGTGGCTGAAGGATAAGGAAGAACTGAAGCCCAATAGCAGGATCTCTATCACCGCATCCAAGAAGGAGCACAGCATGATCATCCGAGATTGCAAAATGGAAGACACCGGTGAGATCGTGTTTGTGGCCGACGACTGCCGAACATCCACCCAGTTTACTGTTTCTGGTGAGCTACGTTTTCTTCTCTTTCTGTATTAAATTGTTAAGGTAGGAGATTGTTTTCAGACATAGCAAGGATATGCAGATTTTGTGCTGACAGTTATAGGACTGAAGGGAGGAATCAGGAAAGTGGTGTGAAACAGAATTAAATGTACAGTGTGGAAGCAGTTTATATGGGTTTATTTATCATGGAAAAACCAAGTTGATGTTCAATGTGTTGTTGAAGGCTTTCATGGATGGAATCACTGGCTTGCTGTGCGTTTTCCAGACTGTGTGGCCATGTTCCAGAAGCATTCTCTCCTGATATTTTGGCTACATCTATGGCAGGCATTCACAGAAGTTGTGAGGTCTGTTGGAAACTAGGCAAGTGAAGTTTGTATATCTGTTGAAGGTCCAGGGTGGGAGAAAGAACTCTTGTCTATTTGAAGGAAGTGTGATGGTTGCAAATGGCCACCTTGATGGACATTCCACAGATATACAAACCCCACTTGCCTAGTTTCCAACAGACCTCACAACGTATTGTCGAAGGCTATCATGGGTTGGATCACTGGGTTGCTGTAAGTTCTTTGGGATGTCTGGCCATGTTCCAGAAGCATTCTCTCCTGATGTTTCACCCACATCTAAGGCAATTATCCTTAGAGGTTGTGAGGTCTTTTGGAAACCTCACAACTTCTGAGGATGCCTGCCATAAGTGTGGGCAAAACATCAGGAGAGAATGCTGTTGGAATATGGCCAGACAGCCTGGAAAACTCACAGCAGCCAAGTTGATGTTGTTGACCACAGACAAAAAGTAACCCAATTCTGTATGCCATTTCCTTTTCATTCTGAAAAACAAGAGCGGGGGATGCAGCAAAAAAGCAAAGCATCCCTAGGCATAATGTTACGGAGTTTAATACGTCCAAGGTTAGGGCCTCAAGATCCAATTTCAGCATTTCACCAAACTACCGAACCTGAGATGGGTGTTAAATCGGCCGGAGCGCTGAAGCATTGGCCTTCCCATTAAACCGCAGGGGGCATGACGGCGTATCTTGTGACACCGATAGATATTTCTGTGGGTCGCCAAGAAAAGGAAGGCTCGAGCTTTCTTATTTTTACGCTTTGTATCTTACCAACGATGTTTGCACAATGAGAAAATAGCAGCTTGGAAAATCCCACGAGCCTCCTTTACAGCAATGGGAATGGAAGGCTCGTTCCCATTCTTGTACAATTCCTTCCATGCTCAGTTTGCAGCTACGGAGCTGAGACATTTCGCTGGCAGCAAGTGCAAATAGCAGCAGATATACTGCTCAGGGCAGTCCAGAGTTTGGCATGCTGCCGGTTGCGTGACCTTTTTAGGCATCCTTGCAATTGGACTATGCTGAGGGATGCCAAATTGCCAGCCTTAGGGCTTTCAGTTCTCATGGTCTTAAGCAGGCATGGGCAAACTTGGGCCCTCCAGGTGTTTTGGACTAAAACTCCCACAATTCCTAATAGCCAGTCCAAAACACCTGGAGGGCCCAAGTTTGCCCATGCCTGGTTGCAAACTTTCCAAGTTTGGTGTCCTCTGGGAAGGAAGAATGGCTTGTGTACTGTCAGCGCTCTGCCAGTATGCAGGCAGAGATGAACCAAAATAAACATCCAGCTTGTGTTAAATTGTTTAATTAAAGCAGCACTTACTGTCTGGCTGTTTTCATAGTCCAAAGTATAAAACATAAAGATAGCACAGCTACAGAATATAAAGCAAAGACTGAAAGCAGACGCTGATATAGATTCAAGAGAACACTGTAGTCAAAGTGTTCAGGCCAGTGGTCAAACACCAAGAGTTCAATGAGTAAAGTCCAGAGATCAGGAGTCTATACCAGGGGCAGGCATGTAGCCAGGGGGGGGGGGGGGGGGGTCGGGGGGCTTCAGCCCCCCCCCCCCAAATTTTCATGGTGGTTCGCGAAAAGGCCTTATTGGTGCATTATTTAAACTGTTATGTTATTCATATCATGATCTGATCACCATACTCAATATATCCCATATGCATGGGGGTATTGGGGTAATGATACAAAAGGTTTGCTAGGCTAGACCTCTTTCACTCAGACTCAGCCCCCCCCCCCCCGAACCCCCCCCCCGAACCCCCCCTGAAAAAAAATTTCAGCCCCCCCCCCCCGAAATGAAATCCTGGCTACGGGCCTGACCAGGGGTCTTCAAACTTTGACCTGGGGGCTTGATACGGCCCTTTAAGGTCATTTACCCGGCCCTCAGTCAGGGTCAACCTAAGTCTGAAACAACTTGAAAGCACACAACAACAACAACAACAACAATCCTATCTCATCAGCCAAAAGCAGGCCCACACTTCCCATTGAAATACTAATAAGTGATCCTGGATTCATTGCTGAGCCTGGAACCCCAGGTCTCGGCAGTGGCCAGAGGAGCTTTTGCACAACTAAGACTTGTGCGCCAGCTGCACCCGTACCTTGGGAAGTCTGACTTGGCCATGGTGGCCAAGTGCTAGTTACATCCTGAATAGATTACTGCACCACACTCTATGTAGGGCTGCCTTTGAAGATGGTTCAGAAACTTCAGCTAGTTCAACGGTCGGCAGCCAGACTACTAACTGGGGCGACATACCGGGAGCATACCACCCTCCCTGCCATGACAGCTCCACTGGCTGCCAGTCCACCTCTGAGCCCAATTCAAAGTGCTGGTTTTGACCTATAGCACTATACGGTTCTGGCCCAGCTTACGTGTCCAAACGCATCCACCCCTATGTCCCACCTCGAAACCTAAGATCATCCGGGGAGGCCCTGCTTTCAGTCCCGCCAACAGCACAAATGCACCTGGCGGGGACGAGAGGCAGGGTCTTCTCAGCGGTGGCCCCTCGCCTATGGAACACACTCCCAAATGAGGTAGGATCAGCCACCCCCCTCCTAGTTTTTCGAAAGAAACTAAAGGCATGGTTTAGGGACCAGGCTTTTGGACAATAGATGCAGCACCTTAACGGAATGTGACTGGAATGACGATATGGCTGATGAGACTGTTTTAACGATGGCTTATGTATTGTTAATTATGCTTTATGTCTAATTGTGGTTTTAATTTTGTAATTTGTTATGTAATGGCTTCGGAATGGGGCCCATTGTAAGCCGTCCTGAGTCCCCCTTTGGGGGCTGAGAAGGACGGGATAGAAATGCGAGAAATAAATAATAAATAAATATATTTGTTGAAGTTGTTCTTCATTTTAATTATTGTATTGTTTCTAAGTGTTTTTTGCACTACAAATAAGATATGTGCAGTGTGCATAGGAATTCATTCATGCTTTTTCAAATAATAATCCAGCCCTCCAGCAGTTTGTGGGCCTGTGACCTGGCCCTCTGTTTAAAAACCCCTGGTCTATACCATAGTCAAAACCAGTCCAGAGATTCAAGGTTCCAGAGTTCAGTAGACAGGTCAAGATACCAAAAGTCCACAAACCTATCCACAACCAACATAGGACAAATACTTTTCTCCTGAAGATCAGTCCCTAGGCTAGGTCCTTATATCCAGTACCAACCAGCTGCAACCTAGCTCTTGCATATCTCCACCCTTAATTGCTGTCACCTGTAAACTCTTACTACAGATTACTCAGCCCTTTAGAACTAAGACTTACATTAACCCCTTCCATCACCAACTGCTAGGCCTGCCACCACCAACCACCATCAACTGCAGAACATGATACACGACATGTACAAATCACCAGCTCATCTTGCTTCAATTTGCAAGGGCTGTTGGAGCAACTTTCATAGACTTTTTTGGGGTAGTGGGTATTTGTATTTACTTAGTTAACTTTCTCCTTCCTTCGCAATCATTATAACACTAAAACTCATCTTCAACTCTGTGTCTGTCTTCTGCAGACTAGATTAAACGTTCCTTATCCCATGTACTTACTACTCCAAAAATCCTATCACTTCAGCTTCATCGGGAGCATTCATAGAATCATAGAATCAAAGAGTTGGAAGAGACCTCAAGGGCCATCCAGTCCAACCCCCTGCCGAGAAGCAGGAATATTGCATTCAAATCACCCCTGACAGATGGCCATCCAGCCTCTGCTTAAAAGCTTCCAGAGAAGGAGCCTCCACCACACTCCGGGGCAGAGAGTTCCACTGCTGAACGGCTCTCACAGTCGGGAAGTTCTTCCTCATGTTCAGATGGAATCTCCTCTCCTTTTGGCTAAGATGTTGTTTTGATTTCCAGACAGGGAAATATGGCCAATGCTGAGCCATTGTGCCTGGTGCTTAATGCATTACACCTTAATGGTGTCACCAAATTCTTGAAGGACTTAAATACTGTCTGTCATCTGCCTAAAATATATTTCTAAATATCTACACCATGATTAGACAGCATATTGGACGAAATTAGGCCAGATCTCATTATTTAGTCTGTCTTGGAGTTATGAGTTACTAAGGAGTTTCCAGAACATTTCAGAATATTCCTTAACTTTGCTCAAAGTGGGGAAAAGTAATTATAAATCCAGCCTGCCATATCATTTTAGGGGTTTTTTTTCCGTATCAGGAGCGACTTGAAAAACTGCAAGTCACTTCTGGTGTGAGAGAATTGGCCATCTGCAAAGATGTTGCCCAGGGGACTCCCGAAGGTTTTGATGCTTGTGGGAGGCTTCTCTCATGTCCCCGCATGGGGAGCTGGAGCGGACAGAGGAAACTCATCTGCACTCTTCCCAGATTCAAATCTCTGACCTGTCGGTCTGTAGTCCTGCCGGCACAAGGTTTTAACCCAGGGGTCCACAAACTTTTTAAACAGAGGGCCAGGTCCCAGTCCCTCAAACTGTTGGAGGGCCGGATTATAATTTGAAAAAAACATGGATAAATTCCTATGCACACTGCACATATCTTATTTGTAGTGCAAAAAACACTTAAAACAATACAATAAAATGAAGAACAATTTAAAGAAATATAAACTTATTAGTATTTCAATGAGAAGTGTGGGCCTGCTTTTGGCTAATGAGATAGGATTGTTGTTGTTGTTGTGTGCTTTCAGACTTAGGTTGACCCAGAGCAAGGGCCGGGTAAATAACCTTGGAGGCCTGTATCTGGCCCCCGGGCCTTAGTTTGAGGACCCCTGGTTTGATCCATTGTGTCACCAGGGGTGCCATGATTTTAGGTGGCCCTCCAGAAGCTAGGCTATAACTCCTGAATTCGTCATCAGTAGGCACCATGATTAGAGCTGATGGGAGCTGTGATATAGGAACATCTGTAAGGCTATAACTTGTTCTGTTTAATTAAGTGGCCAGATACTGGTCAAAGGACATTGAATCAACTACCAACCTTGCAGATTTTGTGTTTTGTCTGTCTGTCTGTTCATTTTGTTCTGTTAGAAATGTAATACAATTGTCTGGTTGCCCCTGACACGATAAATAAATAGGATAGTGGGGCTTGAATGTAGATACAAGGCTTGTGGATAGGATGTCTGGCTTTAAAATGTCCTTGAACCTTTCCCTCACCTTAGAGCAGTGTTTCTCAACCTGGGGGTCAAGACCCCTAAGGCGGTCATGAGGGGTTGTCAGAGGGGTCACCAAAGACCATCAGAAAACACAATATTTTCTGTTGGGCATTGGGGTTCTGTGTGGGAAGGTTGACCCAATTCTATCATTTGTGGGGTTCAGAATGCACCAAATCCTTCCAGGTGAACTACAACTCCAAAACTCAAGGTCCATGCTCATCAAATCCTTCCAGTATTTTCTGTTGGTCATGCGAGTTCTGGGCGCCAAGTTTGGTTCAATTCCATCATTGGTAGGATTCAGAATGCACTTTGATTTGTAGGTGAACTATAAATCCCAGCAACTACAATTCCCAAATGTTAAGGTCTATTTTCCTCAAACTCCACCAGTGTTCACATTTGGGCATATTGATTATTTGTGCCAAGTTTGGTTCAGATCCATCATTTGGTTCAGTTCACAGTGCTCTCCGGATGTAGGTGAACTACAACTCCAAAACTCAAGGTTCGTGCTCACCAAATCCTTCCAGTATTTTCTGTAGGTCATGAGAGTTCTGCGTGCCAAGTTTAGTTCAATTCCATCATTGGTGGAGTTCAGAATGCTCTTTGATTGCAGGTTAACTATAAATCCCAGCAACTATACCTCCCAAATGATAAAATCAATCCAGCCCCCGACCCCACCAGTATTCAAATTTGGACGTATCGGGTATTTGTGCCAAATTTGGTCCGGTGAATGAAAATACATTCTGAATATCAGATATTTACATTACATTTTAAACAGAGGCTGGATGGCCATCTGTCAGGGGTGCTTTGAATGCAATATTCCTGCTTCTTGGTAGGGGGTTGGACTGGATGGCCCATGAGGTCTCTTCCAACTCTATGATTCTATGATTCATAACAGTAGCCAAAATTACAGTTATGAAGTAGCAATGAAAATAATTTTATGGTTGGGGGTCACCACAAAATGGGGGACTATATTAAGGGGTCACGGCATTAAGAAGGTTGAGAACCACTGCCTTAGAGCCACAAGTGTAGTTGGGCTGCAATTCCCATTATCCCCAGTCCACATGATAGATCATTGAAGATGACGGGACTTGTCGTTCGGTAACATCTGAAGGCCCAAACTAAAGAGCACTGATAACTATGTAAAAAATTATAGTTGATCCTCTGTATCCACTGATTCCATGGATTCAGTGGCCTTTTGAAGGCAAACATAAGGCCGATGTGGCCCTTCAGGAAAACGAGTTTGAAATCTCTGATGTATGTGTGTATATATAAAACTATAATTTACTTCTTTTGAATTTGTCATTGGAAAAAAGAGGGATACAGATAATTGTAAACATATGATGGTTTCCCCATGCTACTTTGACAATACGTTTTGCTGTTTTTCCTTCCATCCAGCCCCGAAGAAGCCTCCATCTCACCCCCCTCTGGACCCGGTGGTGAAAAATAAAACAGAAACCTCAGTGACGTTGGCCTGGTCCCCTCCCAAGATGGAGCGCCCCATCCCCATCGACGGATACCTGGTGGAACGCAAGAAAATGACCGGCTTCACCTGGTTGAAATGCCACGAGTCTCCAGTTCCCGAAACCGAGTTCACCCTGAGCAACCCTCCTGAAGAGGCGGATTACTACTTCCGAGTGTCGGCGGTGAACAGCTATGGGCAGAGCGACTACCTTGAATTCCCAGGAACGCTGCACCTTGGTGAGTCTTGGAGAGGTCAATGCTTTTAAGCTGTGGAGAGTTCCTGATTCTGTGTCATTTATGTATCATTTTACTAGCTGCCCCCTGCCACATGTTGCTGTGGCCCAGTCTGGTGATCTGGAAAATAAACTAATGAGAAAGTGTTGATTTCTAATATATGTAATGTCTTTATGCTTAAACAGTATTTCTTGTTGTTTCTTTGTCATTGTTGATGGGGAGATTGTCTGGTTTGCCTACTCTAGAACATGTAACATATAATTGTCCCTCTTTAGGGGTGCCTTTCAAATCTAGGACACTATATCTCTCTGTGTGTGAATCATATATATCTATCTATATCTATGGCTGAATGGCTCTTTGTCAGGAAGGCTTTGATTACGTTTTCTTGCCCTGGTGGAGGGAGTTGGACTCGATGGCCTTAAGTATTTTCTCTTGGTCATGGGGGTGCTATGTGGAAAGTTTGCCCCAGTTCTGTCATTGGTGGGGTTCGGAATGCTCTTTGGTTGTAGGTGAACTATAAATTCCAGTAACTACAACTGGAATTTTCCCCAAACTCCATCTGTGTTCATATTTGGGCATATGGAATATTCATGCCAAGTTTGGTCCAGATCCATCATTGTTTGTGTCTGCAGTGCTCTCTGGATGTAAACTACAACTCCCAAACTCAAGGTCAGTGCCCACCAAACCCTTCTAGTGTTTTCTGTTGGTTATGGGAGTCCTGTGGGCCAAGTTTGGTTCAATTTCATCATTGGTGGAGTTCAGAATGCTCTTTGATGGTAGGTTAACTATAAATCCCTGCAACTACAACTCCCAAATGACAAAATCAATTTTTTTGAGTGATGGTCACTCGTTGGCCTGATAGAGTATCAAAGCTTTGCCAGCAGAAGGATTTCTAGATCAACAGACACTGTGTTACAGAAATCAGGACTCTGCAAGCTTTTAGTTACAACAGAAAACTAAGTTTACTAAGTACATCTATACACGTCCATTCACAGCAAGCAACAGACAGGAACTACAAGGCACAAACAACAGTCTCTGAACATCTGCTTATCTGACTTCTGGCTGAGACCAGATCCTCCCTCTTCTTCCCAGCCAGAGAACACATTATCTCATTTCTGTCAAGGTTACATTTTCACTGCCTCAGCACTATGTTTTCTTAATACACAAAAGAGCAGAATAGAATCCATCTTGAAATACTTCTTAATCCATCTTGAATTACATAGAAACACATTGAAAAACACACACGCATAACTAAATAATCCTGACAGTATTGTGTCCAAATTTGAGGACAATTCGTCCAATGGTTTTTGAGTTATGCTAATCCCACAAACAAACATTACATTTTTATTTATATAGATGTATTGAATTGATACCTCACGCTTCTTGCAAAGTGAGATCTAAGAGGACTTCCAAGGAGGACTTCCTGACTATGTTGAGTGGGCGATGCTGGGGATTGTCTGAAGATCTGCACAATTCCCACATTATTCCTATAAAACTGGGAAGAGGGGCTAAAGACCTTGGAGGGATCGTTGTAACTCAGTGCCAACAATTGTGGTTGTTGTGAGCCTTCAAGTCACTTCTGACCTACGTCAATAATATTGTGGGGTCTCTTGGTAAGAAGTGGTTTGCCATTGCCTTCCTAGAGCCAAGAGGCTAAGAGTTGAACTTCCTCATCACCCTCTAGGGCAGTGGTTCCCAACCTGTGGATCCCCAGATGTTTTGGCCTTCAACTTCCAGAAACCCTAACAGCTAGTAAACTGGTTGGGATTCCTGGGAGTTGTAGGCGAAAACACCTGGGGACCCACAGGTTGAGAACTACTGCTCTAGGGGAACATCCATGTTGTATAATTAATGCAGTCCGAAACCACTTGAACCACCTTGGCTCAATGCTATGGGACCCTGAGAGTTGTAGTTTGGTGAGGCACCAGCACTCTGTGGCAGAGAAAGACAGGCTAAGGACAGTTGCAGATCTCATGATTCCATAGCATTGAGCATGGTAGTTGAAGGGATATCAAACTGCATTAATTCTACAGTGTAGATGCACCTTTAGATGTTCCTCTATTCACTTAACCAAAGCCAAGTTGGGTCTTCCATCAGTTGAATGGCTTAAATGCTAGCAACATAGAAATCTAGGGTAGAATTAATGTAGTTTATTAATGCTGCCATGGCTGCATGCTATGTAATCATGAACGTTGTAGTTTTACAACAGACTTAACCCGGGAAATGTTCAATTTTGAGAGCAGTAGGGCTTGGAATTGCTCTTTGAATACAAAACAAGGGATTATAAATATTTGTAGTAGGTTTATTTCCTACTAGCTGTACTCGCCACGCGTTGCTGTGGCCAACCTTCTCTCCATCTCTCTCTCTCTCTCACACACTTTCTTTCTTTCTTTCTCTCCTTCCTTCCTTCCTTTCTTCCTTTCTCCTTCCTTCCTTCCTTCTCTACTCCTTCCTTCCCTTTTCCCCTTCTCTCCTTTCTTCTCTCCTTCCTCCCTCCTCCCTTCCTTCTTCCCTCCCTTTCCCCTTTTCCCTTCTCTCCTTCCTTCCTTTCTTCCTTCCTTCCCTCCCTTTTCCCCTTTCCTTCTCCCTTCCTTCCTTCCTTCCTCCTTCCTTCTTCCTTCTTCCTTCTTCCTTCCTTCTTCCTTCCTTCCTTCCTTCTCCTCCTTCCTTCTTCTTCCTTTCTTTCTTCCTTTCCTTCCTTTTCCCTTTCTCTCCTTCCTTCCTCTCCTCCTTCCCTCCCTCCCTCCTCCCTCCCTCCCTTCCTTTCCTTCCTTCCTCCTTCCTTCCCCCTTTCCCCTCTCTCCTTCTCCTCCTTCTTCCTTCCTTCCTCCTTCTTCCTTCCTTCCTTCCTTCCTTCCCTTCCTTCCTTCTTCCTTCTCTCCTTCCTTCCTTCTTCCTCCTCCCTCCCTCCCTTCCTTCCTTCCCTTCCCTTCCCTTCCTCCTTCCCTTCCCTTCCCTTCCCTTCCCTTCCCCCCTTCCCTTCCCTTCCCTTCCCTTCCCTTCCTTTCCCCCTCTTCTTCCTGTCTACCTATTCTTGGACTGTAGCTTCCAGCACTCCTCCTGATTGAGCTATTTACCTACTATCTATCTCTATCTAATCTATCTTTATCTTAATCCTTGTCTATCTGGAGGATTGCTGGGAGTTGCATTCCAGGAATAGGAAATAGGAAATAGATATGGATTGGGATGCTCTCAAAGAAATCCAAGGAGAAGCAAGCTCGTGGCTTGGAAGCAGTGCATTTAGATCATCCTCCTCTCCTAAAGGGCCTGGTCTAGGGGATGCTGGAAGCTGCCATTTTTGTGCATGCGCTGTATCGTCATTTAACTTTTTTTGGGGGGTTTTGTCCTTTCCACTATTTTTGGGAGGGGTTTATGAGTGATGATCACTCGTTAGTCTGTGAGGGGTGTAGTGTCCAAATTTATGTCAATTCATCCAGTGGTTTTTGAGTTATGTTAATCCCACAAACGAATGTTAAATTTTTATTTATATAGACTAGCAGTCCCCTGCCATGCCTTGCTGTGGCCCACATGGGGGTTCTGTGTGGGAGGTTTGGCCCAATTCTATTGTTGGTGGGGTTCAGAATGCTCTGTGATTGTAGGTGAACTATAAATCCCAGCAACTCTCAAATGTCAAGATTCTATTTTCCCCAAACTCCACCAGTGTTCACCTTTGGGCATATTGAGTATTCGTGTAGAGTTTGGTCCAGATCCATCATTGTTTGAGTCCACAGTGCTCTCTGGATGTAGGTGAACTACAACTCCAAAACCAAAGGACACTGCCCACCAAACCCTTCCAGTACTTTCTGTTGGTCATGGGAGAACTGTGTGCCAAGTTGGGTTCAATTCCATTGTTGGTGGGGTTCAGAATGCTCTTTGATTGTAGGTGAACTATAAATCCCAGCAGCTGCAACTCCCAAATGACAAAATCAATTTTTTTGAGTGAAGGACATACATTAGGTAGTTAGGTGTCTTGTGTCCAAATTTGGTGTCAGTTCGTCCAGTGGTTTTTGAGTTGTGTTAATCCCACAAACAACCGTTCAATTTTTATTTATATAGATGTGCAATTCAGATCCATAATTTTTCGCTCCTATTTCCTCTGCAATTTGGAGCTTTTAACTTTGTCACATTGTCCTTCTTCTCCCATAGAACCAGTGTTGGCCGTGAGAAGCCTTCTGAGAAACGCAGAAGTGAACCCGGGTCGGGATGCGACTTTTACCGTTGACCTCACGAACACTTGCTCCGGATCGTGGTTTATTAACGGCACCCAAGTCCAGAACAGCGACAAGTACATCATTACAAGAACCAGAACCACGCACAGCCTCACTGTCAAGCGAGTCACAAGCGCCTTCAAAGAGGCCGAGGTGAAATTCGTCACCAACAACAACATCGAAAGCACTGCTAAGATAAAGCTGAAAGGTATTCTTCACATATTTATTTATGTATTTGTTTTATTTGCAGTATTTATATTATGCCAACGCCAATTCTTTGGCTTAGAAATGGAGATTAATACCACCCCCCAGAGTCGGACACAACTAGACTTAACGTCAGGGGAAATTTTTACCTTTACTTATGTATACTTACTTACTTAGACGATCCCTCGTTCTCTGAGTAAGATTGCCCTCCAAGTTTAGTGTCCTGGTGGTGGGTACGTAGGTGACTGTGAAGCCCTATTCTTGACCTGCATGTTCTCCTGCAGTGAGGGCATCGGTTTGCAGACGGAAGGTGGTCCTGGTCAGGGTTGAGTTGACGCGCCTTCCTCTTGGCACATTTCTCACCATTCATGCCTCTTCAAATCCTACAGCACTGCTGGTCACAGCTGACCTCCAGCTGGAGTGCTCAAAGGCTAGGGTTTCCCAGTTCTCGGTATCTATGCCAGAGTTTTTAAAGTTGGCTTTGAGCCCATCTTTAAATCTCTTTTCCTGTCCTCTAACATTTCATTTCATTCTTGAGTTCAGACTAGAGCACCTGCTTTGGGAACACGGTGGTCAGGCATCCAGACAATGTGGCCAGTCCAGCGGAGTTGATGGCGGAGGACCATCGCTTCAATGCTGGTGGTCTTTGCTTCTTCCAGCACGCTGACATTTGTCCGCCTGTCTTCCCAAGAGATTTGCAGGATTTTTTGGAGGCAGCGCTGATGGAATCGTTGTGTGTGTGTGTATGTTGAAATATGCTCCGTTGCAGATTTGGAAAATTTATTTAAGGTAAAGGTAAAGGTTGTCCCCTGACATTAAGTCCAGTCATGTCTGACTCTGGGGTGTGGTGCTCATCTCCATTTCTAAGCCGAAGAGCCAGCGTTGTCCATAGACACCTCCAAGGTCATGTGGCCAGCATGACCGCATGGAGCGCCGTTACCTTCCCGCCGGAGCGGTACCTATTGATCTACTCACATTTGCATGTTTTCGAACTGCTAGGTTGGCAGAAGCTAGGGCTGACAGCGGAAGCTCACGCCGCTCCCTGGCGACCTTTAGGTCAACAAGCTCAGCAGCTCAGTACTTTAACCCACTGTGCCACCGGGGCCCCCAGTACTTATATTCCACCCTTCTCACCCTGAAGGTGACTTAGGGTGCATCACAGAGCACATATACAGCAAACATTCAAAGCTGTTATATACTGACAAGACAGACAACTGTACATAAATAGAGGTATATAGTCTTTCCCATCTTCGGCATCTTGGAGGCTTGTGCTTGGTTCCAGCCATTGTGTGTGTGTGTGTGTGTGTGTGTGTGTGTGCTGTCACTCCATCATCCTTGCCAAAGAGCTTTGTTCATAAACTTCTTCCTTGATCTAATTGCTGGCATTTCCAGGCATTTTCTTATGGGTGCCTTAAATACCTTTCTAGTTTAAAGTGGTATCTATTTATCTCCTCACATTTGCTTTCAAACTGCAAGGTAGGCAGAAGCTGGGGCTAAAGGGTATGAGCTCACCCTGATCCAGGCTTTGAACTGCCAGTCTTTTGATTGGCAGCTGGCAGTTAACTTGCTGTGCTAAAGCCCGGCCCGTCAGATTCTCCGCAGTGAAGCAAAACGTTCCTTCACTCATACATTCAGTCCTTTTTTTATGCCTTCCCTAAACATGGTTGCACCTCAATTTTATTTTCTAGATGAAGTGGCCAACTTTGCCAATGACTCAGTCCCTGGGATTTCCGTCAAGCTCTTGGAGAAGTTTGAGCTGATCTGCGAGGTCTCCTCCATCACGGAGGGCGTTGTCTGGAAGAAGGGCAAGAAAGAGATCAAGCCGGACCAGAGAGTCACCTTTGCCGCCGAAGGATTGCAACGGAAGCTCGTTGTCAAAAACGCAATTAAGGAAGACGAAGGGATCTACTCTTGCGAAACAATGAGCGACAAATTAACATTCCAAGTTGAAGTCAAAGGTGAGTATGGCCGGATCATTTCCCTTAGTTATAGTAGGTGCTTTCAGTGGAGTGGTGTGTCTATAGGAACTCAAAATCCCAAAGGGAGCAAGATGTCGAGGGATTTCTAGTCCTACTGCTGTACTATAGGTCAGGCATGGGCAAACTTGGGCCCTCCAGGTGTTTTGGACTTTCACTCCCACAATTCCTAACATGTGTTGAGTTTTAATCATGAATTTTCAACTTTTGACTTGTGTATTTTAATCATTGTTTTGTGTATTTTATATATGTACTAGCTGTACCCTGCCACGCGTTGCTGTGGCCTATAGTAAATCTTTTCAAAGTAGAGGTAGATATCTGGAGTATTATGATAGAGAGGTACCTACCTATTCCTTCCCCCTTTTTCTCCCCCTTTCTCTCCTTTCTTCCTTCTCTACCTCTTTCTTTCTTTCTTTCCTTCTTTTGCTCCTTGGTTTCATCCTTCTCTCTTTCCTTCATTCCCTCCCCCTTTCTTCCTTTGCCTCCTTTCTTCCCTCCCTGTTTCCTTCCTTCTTTCACTTTTTATTTCCTTTTCTCCTTCCTTCTTTACCTCTTTCCTGCCTTTCCTTCCTTTTATTTTTCTTTCCTTTCTACTTTCTCTTCTTTCTTCCTTCGGTACCTCTTTCTTTCCTGCCTTTCCTCCTTCCTTCCCAATGCTTACCAAACCCTTCTCGTGCTTTCTGTTGGGTCATGGGAGTCCTGTGTGCCACGTTTGGTTTATTTCCGTCGTTGGTGGAGTTCAGAATCCTTTGATTATAGGTAAACTATAAATCCCAGCAGCTACAACGGAGGGGGGTGGGAGGAGGAGGAGGAGGAGTGCATGGGGGGCGTCGGTGGGTGTGGGCGGGGCTTCGGCGGAGGGGGGTGGGAGGAGGAGGAGGAGGAGTGCAGTCTGCGTGGGTAGGGTAAGATGAAGTAGGGAGAGGGGGGATGGTTTTGACAGGGCGGGAAGCGGCGCGGCGAGGCTTGGAGTGGGCGGCAGGGGGGGGAGTGAAGGAGTGTTGGGTTGTGTGTGTGTGTGGCAGCGGGGGGGGAGTGATGGAGCGTGGGTTTGTGTGTGTGCGGCGGGGGGGGAGTGAAGGAGCGTTGGGTTGTGTGTGTGTGTGCAGGGGGGGGAGTGAAGGAGCATTGGGTTGTGTGTATGTGGTGCAGCGGGGGGGGAGTGAAGGAGCGTTGGGTTGTGTGTGTGTGTGCAGCGGGGGGAGTGAAGGAGCATTGGGTTGTGTGTGTGTGTGCAGCGGGGGAGTGAAGGAGCATTGGGTTGTGTGTGTGTGTGCAGCGAGGGGGGGAAGGAGCATTGGGTTGTGTGTGTGTTTGCAGCGGGGGGGAGTGAAGGAGATTTGGGTTGTGTGTGTGTGTGCAGCGGGGGGAGTGAAGGAGCGTTGGGTTGTGTGTGTGTGTGCGTGGGGGGGGAGTGATTGGGTTGTGTGTGTGTGTGTGCAGCGGGGGGGAGCGTTGGCCGGCAGGCCATGTGCGCGCGCCAGGGAACTTGCGGCTGGGTGCCATTGCGCATGCTCTGTTGTTTTGTCCTTTTGTGAGTGTGTTGTTGTGTTGTTTTTCATTTTGATTCGGTTTGTTTGTACCTTGTGGGTTGAGGTATGTGCATGGGAATTTTGGTTAATTTCCGTTGGGGTTTTTTTGAGTTTTGCTGTCCCGTTGGATGCCCCTTACAGATTTATATATATAGATTTTGTTGAAATGTATTTTAACATGTGTATTTGATATAATAATTGTGTGTTTTTAGCAATATGTAACCCGCCTCGAGCCATGAGGAGAGGCGTGTAGAAAATAATAATAATAATAATAATAATAATAATAATAATAATAATAATAGAATATGTCCAAAAGCTTAGAAAAAAATTGAAGAGCAAATTAAATGGTGGAAATATGATCAAGGCTATCAACACTTGGAATTCCAGCAGATACACTGCTAGAATTGTGAACTGGATGCAAGCAGAGATGGCTGATCTGGACAGAAAAACAAGGAAACTGATGACAAAAGACAAAGAGGGAATACTATAAAAATACAATGCAGAGCAGCAGAAAAAAACTGGCAAAAGAAGGCTCGTCATTGACAGTTTTTGGGAAAAATTGAGAGCAAAAATGACAATGAAAAATATGGATGTGGCTCACAAATGAAAATTTGAAAAAGGAGACAAAGCCTGATTCTGGCTGCCCAAGAACAAACCATTAGAACAGATGCCATCAAAGCCAGAATTGAAAAGTCAACAACAGATCCCAAGTGTAGACTCTGCAAGGAAGCAGATGAAACAATAGATCCCATCCTCAGCTGCTGCAAGAAGATCGCACAGACAGATTACAAGCAGAGGCATAACACCGTTGCTCAGATGATTCATTGGAACTTGTGCCACAAAGACCATCTGCCTGCGACAAAGAACTGGTGGGATCACAAGCCTGAAAAAGTTACGGAAAGTGAACACGTCAAACTCCTCTGGAACTTCCAAATTCAGACTGACTGAGTTTTGGAGCACAATACTCCTGACCTCACAATCATGGGGAAAAACAAGTATGGATCGTTGATGTTGCAATCCCAGGTGACAGCAGGATTTTTTTTGTCATGTTAGGAGCGACCTGAGAAACTGCAAGTCGCTTCTGTTGTGAGAGAATTAGCCGTCTGCAAGGATGTTGCCCAGGGGACGCCCGGATGATTTGATGCTTTTATCATCCTCGTGGGAGGCTTCTCTCATGCCCCCGCATGAGGAGCTGGAGCTGATAGAGGGAGCTCACCCGCACTCTCCCCAGATTCGATCTTACGACCTGTCGGTCTTCAGTTCTGCCGGCACAGGGATTTAACCCACTGCGCCACTGGGGACTCCATGACAGCAGGACTGACAAGAAGAAAATGGAAAGCTGACACGATATAAGGATTTAAAGATCGAACTGCAAAGACTCTGGCACAAGCCAGTCAAGGTGGTCCGAGTGGTGATCAGCACACTGGGTGCAGTGCCTCAAGACCTTGGTCTGCACTTAAAAACAATTGGTGCTGACAAGATTACTATCTTCCAGCTGTCAAAGGCCACGCTACTCGGACCTGCACGGATTATTCGCCGATACATCATACAGTCCTAGACATTGGGAAGTGTCCGACGTGTAATCCAAAACAACAGGTAGCATATTGATCTTGTTAGCTGTGTACTAACCTTGTTATGTATCCAATAATAATAATAATAATAATAATAATAATAATAATTTGGATGCATAATATGAACTTGTGGATTATACTTCTTAAGCCAATTGGTGAACCAAAGTTAGCCTCCCCTCTTGCTATGAGCCTTTACTTGATCTATTGCAGAGCCTGAAGAAGTGTTTGCCAACAAGGAGAAGGTACAGAAAGAGGTCAAGGTGGTCCTTTCTGAGAACGCGTGCCTTGCCTGTGAGATGGTCCAAGCGAACACAGAAGTCCGGTGGTTCAAGGATGGGAGACAGATCAGGTCCAGCCAGAAGATCAAGATAGAATCTGAAGGCAAATCCCGGAGGCTGGTTGTACAGCAAGTGGAGAAAAAGGATGTCGGCGAATACACCTGCGAAGCCGCTGGACAGCCGCTGACTTTCACCCTCATTGCAACAAGTCCCAAAGGTTTGCATATTTCTCTTTATCCCCCCACTCTTTATTTAAGTCTGCTTTTTTCCTTTGAGTGAAAGGACACTGCCAGATATTCCTCCTTTTTGGACTCCAACTCCCAGAATCCCTCACCATAGTCTGAGCTGGCTAGTATTTGTGAGAAGTGAAGTCTGAAGCAGACTCCAATGTCCATTCAATACATCGTCATAAGTAAACATCTCTCATCCACGTACTAACTTTCCAAGATCAGGTAGAATGTTTATAGTCCAGGCATGAACAAACTTTGGCCCTCCAGATGTTTTGGACTTCAACTCTCACAATTGTGGGAGTTGAAGTCCAAAACACCTGGAGGGCCAAAGTTTGCCCATGCCTGTCATAGTCCCATTGAATTCCTCAACATCTGCCAATTGCATTTGTTGAATGCTGCCTTTGTCCCATAAACATTTATCCAAATGCTAGGAACAGCTGCTGTGGAGTAAATACACTTTGACTCTACTTTTAACTGCCTTTAGTCAATGTTATGAAGGCCCCTTCTATACTGCCATATAAAATCCAGATTATCTGCTTTGAACTGGATTAAATGGCAGTGTAGACTCTAGGTATGGTGAGGTCCAGTCGGAATCTTCGTAATTCAGAATAAATTCAGAAAAATTACCTTTTTGAAGTGTTCTGTCGCACGGTGGGCCTGTAAAGAATTTCCTTTAAAACAGGACATGCAACCTTTGCCCAGCAGGAAGCCAGGGGGCCCAAGGAGAAGTTCTCAGAGGTTTCCCACCACAAATGATCTTTAGATGGCTTGTGAAGTATAACAAAGTCTTTTATTAATGAACAATCAAACAGAAACTTCTCTTGTCTTCAATAAAGCTAAACAAATGCTTCCAAGCAACCGGTGACTTCCTAATCTTGCCCACGAAGGACAGGCAACTGTCTTCAATAACTTCTTCTTTACTTTAAATGGAAAATCCCCTTTTTAACTTCTCCCAGGCTGACTGTGATCTAACCCTTACTGATGTGGGCTCCGCTAACAGGTCGAACTGCGTCTCGAAGCACTGAGTGGACCTACCAGTAAAGGCTTAGATATTCTCCAGCTGGAGTTCTTTGGTCCTTAGGGCTGTTTTCCTGGAAATCTTTGGAGACTCTTAAGACTGTTTTCCCCCGGAAAGTCTTGGATGCTCTTAAGACTGTTTCCCCCCGGAAAGACTTAAGGGTTGAAGCTTTTGTACAGGGGAAGCTTGCACACGTCCTGTACATTAGCTTTCCTTGCTGAGACTAACTAAAAAACTGCTCCCTTCCCTTCCCAATTGCCCTGAGCAAGGGGCGGAACCAAAACTTAATGATGATGAACAGGTGACTTGCTCTATGACTGCAACCAAAGGAAGCCACCTATCTGCAGAGTCCCTGAAACCTAGGACTGCAAACAAACATTTAATACAAAGCAAATAAAGTTGGAGCTCCCGATATGGCCGTACCAGCACATTGAAGCGATTTTGAACTTTTTTAGGAAACCGGAAGTCCCTCTGCCCTTCTGAAGCTAGTCTTGCCATTTTTCTTCTGACTCAGGAAGTGAGTCGGAAATGATTCTCGGCTCAAGCCAGAGAAGCCAGTTTTGAACCAGGGAAGGCTGAATTTCCTCCCTTTTTTCTTCCCCGCTTCTGCCTCAAGCCAGAGAAGCCAGTTTTAAACCAGGGAAGGAAGGAGTTTCCTCCGCTTGCTTTTCCCTGCTCCTAGAGTAAAACAACTACTTTCAAAGTAAAGACCACCCAATGAGACAGGAAATAACACTTTCAAACAATTAATGAAAGCATTCTGAAGTCTCGGAAGTTTCAAAAAAATTTGAGCATTTTTTTCTGTGAAAATTGGAACTGATTTTGGAATCAAACCACCAGCACTACCTACATCCAAAACGAGTTTTGAACCATTTTTTAAACCAAACAAGCCTAGCAGACTCATATAATCCAGTTCAAAGCAGATAATGTGCTTTGATAGTAGGCTTGGTTGATCAAGAAAAAATTTGGTTCTAAACTTGTTTCGTATCTAGGGGCTGCCCACGTTTCTAATCTGAGAGGATTTCCAAAATTTCAAATTTCAAAATTTTGATATTTATTAAATTTTGTAAATATACGAATCGATTAGTAAATGGCGGATGCGATTGCGCAATACCTGAAAAAAACCTCCAAACGGGACAGGGGGAACTTCTGAAGCTTCCCTCTCCCTCTGTTGTTGACTGTTGGTGTGATAAAACTAACAACAACTATATATATTATGCTATATTATCAAAAAACTGTCCCAAGCCCATAGCACATCCAAAAGCAGAAGATTAAGTCAGAATGAGATGTCCATCCAAAAACAATCCGAAGTAAGAATGGAGTCAGCACTTACAGGAATCCAGTCTTTAAAACGCTTTAAAACGGCTTGTCTTAACCCAGCTAATCGTCTTCCTGGCCCAGCAGCATCTCATTCTGACTTAATCTTCTGCTTTTGGACATGCTATGGGCTTGGGACAGTTTTTTGATAACTCTTTCACCTTTTTCCTTGCTTCCACCTTGTTTCCTGACCCTGTGATTTTGAAGCAGTTTGCTTGAACAGTTCTGTTATCCCAGATTATATACCAGGATAATCAGGATTATTTGCTAAGTTATGTTTCTTGTACAGCAGTTTGCTACAGACTTCTTGACAGATACACTGAATTCTTGATAGATACACTTGATAGATACACTGAATTCTACACTGAGTTCTTGATAGATACACTGAATTAAGTGCTTCTAGCTATTTTTGTTGTTATAATAATAATAATATAATATAATATAGAATATAATATTATAATATAATATAATATACAATAATATAATATAATATAATATAATACTATACTATTATATTATAATAATATAATATAATATACTAATTATAATATATTATAATAATCAATATATATATACCATATTCCGGCATATAAGACGACTGGGCGTATAAGACGACCCCCAACTTTTCCAGTTAAAATATAGAGTTAAGACAACTCCCATGCATAAGACTACACCCGTATAAGACGACCCCTGACTTTTGAGAAGATTTTCTTGGGTTAAAAAGTAGTCTTATACGCCAGAATATACTGTAATATATATTATATTATATTATATTATATTATATTATATTATATTATATTATATTATATTATGTTATGTATTATACTAGCTGTACCTGGCAACGCATTGCTGTGGCATAGAGTGACGGTATGAAAAATAAAGTAATGAGAAATTTTGGGCAAGAAGGATGCCAGGAGAAAGAGGAGGGAGGGGGGAATGTGGGATTTGCCAGCTGGAAGGAAGGAAGGAAGAAGGAAGGAAGGAAGCCCAGTGCAGCCCAGAGTGAGGCAAGAAGAAGCATGAGGAAAGAGGAGGGAAGCAGCAGAGCAAAGGTGGCCGGCAGGAGGGGAGAGAGAGAGGAAATTCATCGGCTTAAGCTGAGGCCAGGGACCGGAAGTGGGGTAAATGCACAGCTTGCTACCGGGGAGGGAAGAGAAACTGCGAGATTGTAAAACCAGACATACGAAAATAATTACAAAAATTGGAAAAATTGTTTCGATTCTTAATTACTCCTCACACTATTCCTGCATGGCTCGATATTGGATCGTAAGCTAATTTAAATACGAATTCATAACGAGTTTAGAAACTAACGAACATGATCAACCAAGCCTATTTGATAGTCTGGATTATATGGTAGTGTAGAAGGAGGCAAAGTCTTATGAGCTGGAGTTTGATGAGGCACCAGCACTCTTTGGCAGAGAAGACAAAAAGACCTCCCAAAACTACAACTTCCAGAATTCCATAGCATTGATCTATGGCCATTCAAGTAGTGTCAAACTACAATCCACCCTTAGATGTTGCCCTGTTGCATTTAAATGAGAGACAAACTAGACATCCAATCAGCAATATTGAAACCTAGGGTACATCTACACTGCAGAATTAATATAGTTTTTTTCACTAGGTTAACTGCTATGGCTCAGTGCTACGGAATGTTGGGAGCTATAGTTTGACAAGGTCTTTAGTCTTCTCTGGTGCTGGTGTCTCACCAAAATACAAAACCTTGGCTTCTCTTTGAAGGTCCTCCAGTGCAGTTCTATGGTCAATGTCTGATGGAAGAGTTGCCTTGAAGGAATGAGGGATTCAAAGAGAAGTATTTCTGGGTTGTTGTGAGTTTTCTGGGCTGTATGGCCATGTTCCAGAAGCATTCCCTCCTGATGTTTCACCTTCATCTATGGCAGGCATCCTCAGATGTTGTGAGGTCTGTTGGAAACTAGGAAGTATTTCTTTCCACATTCACAAGGGTCCTGTGCCCCTAACTCAACCAAATTGGAAGGTCAACTGTACTAATGGGCATGGTCCATGTAGCTTCAAGGGCGGTCATTGAAATGTGTTTGCTGCTCTTTCCTTCCATCAGTCGTCGAAGCCGAGGAAGCATTCGCCAACAAAGAGAAGGTACAGAAGGAGATCAAGACTTCCCTTTCTGAGAATGCGACTCTCAGCTGCGAAGTCTCCCAGGCCAAGACAGAAGTCAAGTGGTTCAAGGAGGGAAAACTTATCACCTCCAGCAAGAAGTTCAAGGTAGAAACCGAAGGCCGATCCCGGCAGCTGGTTGTCCAACAGGTAGAGAAGAAGGATGCTGGGGAATACACCTGCGAAGCTGCGGGACAGAAACTGACCTTCAAAGTTATAGTAGTAGGTACGAATGATATTTCATTTTCCTTCTTGTATTGCCATCACTTGGGGTTGCAAAGGAGGTCGGTGGGCCTCCCATCAGGGCAAAATCAACAAGCTTCCTTTCAACAGGATTGTTTAGTACACAACTTAAAGCTGTTCTGCTATAATCTGACATGACCTCGATATATGTATGTGTGTGTATGTGTGTAGATAGATAAATGGATAGATAGATAGATAGACAAATAGATATGCAGTTTCCCCTTAACTCTATGTTGTTTGAGGTTGTGGGAGGGACTGCAGACCATGTGACCAGATCTGGGACTATTCAGACTGAGACTCCATTCTTAGAAGTAAAGAGTTTTGCATCAGAAACAGCACAGTACAGTTTAGAAGTCAGTAGTGTCAGTATGCTGCAGTGTGTAGTCAGTTTGTATTGAGTCAATGCAACCTCAAACAACATAGAGTTAAGGGAAAACTGCACATCTATCTATCTATCTATCTATCTATCTATCTATCATCTATCTATCTATCTACCTATCTATCTACACACACACACACACACTAATTAGATTGGATTAGACTCAAGAGAGTGTTAGTCTGTATGCAACAAAGAAAAGACCAAAACAGAATGCTTTAGAGAACTTACTGTTTAAACTCTCAACCAATAAGCAATGTACCTGTATGCTGAATACATGAAGTTTGTGAGTAAAATCAACTATGTTACTTTTAACGAAAACGTCCTATTTTTGGTCTCTTGAGAGCATGATTTAAAAGCAATATGGGAGAGTAGATTTTTTGGGCAACTGAAATAACACTTCTGAAGATCAGCTATACATTTTGTGCATTGGCATATCATTGTTCCTGACAGTTCAGAGAGATAACCAGGTATATTAGTCTAACGACTGAGAAGCCTAATTCCTCTTGCATGAATACTAGTGGATATTTACCACTAAGGAGAAGATTCACTCAAATGAGTATTTTATTTAACTCTTCTCAGGAAGACCGTACTTTACAAAAGGGTTATGATTATTCCAAGTAGTGTGAATGCCAATTAATCTCCAAAAGGGTCATGTTTCCAAAAGGCTACGGAGATTCCTGGTTTCCCAAAAGGTTATGATCTTTAAAAAGTCATGCCTTTCCAAAAAGTATGCACGATTGTTTTTCATCATCATCATCATCATCATCATCATCATCATCATCATCATCATCATCATGATGTTTATTTATACCCCACTTTTTATTTCCACGAGGAGGGAATTAGTTGTATTGCATTTCTGTTTGGAATCCTCTGGTGCTGCAGCAGGTTAAACCTCTGAGCTGCTGAACTTGCTGACTGAAAGGTCAGCAATTTGAATCAGTGGAGTGGGGTGAGCTCCTGCTGTTAGCCTCAGCTTCTGCTAATCTAGCAGTTCTAAAACATGCAAATATAAGTAGATCAATAGGTACAGCTTCTGAGGGAAGGTAACGGTGCTCCATGCAGTCATGCTGGCCACATGATCTTGGAGGTGTCTTTGGACAACGCTGGCTCTTAGGCTTAGAAATCAAGATGAGCACCATCCCAAAGAGTCGGACACGACTAGACTTAAATATCAGGGGAAACTTTTACCTTTACCTATTTCTGTTTTGCTATCAAAGAGCTCACTGTAGCAAATAGTTAGATACATTTGTTTATTGACCATATCAACAGTAAAAGTCAAAAGACAAGTATATAAAGATACAATAAACACATATCCCTATCCTAACACTCCTGTAATTGATAGCTAAAATACATTTAAGCACTTAGAACTTGATTAAATAATAAGTTTGGCAAATCCTTCCTCCCCCCAAACTCTAATAATTTTAAAGATGTTCTAAGATGATAGGAAAGACGCAGGTTCGCAGCTTGGGAGTGATCCTGGACTCATAGCCGAGCCTGGAACCCCAGGTTTCAGGGGTGGCCGGGAGAGCTTTTGCACAATTAAAACTTGTGCACCAGTTGCGGCCGTATCTTGGGAAGTCTGATCTGGCCACGGTGGTCAATGCTCTTGTTACATCCCCGAATAGACTACTGCAATGCACTCTACGTGGGGTTGCCCTTGAAGACTGTTCGGAAACTTCAACTGGTCCAGCGAGCGGCAGCCAGATTACTCACCGGAGCGTCATACAGGGAGCACACTATCCCCCTGCTGTGTCAGCTCCACTGGCTGCCGGTTCAGTTCCGAGCACAATTCAAGGTGCTGGTTTTGACCTACAAAATCCTATACGGTTCGGGTCCAGCATATCTGTCCGAACGTATCTCCCTCTACGTCCCACCCCGGAGTTTGAGATCATCTGGGGAGGCCCTGCTCTCGACCCCACCGCTATCACAAGTGAGGTTGGTGGGGATGAGGAGCAGGGCCTTCTCAGTGGTGGCCCCTCACCTGTGGAACTCACTGCCGGGGGAAATTAGGTCATCAACATCCCTCCTCTCCTTCAGGAGGAAATTAAAGACGTGGTTGTGGGACCAGGCCTTTGGGCAATCTGACAACAACTAGATAAGGACAATTAGATGACTAGGACTGACAGGACTGACAAAGTGGAATTGGAAATTGGACTATGAGATGGCCAACGTTAATGAGGAGTAATTGGTTTGTATTGGTTTTATTGTTGTAATGCAGGAACTGTTGGTTAACTGTTAATTGCTGCTATATTGTTTTATACTACTGTTATGTGATGCCGGCATCAAATTGTACCTTTGTAAGCCGCCCTGAGTCTCCTCCGGGGTGAGAAGGGCAGGGTAGAAGTAACCGAAATAAATAAATAAATAATAGGAAAAGAGAAGATTTAGAGTTGCTGGATCTGAAAACATATTTTGTAGCAGGCATGGGCAAACCTGGACCCTCCAGGTGTTTTGGACTTCAAGTTGAAATCCAAAACACCTGGAGGGCTCAAGTTTGCCCATGCCTACTTTATAGTGTATCTTGAAATCCTGAAGTGTGTATATATTTAGGGAAAAGAGTGCAGATGAAAGATGAAATCACAAGTCAAAGTGCATTCTATAACTGAACTGTTGGTGTTCTGCTTGCTTTAAATTTCTGGCTGGTGTTGCTGGATCAGAAGCTGAGGATGTGTTTGTCAACAAAGAGAAGGTACAGAAGGAGATCAAGGCTGTCTCTTCGAAAGATGCCATCCTCAGCTGCGAGGTTTCCCAGGCCAAAGCAGAAGTGAAGTGGTTCAAGGACGGGAAACCCCTCACACCTGGAAAGAAGCTCAAAGTAGAAGATGAAGGCAAATCCCGGCGGCTGATTGTACAAGCGACGGAGAAAAAGGACGCGGGCGAATACACCTGTGAAGTCGGCAACCAGAAACTGACCTTCAAGGTTACTGTAGCAGGTACAAGGATTCTTTCTGTGATAATAGTAGCCAATACTCTAGTCCAGAGAACAGGATCAGAACTCAAAATGACCATTACTAACAAAATGGACTCCAAGAGGGAGCACTTAGGCAATAAAAATCAAATGCATTGATATAGAGTGGGGGACACCTGGCTTGGAAACAGTCCAAGGGTTTAACCATCTTGTCACATTGAGACATTTTCCTCTTGCAAGATACTTAATCCTCTTTTCAAGCATGGAGAGGCACGGATCTCATCACAGCTCTCATGCATAGCCTTCCATGGTTGAAAAGAGGCAGAAGTGTCCTCAAAGGAGGGGACTCTGGCAATAGACCTCCTCACGTTGAGACATTTCCCCCTGGTAGGACACTTCAGCCTCTTTTCAGGCATGGAGAGCTCAGCACACATTCCTGGGTTGAAAAGAGGCAGATGTGTCCTGAACTCTGAGCATGGCCCAGCAATCCTGTTCAGAGCTCCTACCTCTTATCATGCTTTACTTCCATGTTTACATCTGAAAAACAGGTGAGATGGGAACCATCAAACTGTCCCATCCTGCTTCATTGCCCAACCATCAGTAGTCTATTGTATCCTATGGAGTTTAGTGCAGAACCATAGGATCCCAAGCAAAGAAATGGTTTTAACCTGGATCACTGCCTCTTATACCCTATGGGGTTTGGTGCAGAACCATAGGATCCCATGGAAAGAAATGTTTTAACCTGAATCACTGCCTCCTGTACCTTATGGGGTTTGGTGCAGAACCATAGGATCCCATGGAAAGAAATGGTTTAACCTGGATCACTGTGTCTTGTACCCTATGGGGTTTGGTGCAGAACCATAGGATTTCATGGAAAGAAATGGTATAACCTGGATCACTGTCTCTTGTACCCTATGGGGTTTGATGCAGAACCATAGGATCCCATGGAAATCGTTTAACCTGGATCCTTGTCTCTTGTATCCTATGGGGTTTGGTGCAGAACCACAGGATCCCATGGAAAGAAATGTTTTTAAACTGGATCACTGTCTCTTTTACCCTACGGGGTTTGGTGCAGAACCATAGGATCCCATGGAAAGAAATTGTTTTAATCTGAATCACTGCCTCTTGTACCCTATGGGGTTTGGTGCAGAACCATAGGATCCCATGGAAAGAAATAGTTTTAACCTGGATCACTGTCTCTTGTGCCCTATGGGGTTTGGTGCAGAACCATAGCATCCTAGTATCCTATTGGCTTTGATGCAGAACTATAGGATCCCATGGAAAGAAATGGTTTAACCTGGATCCTTGTCTCTTGTACACTATGGGGTTTGGTGCAGAACCATAGGATCCCATGGAAAGAAATGTTTTAATCTGGATCACTGCCTCTTGTACCCTATGGGGTTTGGTGCAGAACCATAGGATCCCATGGAAAGAAATGATTTAACCTGGATCACTGTGTCTTGTACCCTATGGGGTTTGGTGCAGAACCATAGGATCCCATGGAAAGCAAGGGTTTTAACCTGGATCACTGCCTCTAGTATCCTATGGAGTTTGATACAGAAACATAGTATCCCATGGAAAGAAATGGTTTTAAACTGGTGTCAGTGTCCCTGAATGTAAGAGTCTTTGGGCAGGGCAAGGGATCTCTTGGTTTTTGGATATTGTTGTTCCTCATGATTAAAACCAAAAAATAATATTGATCTTGTAATGAATGTAAGACGAATGTATTGTCAGCTCTTAAGTTTCCACGTGTGAGTGTGATGATGAGGCAGAACTCGAAACGGGACTGCTGACGATAAAAGGGGGCAATTCTCTACTCTTAAAGGTAGAGTCACCCATACTTTTCCCTCTCAATGTGATGAGGTGATAATCATGAGTCAACAGTGTGATGCAGGAACTAAAAAAGCAAATGCAATTCTAGGTTACATAAATAGGAGTATAGTGTTTTTGACTGTAGAAAGTCATAGTATCTCTATATTCTGCTATAATCTTGTGTCAAGTTCTGGGCAATATAGTTCAAGAAGGATGTTGACGAGTTGAAAGGTGTCCAGAGAACAGCAACCAAAATGGTCATAAGTTTGGAAGCCGAGCCTTATGGGATCTTATTTAGGAACCTTTCTGTCACTTGCCTTGTGCAATGAGTCCACTCCGCTTCTGTGTCGACATGCACAGGAGCAGAACGCATTCCTTTTCCAAGCTCCACTTCTAAGTATGCGTCTTATTAATCCATCGCAAGGTGCCACCTTCCAGCATCTTGGGTTAGAAATCCCCAGAGCCAGCAAAACCGATTCTCCAGTTCCATGAAGCAAACCTGGGCCTCCTAAGCCCTTTTCTCGTGTATCGCTTCTCCCGTTCCAGTCTCCCGTCACACATTAAAACAGCTGTCCTTTTCCTTCCAGCATCCCTGACCATCCTTGTTCTGTTTCCATTGGTCACCAAAGGTCACAATTCACCTCTTTGGAACATTTTTTGTGTGTTTTTGTTGACAAATGTTTATGGGATGTTTGCTTTTGCAAGGGCAGCGTTCAATGAATACAACTGGCAGATGTTGAGGAATTCAATGTTTATATTGCAGGCATGGGCAAACTTGGGCCCTCCAGGTGTTTTGGACTTCAACTCCCACAATTCAGGAATTGTGGGAGTTGAAGTCCAAAACACCTGGAGGGCCCAAGTTTGCCCATGCCCACAATATAAACATTTCATCAGATATTGGAAGCTAAGTGGGGTCAGCTTTGGTTAGTACTTGGATGAGAGATGTTAGTTGTGACTATGTATTAGACATTGGAGTCCTCTAACTTAGGAGACTGATTTGGGAATAACCAGCCTTCTGGGCTACCTAATGTGTGTTATGTATTCCATATTGTAGCAGCATTTGAAGGAGAGATACTATCAAGAGAGACCCTTTCTGGAGAAAAGAAAAGTACGGCTTTATTTCCAGCTGGGACTCTGGAGTGGAGCTGTGTCCAAAAGCACCAGAGTGCCCGATAAAGGCGTTGACTGCCTTTTCATACACTTCAAATGCAGGCAAACAAAGAAACATGCTTCTACATACATTGACATCATTCTCTGTGTCACTTTAGCATCATAGGAATATCAAATTCTATCTTCCAACATGGCCCTGTATTTCTGTATGATAGCCATGTATAAATATGTGAGAGGAAACCACAAGGAGGAGGGAGCAAGCTTATTTTCTGCTTCCTTGGAGACTAGGACGCGGAACAATGGCTTCAAACTACAAGAGAGGAGATTCCATCTGAACATGAGGAAGAACTTACTGACTGTGAGAGCCGTTCAGCAGTGGAACTCTCTGCCCCGGAGTGTGGTGGAGGCTCCTTCTTTGGAAGCTTTTAAACAGAGGCTGGATGGCCATCTGTCGGGGGTGATTTGAATGCAATATTCCTGCTTCTTGGCAGGGGGTTGGACTGGATGGCCCATGAGGTCTCTTCCAACTCTTTGATTCTTTGATTCTATGATTCTTTGTAAAGAGCAGCTTACAGCTTACATTCATCAATCAAGGGGCCTACTTTGACCTGTCATGAGGGAGGGGGATTGGCTTCTTACTTTTTACTTATCTCTGTTGCTACTAGGACCAGCTTATCTCTCCCCTGGAATGTTCCCCCTCCTGCCCATACCTTGGACACAGATCTCCTTCAGCATTCTTTCTAATACAGAGAGAACTTGATTTTTCTATACATCTCAATGCTTGTAAAGTACATACAATTTATACATAAATAAATATCTATTTTTCCAATATCTCCCCATCAATATGTTATTGGGAATCATTAAAGACTCACTGGTCACATCATGTTCTCTTCCTCCCTAGATGCAGAAGTGGAGGAGGTCTTTGCCAACAAGGAGAAGGTCCTCAAAGAAGTCAAGGCGACCCTTTCAGAAAATGCCTCCTTCAGCTGTGAGGTGGCCCAGGCCAAAACAGATGTGAAGTGGTTGAAGGATGGGAAGGTGATCACAGCCAGCAACAAATTCAAGATAGAAACCGAAGGCAAGAAGCGGAAGCTGCTTGTACAGCAGGTGGAGAAGAAGGATGCGGGAGTATACACCTGTGAAGCTGGGGGACAGAAACTGGCCTTCAAACTCACCGTATCAGGTACAAATAGATTTGTAAGTGGGGCTGTAGGTAGGTTCAGGTAAATTTGCCGTTGTGTGGCTTCGAACCATTTCCAATTTATGTTGACTTTAAGCTGAACCTACCATGGGGTTTTCTGGGCCTGAGAGTGACTTGCCCAAGTTAACCAAATGGCTTTCCATGACAGAGTTGCGATTCAAATCCTGTTCTCCAGTGTCATAGATCAATGCTCCAACCACTATACTATACTGGAGAGTAAACTGCTATATATTAATGTCAGGTTTCTCCTGACATTAAGTCTAGTCGTGTCTGACTCTGGGAGTTGGTGCTCATCTCCATTTCTAAGCCAAAGAGCCGGTGTTGTCCATAGACGCCTCCTAAGTCATATGGCTGGCATGACTGCATGTAGCGCAGTTACCTTCCCACAGAAGTGGTACCTATTGATCTACTCACATTTGCATGTTTTCAAACTGAGAGGTTGGTAGAAGCTGGGGCTAACAGTGGGAGCTCACCCCACTCCCTGAATTTGAACTGCCAACCTTTCGGTCAGCAAGTTCCAGGTGATTCTGTGGTACTCATTGAGTCATTATTATGTTATTATGTTTATTTATACCCCAATATTTTTGTCCATAAGGAGAGATATAGTATATTGCCTAGAATTTCTGTCTAGGAATCTCTAAGTCCTTCAGAACAATTCTATTGTACGATGAGTCCAGAAGTTAGGTAATTAATGGTGTGTTGTCAAAGGCTCTCATGGCTGGAATCACTGGGTTTCTGTGAGTTTTCCAGGCTGTATGGCCATGTTCCAGAAGTAGTCTCTCCTGACATTTTTCCACATCTGTGGCAGGCATCCACAGAGATTGTGAGTCTGTTGGAAACTAGGCAATAGATATAAAAACCTCTCTTGCCTAGTTTCCAACAGACCTCACAACCTCTGAGGATGCTTACCATAGATGTGGGTGAAACATCAGGAGAGAATGCTTCTGGAACATGGTGAGACAACCTGGAAAACTCACAGCAACCCAATTTAATGGCGTTCAGTTCTATCCGCCCTGAGTCCCTTTGGGGAGATAGAGCGGAATATAAATAAATTATTATAATCATCATCATCATCCACATTTTCAAGTAATTATAGTTCAATGTATTGTCGAAGGCTTTCATTTCTGGAATCACTAGGTTCTTGTGGGTTTTTCCGGGCTATAGGGCCATGTTCTAGAGGCATTTCTCCTGACGTTTCGCCTGCATCTATGGCAAGCATCCTCAGAGGTAGTGAGGTCTGTTGGAATTAGGACAATGGGTTTATATATCTGTGGAATGGCTGGGGTGGGGCAAAGAGCTCTTCTCTGCTGGAGCTAGGTGTGAATGTTTCAACTGACCACCTTCATTAGCATTTGAAGGCCTGGCTGAGCCTGGGAAAATCTTTTGTTGAGAGGTGTTAAGATGTGCCTGGTTGTTTCCTCTCTGCTGTTTGGCTGTTGTAATTTTAGAGTTTTTTAATACTGGTAGCCAGATTTTGTTCATTTTCATGGTCTCTTCCTTTCTGTTGAAATTGTCCACATGCTTGTGGATTTCAATGGCTTCTCTGTGTATATTATCTGTGCATATTATTTGAGAACACAGAAATGCTGGACCACACCAACAACCACCATGTCAGACTACACAGAGAAGCCATTGAAATCCACAAGCATGTGGACAATGTCAGGAGAAATATCTCTAGAACACGGCCCTGTTGTTGTTGTTCATTCGTTCAGTCGTCTCCGACTCTTCGTGACCCTATAGCCCGAAAAAACTCACAAGAACCTAATTATAGTTCAGCTGGAAATGTATCCCCTGTGGATATAGGAATCTATACCTAAAATTTCATTAGATGGCTTTTCAAAATGGCAATAGGAAGTGTCATTTTGGGAAAGCTGCTTAGGAAGATTGGTCATGCACTTATTGTATTTTATGTGTTTGCACCTTGAGTGCTTTTGTGTGCCACCCTGAGTCCCTCTCGGGAGATGGTGGCAGGGTAGAAATAAATAAATAAATAAACAAACAAACAAATAAATAAATAAGGAAGATAGAAATATTTGTCAGGATTATTGGAGGAGTTTTTGCAAGTGATGATGGCTTTATAGGAGGAAGAAACTGACCCCTGGTCTCCACGGAGTTGTCCATTTCTCATTGGACCTCAAAAGCCAGATCTCTCTTAATTGTTGATGTTTTGGTGTATTCTAACATTTTTGCTCAGCTGGGATATGGTTCATTGTCAATATTACAGAAGCCGAGGATGCGTTTGTCAACAAGGAGAAGGTCCAGAAAGAGGTCAAGGTTGTCTCCTCAAAGGATGCCACACTGAGCTGTGAAGTGGCCCAAGCTAAGACAGAAGTGAAGTGGTTCAAGGATGGGAAACTCATCACATCTAGCAAGAAACACAAGGTAGAAGCTGAAGGCAAATCCCGGAAGCTGATTGTACATGCAACAGAGAAAAAAGACGTGGGAGAATACACCTGTGAAGCCGGCAACCAGAAACTGACCTTCAAGGTCACTGTAGCTGATGAAAAAGGTTTGTGGATATTCAAAATACACAATCATATATTTGGACTGCCTTCTACTATTGACCAAAGATCATAAACACCACCCATTTTCCTCGCTCCCTTTCCTTGGGATTTAATTCTTTATCTGATTCATTCTTAAGGAAGTACAAACGAAGTTTGTAAGAGTTTCCTCCATTTCTGAAGAGTTGTTGTATAATTTGTTTACACTTTGGATGAGGATAATCCCAGTATCCACAGAACTGGTACTTGTGATTTCATTACTTGCATTTGACCAGATATTTTCTAGGTCTCCAGGTGATTCTGTGGTAGGCTTCCACCAGATCGTGAAGTTGTATTGAAGGACCTAAACTTGGCATGTTCTAGAACAGGCATTGACAAACTTCAACCTTCCAGGTGTTTTGGACTACTCCCACCAGCTCCCACCATTCTTGTAGGCTGTTAGGAATGGTGGTAGTTGAAGTCCATTAACACCTGGAGGACAAAGTTTACCCATCCCTGTTCTAGAATCTTAAGCAAGACTTTATGGAATTTTCCATCAGAAGTTGACTGTGGCCCTCCATCTGTCTGGACCTCCAACTCCCATAATTCCTGACCATTGAACAAGCTGGTTAGAGCTTCTGGGAGTTGGAACCCAAATAGCTGGAGGGCCACAGTTTGAGGATGCATGTCTTCGAGGATCCAGCAATATCTAGAGAGATGTCCTCTGTAGGTATCTTCTGAGTCCTCCATCAAGACTTTGTCAGAATTCATCCGTTCAGTCGATTCCACTATAACCTATAGACCCACATATCCACATGAAGCCCTGGAATGTATTCCCTATGGCTAAGGAAGGAGGGGAGGCATACTGTACATTGTGCCTATTGGAGTTTGCTCACCTTTGATATGGAGCATTCAAAATAGGTTCCCCTTACAAAAACTTACCTGTTGCACTCCAGGACAGGAAAACTCCTCTGACTTAAAACACCACGCCGTTGGATGGAAAACAGTCCTTTGATTGAAGATAATTGAAAAGCAGTAAAGTAAAAAAGCACTTTAAAGAAATAGGAAAATCCAATTAGGTAGGAAGATAAGCAGGAACAAAGTAGTCCTGGGTAATAGTCCAGCTAAGTCCATAAAAACAAAGTCAAAACTTCCCAAATAAAATGCAAGAAATCAGGAAACACGAATCCAAGGCATAAATATAGAAGCATAAAATCCAAGAATCAAAACCATGAAACAAAGGCACTTAAAACATGAATTTTCCAAACGAAGCTTCCATGAACAAGGACAAGATCTTGACTTGATTCCAAACGATGCTTCATCTGACTACATATCCTGTACTTGGGACTTTTACCTCCTCGTTAGCTATGTCTCTAGCGCTCAGAAATTGGTTTAGCTTTAGTTGAGAATTTCTTATCTTTTTCTCATGGAGCCTGGCAGAACGCCGAAGCCACTGTTCAGCTCTCCTGTTTTTACTGATCTCCTCCCGTCTATCTGTTTGCTCATTAATTTCTGCAGCTGGGCCAGGTGCCAAGCTCTTTTCATGTTCCCTATCATGGGAATTCTGTGGTAACAATTCAGAAAGCACACCATCATCCTCACACCCCTCATGGACATTCTCATGGGAAACTATATTTTGAATAGGGATCTCCTGGTCATTCTCTGCATCAATATCACTGGCCAAACCATCGCCATCTTGAAACTCATCTTGAATCTCATTGACATCACTCCCCACATCCAAAGCACCCTGATTCTGAAACACGATCACAGGCTGAGTTTCTAACATTATCTACTTTTTTCAGGAACCCAAGTATCAAGAACATCTGGTATTAATGGGGTTGTCTTCTCAAAACTCAGCTTGATGAACACTCTAAAGCTCAACACTCTAAAGCTCTGTGCTTGTGATGTGTTCAGATATGAATTTTGTGGGTGGATCAAAAAGACCAACCACGTGGATTGCTAAATGTGTTTTTCAGTCAACTGGGGGTCAGTGGGAAACTTGAATGGCCTTAGGTAGAGGGAGGTGAAGCTAGAAAACCTATCTGCTTCTTTCCCCAGTTGCAGAAGTTGAGGAAATATTTGCCAACAAAGAGAAGGTACAGAAAGAGATTAAAGCCATGTCTTCGGAAAACGCTACTCTCAGCTGTGAAGTGGCCCAGGCCAAAGCAGAAGTGAAGTGGTTCAAGGATGGGAAACTCATCACCGCCAGCAAGAAATTCAAGGTAGAGTCTGAAGGCAAATCCCGACAGCTGATTGTCCAACAGGTAGAGAAGAAGGATGCTGGGGAATACACCTGTGAAGCAGCGGGACAGAAACTGGCCTTCAAAATCACCGTTACAGGTACAAATACTATTTTATTTCCTCTATATATTTTTATTTATATAGATTTTAAAGTAATTTTGGGCATGGCTCAATGCTATGGAAGCCTGGGAGCTGTAGTTTTACAGATCTTACAGCCTTATCTGCCCAAGATTGGTGGTACATCACCAAATTACAAGTCCCAGGATTCCCTAGCACTGAGACAAAGTAGTTAAAATGATGTCAAACTGTATTAATTCAACTGTGTAGATGCATCCTAAGTCACAAATATTATATCTGTCCGTAACTGAAATATTGATATTAAAATTTCTGTTGGTGGAATTGTTCAGAAGCTGAGGAGGTGTTTGCCCACAAAGAGATGGTCCAAAAAGAGGTCCAGGCTGTCTTTTCAAAGGAGGCTACACTCAGCTGCGAAGTGGCTCTGGCCAAGACTGAAGTCAAGTGGTTCAAAGATGGGAAGCTCATCACTTCTAGCAAGAAACACAAAGTAGAAGCTGAAGGCAAATCCCGGAGGCTGACTGTACAAGCAACAGAGAAGAAGGATGTGGGCGAGTACACCTGCGAAGCCGGCAACCAGAAAGTGACTTTCAAACTTAATGTCACAGGTAAGAATCAAAGACACCAACCTGAGAGGACACCTCTCCGGGAATGGTCCAAAATTGACAACTGAATCATGCTGGAGGAAATACAAATACTGAGGGAACATATTAAAAAAATGCAGGAATAATCAAAATTGCCAAAGTGAAGCTTACAAATGTGGAGCGGTAACTGCAAATAAATTTATTTGCAGATGATATTTTATTATTCTTGTCAAATCCTAGTTAATGTTCACAACAACCGCTATCAATTTCAAAAAGTTTCAGGCACACACAGAACTCAAAATAAATTATGATAAATAATATTAACTATAAGCATATTCAAAGAAGAGCTTATCTAATAGAGAAGCTTTTCAAAATAATTTTTATACCCTGCCCTTTTACATAAAATGTCATAATTGACATACAGAGCAGGTAATAATCTTCATATTTCTAGCAATTTTGAAAACTGTAGTTCAGAGTTCTAAGAAGTTCACAGTTTGAGAACCACTGCCCTAAACAGTTCCAGCCCAGCTTACCTGTCCAAATGTATCTCACTCTATGATCCACTTTGGAGTATAAGATCGACAGGGGAGGCCTTGCTCTTGGTCCCGCCTCCTTCACAGGCACGATTGGTGGGACGAGAGACAGGGCCTTCAGTGGTGGCCCCTTGGACTGTGGAACTCTCTCCCCAGAGATTAGATCAGCCCCTCCCTCCTGACCTTCAGGAAGAAAGTGAAGACATGGTTGTGGGGCCAAGAGTTTGCACAATGATTCCCAGTGCAACAATGATCTCTCAGTGCAATAATGAATAATGCAGGTGACAATCGGAGTTTTAATTATGCGATTTTTAAATTATATGTTGTTTTATTTTTATGTGTACTCATGGCATCGAAATGTCCTTTTGTTGTGAGCTGCCCTGAGTCCCCTTCGGGATGTGTGCTGTCACGCGCTGGGCCTGTGAAAGAGTCTGTAGACAGGACATGTTTTCTGAATGCCCAATGGGACGCCGGGGGTGCCTCGGCTGAGAGGCCTTTCGGATTTCCCCACACAAAGTTCTTTTAAAGACTTAGAAAGTTCAACAAAGTTTTTATTGTTGCTTAAATCTTCAATAAATCAAACAAATACTTCAAGGCTTTGAATCAACTGGTGGCTTGCTTAAATCTTGTCCACAAGGGACAGGCAACTTTCTTCATAAACTGTTTCTTCCTTCTACAAGGGAAATCCTTCACCTCTCCCTGGGCAATCTAACTTAAGCTCTGCTGGCATGGGCCCCTACACCTGGTCCAAATTGCTTTATGGCTGCTGCGAGTGGTCCTTACCAAACAGAGTCCTTTAGTAGATTTCCAAGAGGAAAGAAGGCTTTCAATTCCCAGCAAAGGCTGGCTGTAAAACCGTGGAGCTGTATTTCTCCAACAAAGGCTATGCTGTAGTTCTCTGTAGAGCTGTGGGACTGGATCCCCCAGCAAAAGCTGTAAAAGACGAAGCTTTCTACAGGTGAAACTGATTCACATCCTGTACGAAAGGCTTCTCTATGTGAACTGAACTAGAGGTCCCCCTTTTCCCTCCTTAACCCTGGGGAAAAGGGTGGAACTAAAGAACATAATGATAATTGATGGGTCATTGGTCCTATTATTGCAAACCAAGGGAAGCCACCTTATTGCAAAATGCATGGAACTTTGGAATACATGCAGACACTCAATAGAAAGGAAAAGAAGTTGGAGCTCCTGGTACAGCCGTACCAGCACAGGGTGAGAAGGGCGGGATATAAGTGCAGCAAGCAAACAAACAAATAAATAAGAAGTTTGCCAGATGTTTATCAATTTTTGCCTTGGGGCTACATAGCTTGTAATCATGAAACATGAACCTGGCTGTGTGGTGACATGCTAGGTCTCAAGAACTGGTTTAATTGGTAATGGAGACATCCATCCTCCCTCAACAGAAGTTCTGTTTCTTTCTTACACATTCACAGAGCCTGTAGAGATCTTTGCTAACAAGGAGAAGGTGCAGAAGGAGGTCAAAGCTGTTGTGAAAGAGGACACCGTTTTGTCCTGTGAGGTGGCCAGCTCTGATACGGAAGTGAAGTGGTACAAAGACGGGAAGCTGCTCAGCTCCAACAAAAAAGTCAAGATGGAGTCCAAAGGCACCTCCAGAAAACTGGTCGTGGAACAAGTGGAGAAGAAGGATGCTGGGGCCTACACTTGTGAAGCTGCTGGACAGAAGCTGACCTTCAAGGTTGAAGCAGTTGGTAAGTTTATCGCCTCCACAAGAGGAAAGGTAGAGTTCAGTGAAGAACCAAAATGATGTGAGACTCATGTTGGAATGATCATTGGCACGTGTATCAAGGTTTTCTAGAAGAATCTTTCATGGGCTGTTGTAGATTTTTTAGGCTATATGCCCATGTTCTAGAGGCATTCTCTTCTGATGTTTTGCCTGCATCTATGGCAAGCATCCATGGCATTTCCATAGGTATTCCCAGACGTTGGCCACAGAATCATGCTGGAAGGCCAACGAATGCTTAGAGAAGGGCTATCTCTAGATATCTCTAGGTCTTCTGACTTAACTTTATGGTCATCTTTTGGAATTTTTGAATGGAGAGAACTTACTTAAAATGAAAGTATGTTGTATTATGGGTCACAAACAAAATGACACAGGACATTTTCTCTCTCAAAACACAAATCCCAGTAACTACAACTCCCAAATGTCAAGGTTCATTTCCCCCAAATTCCATCTGTGTTCATATTTCGGCATATTGAGTATTCATGCCAAGTTTGGTCCAGATCCATCATTGTTTGAGTCTACAGTGCTCTCTGGATGTAGGTGAACTACAACTCCAAAACTCAAGGTCAATGCCCACCAAACCCTTCCAGTGTTTTCTGTTGGTCATGGGAGTTCTGTGTGCCAAGTTTGGTTCAATTCCATCGTTGGTGGAGTTCAGAATGCTCTTTGATTATAGGTAAACTATAAATCCCAGAAACTACAACTCCCAAATGACAAAATCAAGTGATGGTCACTCCTTGGGCTAGTAGGTGACTTGTGGCCACATATGGTGGCCATTGGTGATTTTTGAGTTATGTTAATCCCACAAATGAACATTACATTTTTATTTATATAGATCTGTGAGCATTAGCACATATTTGCATTCATGTTGTTATCTTTAAGTTTTCTGGAGTTTTTATGTAGCTTGGGCTGATACATAGTATAGAATAATAGAATCATAGAGTTGGAAGAGACCTCCTGGGCCATCCAGTCCAACTCCATTCTGCCAAGAAGCAGGAATATTGCATTCAAAGCACCCCTGACAGATGGCCATCCAGCCTCTGTTTAAAAGCTTCCAAAGAAGGAGCCTCCACACACTGGGCAGAGAGTTCCACTGCTGAACGGCTCTCACAGTCAGGAAGTTCTTCCTCATGTTCAGATGGAATCTCCTTTCTTGTAGTTTGAAGCTGTTGTTCCATTGCGTCCTAGTCTCCAAGGAAGCAGAAAACAAGCTTGCTCCCTCCTCCCTGTGGCTTCCTCTCACATATTTATACATGGCTATCATATCTCCTCTCAGCCTTCTCTTCTTCAGGCTAAACATGCCCAGCTCCTTAAGCTGCTCCTCATGGGACTTGTTCTCCAGACCCTTGATCATTTTAGTCGCTCTCCTCTGGACACATTCCAGCTTGTCAACATCTCTCTTGAATTGTGATGCCCAGAATTGGACACAATATTCCAGATGTGGTCTAACCAAAGCAGAATAGAGGGTAGCATTACTTCCCTAGATCTAGACACTATGCTCCTATTGATGCAGGCCAAAATCCCATTGGCTTTTTTTGTTGCCACATCATATTGTTGGCTCATGTTTAACTTGCTTTCCACAAGGACTCCAAGATCTTTTTCACACATACTGCTCTTGAGCCAAGCATTGCCCCCATTCTGTATCTGCATTTCATTTTTCCTGCCAAAGTGGAGTATCTTGCATTTGTCCCTGTTGAACTTCATTTTGTTAGTTTTGGCCCATCTCTCTAATATGTCAAGATCATTTTGAATTCTGCTCCTATCCTCTGGAGTATTGGCTATCCCTCCCAATTTGGTATGACCCACATATCCATAGTGGAACATTCACAGACTTCACATGGACATGAGAAAATGTAGATAATAGCAAAATCAATTGAAAGGAAGGACACAATATCATAGATTTGTGATGGAAGAACTAGAAAATGCTGAGAAGTCATATTTTGTCACAACTGGATATACCTGTAGATGTGAGGATCATGTTGGATAGCTTTAAAGTGATAACTGTTACTTCTTCCTCCACCCATTTCTTCTTCCTTCTCCTTTTCTAGAACCTGAGGCCAAATTCCAAAGAAAACCTGCCCAGGAAGAAAAGATTGTTGTCCAGGAGCAAAAAAGCGTGGTCTTGTCAACTTCTGTGACGCCTGATAATGCTGAGGTCAAATGGTTCAAGGATGGGATTGAAATCAAGGGCAACAAGAAGTATGAGATGAAAAAAGATGGAGCTTCCCGGACCCTGACTGTGAAGCAGGCTGAGGTCAAGGATATTGGTGTTTACACCTGCGAGACCAAGAATGACAAGCAGCAGTTCCAAGTTCAGGTCCAAGGTGAGAGGAGACATCTCTAGATGAGTCAGAAATGGAGTTTCAAATGGAGAATCTTGTAAGACAGGTGTAAGTCAGATGGACTTGCAAGGATAAAGTAATGAGTAATCTAAGGTGAATATTAAATATCAAATCAAGTTCAAGCAGCCCAAGCTTCTCCCAACCCAAGAACATTGTACCTTGGTGTCCTGCAATTGCTTCGGATATCAGTGTCTATTATTTATTAATTAATTATTTCGGACATTTATATCAGGGATTGTGGCGTGTCAGCTGCATTAAGATCACTACTGACCGAAAGGTCATGAGTTTGAAGCCAGCCCAGGTTGGAGTGAGCTTCCGGCCAATTGTGTAGCTTGTTGTCAACCATTGCAACCCGAAAGACAGTTGCATCTGTCAAGGTGGAAATTTAGGTACCACCTATGTGTGGGAAGGCTAATTTAACAAATTTACGAGGCCATAAAAAATATTCTCCAGCAAAAGCATGCGGGGAATGCGGAAAGTACTTCATTAAACTGCATGTGCTGTTTTCCTGTGTTTGCTGAAGTAAAGCATTTTTGATTTATTTCCAACGTGGTATTAAGGCTGTTCTTGAAGGGCAAATCAGGACAGAAACCATGAAAATTAACAAATACTGGCTGCCAGTATTAAAAAAACTGTAAAATCATAACAGTAAATAAAGAACAACACTCAAAACTGGGGAACTCCCGGCAAGAAACAATGAGGGCCAACTAATCACCTCCCAACAAAGGATTCCCCCAGGCAGTAAGAAGCCACACCTGGAAAAATGCTAGACCATTAGATGCTAATCGAGGTGGCCAATTGAAACATTTACACCTTCCTCAAACAGCCAAGAGTTGTTTCTCCCACACTGGACATTCCACAGATATATAAACCCAATTATCGTAGTTTCCAACAGACCTCTTTTAGAACATTTATGAGAGACAATCCAAACTGGAAGATGTAACACAGAAGAGAAGTCTCCTTTAAGATTACATGTTATGGGTGATAACGTACTTTCTCTCCATTTAACCCTAGAAGTCCCAGTCAAATTTGCCAAGAAGCTGGAGCCAGTGAAAGCGGAGATTGGTAGGAGCGTGACTCTGAGCTGTGAGCTCAGCCAGCCGAAGGGCGACGTTGTCTGGCGCAAGGATGGAGTGGAGCTCAAAGCGGACAAGCGCTACCAGATGCGCGAGAGCGGCGAAAAGCGCCTTCTGACCATTACAGGGCTCCGGGCAGAAGATAAAGGAAACTACTGCTGTGAAACCAAAGATGACAAGTGCAGCATTCAGGTCACCCCCATAGGTATGGCTTGGGTAGTATCATAAAGGCTAAGGTGTTCCTTGTTCATTGCTGGACCTTCTTAGCAAATTTGGAGATTCCACCAAATTAGGAGGACAGCTAATACCCTACAGGTCAGGGTCAGGATCCAAAATGACCTTAGAATCAGAGTTGGAAGAGACCTGGAGGGTCATCCAGTCCAACCCCATTCTGCCAAGAAGCAGGAAAATTGCATTCAAAGCACCCCTGACAGATGGCCACCCATCCTCTGTTTAAAAGCCTCCAAAGAAGGAGCTGAACAGCTCTCACAGTCAGGAAGTTCTTCCTAATGTTCAGATGGAATCTCCTTTCTTGTAGTTTGAAGCCATTGTTCCTTAACAGATGAGAGAGCCGGGACCAAACTAACACAGTGAAATTAAATACATAGATACAGGAGTACATTACAAGTTGAACAGGAGTCAACACTGTGATGCAACCGCACAAAAAGCCAAGCTATTCAAGGCTGCATCCATAGGAGTCTGGTGTCTTGATCAGGGGAAGTAATAGTGGCTCTCTGTCCTGATTTGAATGTTGTCTGTGTGTGAAATCCACATTTTTCCTGCACACAAACACTATTTCTACAGAAGGAAGGGTTTGTTTTTAGTTAAAAATACTGGGAGTTTCGTGCAAAAAAGTCCCAACAACTTTTCATTTCATGATATGTAAACAATGCTTTTCTTTATACATAAATCCTGTACATTTTCATGCAAAATAATATTCTAAGAAATACTTTAAAATTCTGTAATCTTGGAAACCATATATATGGTGTCACTGCTTAAGGAAATATAGTCTTTCTTGGAATTTTCTGGGTCCTTTAGGTGATTGTAGGCCCTTGGTGGCACAGCGGGTTAAAGCTGCTGAGCTGCTGAACTTGCTAACAGAAAGGTTGGCGGTTCAAATCTGGGGAGTGGGGTGAGCTCGCACTGTAAGGCCCAGCTTCTACCAACCTAGCAGTTCGAAAACATGCAAATGTGAGTAGATCAATAGGTACCGCTCTGATGGGAAAGTAATGGTGCTCTATGCAGACATGCTGGCCACATGACATTGGATGTGTCTATGGACAAAGCCGACAATGAGCACCACCCCCCCTAGAGCCAAACACAACTGGACTTAATGTCAGGGAAAACCTTTACCTTTTAGATAATTGTACAGTATGTTTACTACATAATTGCATTGGAAGACCTCACAATGCAACCCTATGATATGTCATTGGAGGTCCTCCAACCCAACTCTGTTACCAAAAGTAAGCTAATTTAATGGCGTGTGGTCATATTCACAGTTTCTGGTAACTGTGGACCACCTGGGGGAAAAAGAAGTGAATGATATATATTCATGATGATCTTAATGAGGTGCTGACACAGAATCGTCTTCTTTCCCAGTGCCCAGAGTGGTGAAGTTTGTCAAAGGCCTCCATAACATAGTCGGTGAAGAAGGCAAGGAAGCTTTCTTCAAATGCGTCGTTTCCCCCAATGATGCAGCCATCACATGGAGCCGCAACGGAACCAAAATCGAAGCCAGCAAGAAATACGTCATTTTCCAGAAGGACTCAAATCACAGCCTCACCATCACTGACCTGAATCTACAAGATTCAGGTGAAATCACAGCAGATGCAGAAGGGGTGCAGAGCAAGGCCAACCTCAAGGTTGAAGGTAAGTAATGGAAAGAAGCAAAACACAAGGTTGACATCCAGCCAGAATGGATCCCAGAAGGTCTTAGGATATTGTTCTGTCGTGTGCTGGGCCTGTAATAGCTGTCTTTTCTATAGGACATACACTTTAAGCCCAGTGGGAAGCCAGGGGCCTCAAGCAGAGGTTCTCGGGGATTTTTCTGAAGTGATGGTCTTTAGAGTCTTTAATGATACAACAAAGTCTTTATTATGGAACAAACAACAAATCTTCAATGGTTCAAACAACACTTCAAGGCTTTCTTAGTCTAGTCCTCAATGGACTGGTACCTGACTTTAATTAACTGTACTTTCTCTGTAGGAAAACCCCTTTTTAACCTCTCCCAGGCTGTTTACTATCTATGCCTCATCGGTGTGGGTCCTACTACCGATTCCAAATGCATCTGGGTATCGAGTAGACCTACCAGCCGAGGCTTGTAGATATTTCAGATGGAGTTCCGTGGATCTGTAGTGCTGTCTTCCCTCAGAGAATTCTTTGAGAACTTCAGGGCTGTTTTCCCTCTGTTTGCTGTGAGCTCTCAGCCAGAGCCTTGGGACCTTTTCCCTGGAATTTCTGTTTCTGTTTCCCCGGATGTTCCTGGGAAAATAAGTTTTTCTATGGGACGAGCTGGGTCTACGTCCTATAGTTTAGCTTCCTTATGTGAGACTGACCAAAAAATGGCTCCTTTCCCTCCCAGAGCCCTGAACAAGGGGTGGAACCAAAGCTTAATGATGATGGACAGGTGACCTGCCCTATGATTGCAAACAGATAACAGAAAGAAAATAAAGTTGGAGCTCCTGGTACAGCTGTACCAGCACAGATATGCTTCTTAGACTGTGGTGTCCATGTAGGTTGGACTGCCTGCCATGGTCCTTTTCTTTGCAGATAACCTTTATTGCAAAGTAATTTTGAGCTGTGTCTCACTATGGTCATCTTTCCTGGGCCCTTCCAAAATGACACTTCTATGTTTATGTTGTACGCAGAAGCCCCAGCCTTGTTTGTGAAGAAGCTGGAAGCCAAAACGGTGGAGGAGAAGGAGACAGTGACACTAGAAGTAGAGCTCTCAAAGGCCACCACGGAGGTGAAGTGGGTGAAGAATGGCAGCCTGCTCCATTCAGATGCCAACATGGAGATCAAGGCCGAGGGGACAAAGCACAGCCTCGTGATAAAGAGTGCCGCCTGCGAGGACCGTGGTTTTTACGCCTGCGAGACCCTCCATGACAAGACCCAGGCAAAACTCACTGTGGAAAGTAAGTCAGAATTAGTCGTATAGGCAGATAGGCATTTCAGAAATGCAAATTATGCTTCTCAGGCAGTTGAGTGCCCATTATCTGGAAACCTGAAATATTCCAAAACTTTTTGCTGCTAGCTATCTATTTCCAACTTTGAGGAAAGGGGGCTAGTCACACACACAGGACATCCTTTCCATGCAGAAGGCCCTAGATCAGCATTTCTCAACCTTCCTAATGCTGCGACCCCTTAATACAGTTCCTCGTGTTGTGGTGACCCCCAACCATGATATTATTTTTGTTGCTACCTCATAACTGTAATTTTGCTCTTGTTATGAATTGTAAATAATACAAATATCTGATATGCAGGATATATTTTCATTCACTGGACCAAATTTGGCATAAATATCCAATACGCCCAAATTTGAATACTGGTGGGGTAGAGGGGATTGATTTTTGTCATTTGGGAGTTGTAGTTGCTGAGATTTCTAGTTCACCTACAATCAAAGAGTATTCTGGACTTCACTAACAATGGAACTGAACCAAACTTGGCTCATAGAACTCCCATGACCAATAGAAAATACTGGAAGGGTTTGGTGGGTATTGACCTTGAGTTTGGGATTTGTAGTTCACCTACATCCAGAGAGCACTGTGGACTTAAACAATGATGGATCTGGACCAAACTTGGAATGAATACTCAATATGCCCAAATGTGAACATTGGTGGTTTTGGGAGAAAGTAGACCTTGACACTTGGGAGTTGTAGTTGCTGGGATGTATAGTTCACCTACAATCAAAGAGCATTCTGGACTCCACCAACAATGAAACTGAACCAGACTTGGCTCACAGAACTCCCATGACCAACAGAAAATACTGGAAGGGTTTGGTGGGCATTGAGAGTTATAGTTCACCTACATCCAGAGAGCACTGTGGACCCAAATAGTGATGGATCTGGACCAAACTTGGCACAAATACTCAATATGCCCAAAATGTGAACACTGGTGGAGTGTGGGGAAAATAGACTATAACATTTGGGAGTTCTAGTTGCTGGGCTTTATAGTTCACCTACAGTCAAAGAGCATTCTGAACTCCACCAACGATAGAATTGGGCCAAACTTCCCACACAGAACCTCCATGACCAACAGAAGATACTGTGCTTTCTGATGGTCCTTGGCGACCCCTCTGACACCCCCTCGCAACCCCTCCAGGAGTCCTGACCCTCAGGTTGAGAAATGCTGCCCCAGATCCATTTCTAAGCATCCAATTGATATAGGGCTGGATTAGGCAGCTTTATTGGATCTAGGAATCACAGGACTATTTAGTATTGTGTGGATATGCTTAATTTTTAATATACTAATTTAGGTATGTAGCCCATTTCGTTATGTAGGAGTGACTGAGATCCCTTCTATACAGCTGTATAAAATCCACATTGGACTGGATTATATGGCAGTGTGGACTCAGATAACTCAGTTCAAAGCAGATATTGTGGATTATCTGCTTTGATATTCTGGGTTATTTGGGTGTGTGGAAGGGCCATGAGTTTGATTCCCAAGACAAAAAGTGCTTTTGCTTCTGTCTCCTACTGTACCGCAGCACAAACAGCTGCTTGGGTCATCCCTAAGTGTGTTGAGTTGGTGCTTTTTGCTAATCCCTTCCCCAAAATAACCCCAGTGTCTCTGTAAGCACATTCCCTATCATGAGGGATGGGATATCCATTGACCCAGTCCAAAGGTCAACCCTATAACAGGTATGCTGGAGTTTTTGGAATCCTTGCCACTTAGAGAGAAGATGTCAAAAAGGGGCCTTGCAAAGCCAGCCATAAATTTAGTCAAAGACAAATATGACTTTAGAGGGCAGAGCCTGGGAAAAAATATATATCAGAAAGATGGAAGCTGAAGAGCAAATTACATGCTCACAGAACTGACTAGTCATTACTTGCTTTCTGAAAATGGTTCAATGTGCAAGAGCTTTGTTTCATGCACAATTATTACAAGTGCCACATTGCTTTAATTCTGAGAAAGTGTATATGAAATATAAATAAATTTTGTATCCCGATTTGGGTCGCATCTCCAAGACAGTTCACTATGTACATAAATACAAATGCAGGTATTCTAAAAACTAGGGATAATATCCAGAATCTAAACTACTTATGGTCCCAGCCAATTCAGATTAGGGATAATCAACCTCTGCAAGCTTACTTCTTTAGTTAGGATGCATCTACCCCTATTGAAATAATCTGGAGCGCTGTGCTCTGAAACAGTGCCCAGGTATGGAACAGGAGTATCCCTTTGGGATTTGCAATTTTATGGACGACTTAAAATTCACTGCCAAAAAGCTTCACTGCCTCACAGAACTAAATACCCCAGAATATGGTAGGTGTCAGGAGTCGATTTCTGACGGCATGAAGACATCACAAATTCCCTCCATGACATCCTGACTGAATCATCCTGGCTGAATCAATTCTCTCTCTGTGACATTTTGAAGCCAGCAGAGGGCGCTGGAAACCTTGTATTGGAACTTGTGAAGCAACAAGTTCTAATAAGGAAACTGAGAAGAGGGGAGATGGGCAGGAAAGGTGTATAAAAGGAAGTGGTGGTGGGAAAAAGTCAGTAGTGTCTTTCTTTGCTGCAGAGATACAAGCAATATATCCATTTCAAAGCAAAACGGCTTGTGAGTGGTTATTTAATATTGCTATATAGATCCTACAGTCTGACATTAGGTGGGGGTTATAACATTTAAAGTTATATTGAAATGGTATATGTGTGTAGTGTGAAAACAACAACAACAATGTATTACCTCCTTGTGATGCTCCTTATTATCTTCTTGTGATTTGAGGTGAGATACAACAGGATCAAAACACAGTTCTTAGGTCTTCTGTCTTGGCCATATTCTCAGAGTTCCTCTACTTCTTCCTCCTGTATTGTTTTCTTAGTTCAATTTCCAGAAGGGTTCCATATTCTCTTAAATGTAAGATCCATCTAATTCTTTATCACATGCTTTGTCCCTTCAGTGAGGCCCATCAAGGTGGTGAAGGGCTTGCAACCTATGGATGTCCACGAAAAAGACTCTGTCACCTTCGAGGTGGAGTTATCCCATGAAGATGTGGAAGGGACCTGGATGAAGGACGGCTTGAGGCTGAAGCCCAAGGAGAACTGCCTCATTAGCGCCAAAGGGAAGAAGCATTCGCTGACCCTCTCCAAACTTGCCATGGAGGATTCATGTCTCATTGCCTTCAAGGCAGAAGGAGTTCACACCACAGGAAGACTTAACGTGAAAGGTAGGTGTCCTCTCAGAGAAGATGTTGTGGGCATTTCACTTCTGGTTCCAGAAAGGAAGACAGAAAATCTCGAGAGCAAGGAAGTTTCCTCATGCAGATAAGCAGCTTCACTCTCACAGAGCCTCTTCTCACACCGAACATACACAAGAGCTTCACACATTAGCTTTATACATAGCAGCCATTACACTGGAACCTTACACATGATGGCCTTCAACTTGGGGCTTCTCTCATCGAAGCTTTTCACACCAGGTCTTCTCATACTGAGGCCTACTAACACTGAGGCCTACCTATCTCACACAGAGGCCTTTCTCCCACTGAGGCCTTCTCACACTAGGCGTACTAACACACTAAGACCCTTCTTCCACAGAGACCTCACAGACTGAGGGCTGCTAACACTGAGGGGTCACTCAGACTGACGCCTCTCTCACACTGAGGCGAAATAACACTAAGGTCTACTTAGTTATATGCACACCTGCTTATATAGAGCTACAGCTTCCCTCTCTTCATGGGAAGAGGCAAACCTCTCTCCCAGCCCAGCTGCGCAGGGTTGGGAAAGTTTCTTCTCTACCCCAGGACTGATACCTATGGTTATGCTTTAACTGGAAGTTAACATAGAGTTGTGCTGGAGAAACTAGAAAATTCTTAGAAAAGATACATTGCTTGGGAATTTGCTAGGTTGTCCAGGATGACTCTATAAGAACTTCCAGAAGCAGCAATTTCTGAATATGGAAGTTGTATTATTGGAAGTACGATATTCTAGCTCCTTCTAAAGATGCTGTCATACTAATCCTCAACCCACATTTTTGAGACTTGAATATGGGTTTTGGTGATGGCTCTGGTTTTTATCGCCACAAAGCAACACTTCTATTGTGTATCTAACCTGATGGTCGGAGCATCTCATGTTCATCTCATGATGTCTTTCACAAACCCAAGGGTCCTTTTCATTCTCTCCCCTCTTTCTTTTCCTTTCAGAAAGTCCAGTGAAAATAATCAAACCTCTGGTAGATCTCAAAGCTCAGCACAAGGATAACGTCACCTTTGAGTGTGAACTGTCCCGGGCTAATGCGGAAGTGAAGTGGCGTAAGGTAATAAATTCATTTCAAAGGAATAGGTTACGAAGTTAATTGTCTTTCTGAGTTTTGCAAAAAGTAGAAGAGTTTTGCTTCTTGATCCAGTTGCCTGTAATGAATCCAATAGCAATTGCAGTTGAATAAATGGAAGATGATTGAAGTTAAATGAGCTAAGAATTAGTATGCCAATTCATCCATAATGCATATAATGAATGAATATTACAATGTTTATATAAAGTGATGGTTTCTAGACCTTGAGCCATTTTGATTGTCTTCCTCTGGACACCTTCGGGCTTTGTTATATTCTTCTTGACTATTACCTGTCTCTGAACCCTACGAGATATTCTCTCCTCCGTGACATTTGTGACATTTTCATATTACGCTATGTAAGAAAATTAGAAAAATGTTCTGTTCCCTGTTCGAAAATATTATTTCCTGTTTAATTGTGCAGTACTTACTTTGAAAGTGGTTGTTAGACTCCAGAAACTTCATTTTTGTGGCACAAACTATGTTGAATTGGTTGAAACAATGGCTTCAAACTACAAGAGAGGAGATTCCATCTGAACATGAGGAAGAACTTCCCGACTGTGAGAGCCATTCAGCAGTGGAACTCTCTGCCCCGGAGTGTGGTGGAGGCTCCCTCTTTGGAAGCTTTTAAACAGAGGCTGGATGGCCATCTGTCAGGGGTGATTTGAATGCGAAATTCCTGCTTCTTGGCAGGGGGTTGGACTGGATGGCCCATGAGGTCTTTTCCAACTCTTTGATTCTATGATTCTATGAGACACAATGAGATATTCATTGGAAAACCATAGCAAAATGTGCTGCAGGATGTCCTTCCCACAAAAACAAAGTTATAATAATATAATAAAACTTTATTTATATACCATTCTATCTCCCCAAGGGGACTCAGAGAGGTTCCCAGGTAGCATCACTAAACATACAAAGTAAAACGACATAACCATAAGATTAAACAAAAAAATATAAGCATAAAAATCATCACCATAACACACATATATTAAGAGTAATCCTGCCTGTTCAAGGCAATTTAAAAATTTAAAAGGTCGGGCCAAGATTTATGCAAGCCCCAAAATTCTAGGGGCCTGGGAATTAAGTGCAATTCTATGGCAGGCAACAATAATATTAGATAGGGGTCTGTGGCTGTTCATTCCGGGGCCGATGAGAGGAAGTGATCTGGGTAATTGGTAGGAAGAATAAGGCCATATTCGACAACGTGTAAGACTGAGTTAGAACTGGTCATTTTCAAAGGCTTGTTGAAGCCACCAGGCCTTAAAGGTCTTACGAAAGGAGGGGAGGGATGGGGCCGGTCTTATTCCCCTTGGCAGGGTGTTCCAGAGGCGTGGAGCCACCACTGAGAAGGCCCTCTCTCTCATCCCCACCAACCGTGCTTGTGACGGAGGTGGGACCGAGAGGAGGGCTTCCCCGGAAGATCTTAGAGCTTGTGCCGGTTCATAGAAGGAGATGCAATAGTGGAGATAGGCAGGGCCCGAACTGTCTAGGCTTTATAGGTCATGACTTACACCCTGAATTTGGCTTGGCAACTTATTGGCAGCCAATGAAGCTGTTTTAATAAGGGTGTTGTATGCTCCCTATAGTTTGCTCCAGTAAGGAGCCTGGCTGCCGCCTGTTGTACCAATTGAAACTTCCGTGCCGTCTTCAAGGGCAGCCCCATGTAGAGCGCATTGCAATAGTCCAGTTTGGATGTAACCAAGGCGTGGACCACCCTGGCCAAGTTTTTTGCAGTTTAATCAACTTTCCCCATGTTTTTATGATAGAACCAATTAAGAAATTACATTGAAAACCCAGGAACAAAAATCGTGTTACGTTATTATTAGATTATTTTGTCTGTCCTCGTATTCCTTCAAATGTTCACTCTCAGTCTGAGAAATCATTAACAACTGTTATAAGATCCTGGATATTGGACTTAATTATATCTTACTTGGGGAAAAAGATTTATGAAGTTTGGAAGTATGCTAAATGAGAGAATATAGTACATTCTGGTTTTGACAAATCAAGAGCACATGATTCTATCTAATCTGTGAAGAGCTTGTGAGTGCCGACTTCAATTTGAATGTCTCCCGTCTAGGATGGCACTGAGCTGCGGCCAAATAAAAGAATCGTAATGGTGGCCCGGGGAACGAAGAGAAGCCTCACCATTCACAAATGTGAATACGAAGACCGAGGGAAATATATGTGCGATGCGGATGATGACAAGAGCACTGCTGCCTTGGACATCCAAGGTATGTTTCCATGGCAAGGATCAATCCTTTCAAGATGCTCATCATTATAGCCAGCTTACCAATACATATCTGTGACTGTCATGCTAACAGTAAATTATGTGATGCAGATAAAGTGCTATTGCACTCCATATCAGTGCAAGCCTCCAGCACAACTCAATGGTCAACTTCCACTGGATGTTGAGCATAGAATTGCACCAGAGGACCTACAAAGTGAGAAGTGATCTCTTTAGCAATCTCTAGGTCCTGCTTTCTGCTGGAAGACCTATATATTCTTTAAATCAAATTGGCAAATTAACCTGCAAAAGTTACGTTCACAAATATGGAGGGCCAACTGCGCTAACTGATGTTCTAAGTCTTGTGTCCCATTTGGTTTGCAGGGGATGCATCGGCGTTGTAGAATCAATACACTTTGACACCAAATTTATTTTTATTTATTTATTTTATTTACGAATTATATGCGCCCTTCTCACCCCGAAGGGGACTCAAAGTGCTTACTATATATATATATATATATATATATATATATATAGCATAGTACAATATCAGTATTAAATGGTACTATATTGTACTATACCATTATATTGTAATATTATTAGTAATATTACATGTAATATAAATGTATAATTATAATATATTATTATTAGTATTATATTGCATTACATTATAATATTATATAATATTATTATTATTTGAGAACACAGAAATGCTGGACACTCTAACAATCACCTTGTCAGACTACACAGAGAAGCCATTGAAATCCATAAGCATGTGGACAATTTCAACAGAAAGGAGGAAACCATGAAAATGAACAAAATCTGGCTACCAGTATTTAAAAAACCCTAAAATTACAACAGCACAACAACAGAGAGGAAACAAACAAGGACATCTAATCACCTCTCAACAAAAGTTTGCTCCAGGCACTGCCAGGCCATTATATGCTAATCAAGGTGGTCAGTTGAAACATTCACACCTAGCTCCAGCAGACAAGAGTCCTTTGTCCCACCCTGGTCATTCCACAGATATATAAACCCATTTTCCTAGTTCCAACAGACCTCACTACCTCTGAGGATGCTTGCCATAGATGCAGGTGAAACGTCAGGAGAGAATGCCTCTAGACCATGGCCATATAGCCCGAAAAAACCTACAACAACCCAAATATTATATGTATATACATTATATTATATTATACTATATTATATTATTATTAGCTTAGCACAGGAGACAAGGTGGAACTTTCAGTGCCATAGTTCTTTGCAGTGCAATCATGGAAGTTGTAACTTGGTGAGACTATTTGCCAGAGAATGCTAAGGACATTGCAGAACTATAACTCCCAAGATTCCATAGCTTTGAGGTAAGGCAGTTAAAGTAGTGTCAAATCACATTAATTCTATAGCGTAGATGCACCTAAAGTTGGAAGGAACATGTTTTTCTGGTTGCAACTTGTATTGAAAAGGAGAAGCAACAAATACGCTGCAATGAGCATGTCTCTGTGTCTCTTCAGCCCGAGACATCAAGATTGTGAAGCCACTTGAAGACTTGGAAGTGAGCGAGAAAGAAAGCGCGTCGTTCCTCTGTGAGATTTCGCACGATGAGGTGGAAACGCAGTGGTTCAGCAACGAACACAAAATCCGGGCAGGAGACAACATCAAGTTGCGTCAAGATGGTAGGGAAAAAGTCAACGGGTGGCCAACTTTTTAGGCGGTTGTATGTTGTGAACAAAATGTTGGGGAAAGCAATGACGAGGGACTTGATTTGTTTAGACTTGCTGAACATGCAGATGCAAGGAATATTTGGATTTGTTTGACATTGAGTGTCCTGGTGGCGTTGAGTGTTCTTCACTTAGAGAAATATTTTCCAAGATGCCCTATTAAGTCCCATTGAACACTCAATAGCAATCCTAAACAAACTTATCATGATATTTTGTTAGCAGGATTTTCCTTTGCTTTCCACCCTCAAAAACTTTAATAGACCTATTAATTGATTTCACCCACGGATTTTCCTTTGCAGGAAAGAGCTACCAGCTTGTCTACAGAAGCGTGGAAGTGGAGGACTCAGCGGAGATCAAATTTGTTGCCGAAACGGCAGAATCTCGAGCAAAACTTAAAGTGAAAGGTAAGGATTAGTATTTCCTAACTTGGGAAATTCTCAAAGACCCAGAATAGAAATGGTTGTTTGGTCACTTATTTATTTATTTATTGTGTCAGGAGTGAACCAAAACAGTTGTATTGCATTAAAAACAAACAAATAAACAAACAAAACACAAAGTTTGCAGACTTGGTATTCTATTAAATGTCCTTTGACCAGTACTGGCCACTTGGAGTGCCTCTGGTGTTGCTGCAAGAAGGTCCTCCATTGTGCATGTGGCAGGGCTCAGGTTGCATTGCAGCAGGTGGTCAGTGGTTGGCTCTTCTCCACACTCGCATGTCGTGGATTCCACTTTGTGGCCCCATTTCTTGAGGTTGGCTCTGCATCTCGTGGTGCCAGAGCGCAGTCTGTTCAGCGCCTTCCAAGTCGCCCAGTCTTCTGTGTGCCCAGGGGGGAGTCTCTCATTTGGTATCAGCCATTGATTGAGGTTCTGGGTTTGAGCCTGCCACTTTTGGACTCTCTTGCTGAGGTGTTCCAGCGAGTGTCTCTGTAGATCTTAGAAAACTATTTCTTGATTTAAGTTGTTGGCGCTGGCTGATACCAAACAGGGGGTGGGCCGGAGATGTTACTGCCTTGGTCCTTTCACTATTGGCTGCTACTTCCCGGCGGATGTCAGGTGGTGCAATACCGGCTAAACAGTGTCATTTCTCCAGTGGTGTAGGGCGCAGACACCCCGTGATAATGCGGCATGTCTCATTAAGAGCCACATCCACTGTTTTAGTGTGGTGAGATGTGTTCACACTGGGCATGCATACTCAGCAGCAGAGTAGCATAGCGCAAGGGCAGATGTCTTCACTGTGTCTGGTTGTGATCCCCAGGTTGTGCCAGTCAGCTTTCGTATGATATTGTTTCTAGCACCCACTTTTTGCTTGATGTTCAGGCAGTGCTTCTTGTAGGTCAGAGCATGGTCCAGAGTGATTCCCAGGTATTTGGGTGCGCTGCAATGCTCCAGTGGGATTCCTTCCCAGGTCTTCCTCAGAGCTCGGGATGCTTGTCTGTTCTTAAGGTGAAAAGCACATGTCTGTGTTTTAGATGGATTAGGAATCAGCTGGTTTTCCCTGTAATAGGCAGTAAGGGCACCTAGAGCTTCGGAGAGCTTCTATTCAACCATCTCAAGGCTTCCTGCTTGAATGGTAATGGTTTGATCACTTAATGGGATGCCACTTAAATGAATTAATTTTAAAATAACCTAGTGTAATATACTGAGAAAGAACGTATCTAGATGGTAAAATTAACACAGTTTGACACTGATTTGAACTGCCATGGCTCAATGCTGTGACATTCTGGGAATTATAGTTTTACAAGGTGCTTTGCCTTCTTTGCAAAATCCAGGATTTTATAGCATTGAGCTATCTGTTGTTGTTCATTCGTTCAGTCATCTCCAACTCTTTGTGACCTCATGGACCAGCCCACGCCAGAGCTCCCTGTCGGCGTCACCACCCCCAGCTCCTTCAAGGTCAGTCCAGTCACTTCAAGGATGCCATCCATCCATCTTGCCCTTGGTCGGCCCCTCTTCCTTTTACCTTCCACTTTCCCCAGCATAATTGTCTTCTCCAGGCTTTGCTGTCTCCTCATGATGTGGCCAAAGGACTTCAACTTTGTCTCTAGTCTCCTTCCCTTCAGTGAGCAGCCGGGCTTTATTTCCTGGAGGATGGACTGGTTGGATCTTCTCACAGTCCAAGGCACTCTCAGAACTTTCCTCCAACACCACAGTTCAAAAGCATCTCTCTTCCTTCGCTCAGCCTTCCCTAAGGTCCAACTCTCACATCCGTAGGTTACTACAAGGAATACCATGGCTTTGACTAGGCAATGGATCTTTGTTGCCAGTCTGATGTCTCTACTCTTTACTATTTTATTGAGATTGAACATTGCTCTCCTCCCAAGAAGTAAGCGTCTCCTGATTTCCTGTCCACAGTCTGCATCTAGTATTCACTTTTTCACTTGCAAGTTTTGAGAAGACCACTTTTCAACCATTTCCAGTTTCTGATAACTCTTTGGTTCTTAACTTGCCAAATTAGTAGGTTTAGGCCTATATATGGAACTCTTTGAATTCCTTAAAATATTGTCCAAATGTGAAGTATTACTATTTCTTTATCTTCCTTCAGAATTGCCCGTACGGTTTGTGAAACCCCTGCGCGTGAGGATTGCCATTGAGAAGCACCGGGGCTTTCTGGAGTGCCAAGTGTCTCGGGCCAATGCGGAGGTCAAATGGTACAAGGATAACAAGGAGATCCATCCGGGCCAGAAGTATGAGATGGTGAGCGACGGGGTCTACAGGAAGCTTCTCATCAACGAGGCAGAATTCGAGGATGAAGGCATCTATACCTGTGATGCCATTGACGAGAAGAGCACTGCTCAGTTCTACGTTGAAGGTAACAACTTGCTTCTTGGTCGAAATATGGGTCAGAACAGATTTGTGCATATGGTGATGAGCTGATGATGGGGTTTCATGGCATGTAAAAGAGTATTGTTTATGTTTAGTCATCAGTCCTGTTTATTTGCCCTTTCTTTGCCATTCCTTTCTCAGTCCAGTTTCCTAAATGAAATAAGTTGGAGAAATCAATAAAATTTTAAGCAAGTTTGCTTCTGGGTTGCTGTGAGTTTTCTGGGCTGTATGGCTATATTCCAGAAGCATTATCTCCTCTTCTGGAACATGGCCATATAGCCCAGAAAACTCACAGCAACCCAGTGATTCCAGTCATGAAAGCCTTTGACAACAACTTTGCTTCTTTGCATCAGGAAATTTCAACAGCTTTCCAGTCAATTTAAGTATAAAATGGCCATCCAAAATGATCCAAGTTTGCTGGAAATCCAAATTTGCAACATGTGCAAGCTCTGTGGTTTTGACTCTTTGCATTCCACACTCTTTGTTCCTGAGTTATACATATCATTTCCAAATTGGGTCTATCATAACAACATGGAAAAGGTTTATTAAACTGCAACAATGTTGTTTTGGTGGGACATCCTGCAGCACATTTTGCTATCATTTTTCAATGAATATCTCACTGAGTCTCAACCACTTCAACCTAGTTTGTGGCAGCCACAAAAACGAAGTTTCTGGAGTAGAACAATGACTTTCAAAATAAGGACTGCACAATTAACCAGGAATTAATACTTTCAAACCAGGAACTGAACGTTTTTCAAATTTTGTTACATAGTTTTATTAGATTTTGTTTTTCCTAAGGGACTGTGGAAATGTAAGCCTTGTTGTTGATAAGAATATGTTATAGAGGAGGCCAATTATTGTTTGTAAATTAAGGTAACTGCCACCAACGTGAGGTCTTTGAGGTACCACCGATGAGATCTGGCTCTACAGACGCAGATTAATGGAGATGAGATGGTCTTAAACAAAAGTTAACAAGTTTATTTTATACAAAGCGTATGGTTGCAGGCTGTTAAATAACTTATAGAACTTTAAATATAACTTAGTTTGTAACACAGTCCTTCTCTTCTAGATGACACAGCTCGTGATTAACTTTTACTGAGGTGAAGCACTTTAGTAAACAATGTTTCCTATTATGAATAGCCTTCCTATTTGATCTTTCCTTGATCAAATATCTGATCTCTAGTCCTTCCTCGACTAGGGATCTTACAAGCTTCCTTTAGTCTACTTTAACTAAAGAAACTGGTCAGGTTTCTCCCTTCAGCCCTCCTAGACTGAAAAACCTCCAGCTATTCACACCTCTCTCCCAGGCTTTTCAAGCCTCTACTCTCACACACTGACTGACTCCAACTCCAACAGAGTCTAACTGCCCCTTTTCAAAAGACGCAGACAACCTCTCCTCCCCGGCTCCGCCCACCTCCCACCAAGCTAGCCCGCCCGGCCCCCCTGGCAACGCTCCCTGCTGGTCCAAACCAGACAACTCCAGTCTTAGCTACCATTACAAAACACAAACATATACTCTAACAGTTAAACATATACATAGTATCAATGACTTCTGTACAGATAGGAATTCCAAAAGCTGGAAAAATCCAAAATCCCAAACCCTTGTGGTCCGAGGACTTTTGGATAAGGGATGCTCAATGTGTACATGTAGATGGGACAGGCAAGCAACGTTTCTCTTTGGTTCCTTCTGGTTCTTCCTTTCAGAGCAATCCATTAATATTGTGAAGGAGCTGAAAGACGTTGAGGTGATTGAGCCAGCGGAAGCCAGGTTTGAGTGTGAGATCTCCATTCAGTCGGTGAAGCCTCCCAAGTGGTCCTTACGTGGGGAGGTCCTCCAAGCCAGCAAGGACATTTTGATAGAGCAAGAAGGGAAGATCCACCGCCTGATCTTGAGAAAGACTGACGTGGACATGACCGGCACCATCCAGCTTGCCATTGGCAAATCCAAATCCTCAGCCAACCTGGTTGTGAAAGGTAAATTGCTAGTTGCTTTGTAGTTGAAATTACGATGGATTGTTCCAGGGCTTGTGTACGTGACTCCATTTTGAAACAGATACGGCCAGCTAAATTTATGTCCTTCCACCTGAGTAAAATGCATTGCGATTTATTCCTTTTATAGCAGTGATTCTCAACCTTCCTAATGCTGCAACCCCTTAGTACAGGTCCTCATGTTGTGGTGACCCCCAACCATAACATTATTTTCACAACTGTAATTTTGCTCCTGTTATGAATCGTAATGTAAATATCTGATATGCAGGATGTATTTTCAGTCACTGGACCAAATTTGGCACAAATACCTGATACGCCCAAATTTGAATACTGGTGGGGTTAGGGGTGATTGATTTTGTCATTTGGTAATGCTGGAGTTGCTGGGATTTATAGTTCACCTAAAATCAAAGAGCCTTCTGAACTCCACCAATGATGGAATTGAATCAAACTTGGCACACAGAATTCCCATGAGCAAGAGAAAATACTGGGAAGGTCTGGTGGACGTCCAGAGAACCCTACATCCAGAGAACACTGTGGACTCAAGCAATGATGGACCTGGATCAAACGTGGCACAAATACTCAATATGCCCAAATGTGAACACTGGTAGAATTTGGAGAAAATAGACTTTGCCATTTGGGAGTTGTAATTGTTGGGATTTATAGTTCACCCACAATGAAATAGCATTCTGAACCCCACCAATGATAGAATTGGACCAAACTTTCCACACAGAACCCCATGACCAACAGAAAATACTATGTTTTCTGATGGTCTTTGGGGACCCCTCTGACACCCCCTCGCGACCCCCATGGTCCTGACCCCCCAGGTTGAGAAACACTGTTATAGCATCAAGAATATGCTATATTGTGGCTCTTCAATCATTTCCAACATATGGTGATTCCAAGATGATGCTATCATAGGATTTTCTTGGCTAGCATTGTCCAGGAATTTGCTTCTCAGGCTGGGAAAGTGTGTCTTGGTTGGGGTTTTATGACAAAGTGAGGATTCAAGAGTCTTAATCTCTAGAGTAGGCATGGGCAACTTTGGCACTCCAGCTGTTTTGGACATCAACTCCCACGATTCTTTAGAGCCAAAACACCTGGAGGGCCAAAGTTTGCCCATATCTGCTATTAGTCCAATGCTCAAATCACTAAGTTATGCTTGTTCTCCCCAATGGAGCTTCACGAACTAACATTCAATGCAGAGGAGAAAAAACAATGGATGTGGATGGGAGAGAATGTAAACAAGGGGAAGAATATTCTGTTTATTTTAGTATGCATGCTATAAATTTCTGTCTATAGCCTCCATGCTGTCTCCTGCTCCCTTAGTGATGGAAGCATCTGCATTGAGCCAAGGGTTGAAATGGACAGATAGGAAGGAAAGATGAAGGTCTATCTCTTCCATTCATTGTTCCACTCATCAGTTGGCATTGGCTGTCTCTCTTCTGTGACCCTTGTAGATCTCCAAGTGACCATTACCCGGCAGCTGGAGGACAAGGTGGTGATGGAAACCCACTCGGTGGTCCTCTCTTGTGACTTCAAGCCTTCCCCAAAGACGGTGGAGTGGTACAGAGACCATACCCTCATCGAGGCCTCCGACAGGTTTAAGATCAAGAGGGAGAAATACTCGGCGGAGCTCAAAATCCTGAAGCTGAATGTCGGCGATTCTGGTGTTTACAAATGCAAAGCTGGAAGCACGGAAACCAAAGCCACGCTGACTGTTTTAGGTATGTAAGAAGCAATGCTGTGTATGTGTGTGTAATTGCCTTTGCTTATTCATTCACACAAAGAGGAATGGGTTGAGAGTTTTTGGATGCATCTATACTATAGAAATAATGCAGCTTGACTCCACTTTAACTGCTGTGGTTCAGTGCTGTGCAATCCCGGAGTTGTAGTTTGGTGAGGCTGTAGTACAGAGAAGAAGACTGACAACTCCTATGATTCCATAGTTATTAATCACAACAGTTAAAGTAGTGTCAAACTGCATTAATTCTAAAGTGTAGACGTACCCTAACTGCCGTGGCTTATTTCTATTGAATCCTGGAGTTGCAGGTTGGGGAGGTATTGGCACTCTTTGGCACAGAAGGCGAAAGACCTAGTAAAATTACAACTCCCATTGTTCTGCGGGAGAGGCAGAAACTGGTTGTAATTGGGTTTGTATTGTTTTATTGGTTTTATCGGTTTTAGGGTTGTAATGCAGGAATTGTTGTTTAACTGTTCAACTGTTTAACTGTTTAATGTATTGTCGAAGGCTTTCATGGCCGGAATCACTGGGTTGTTGTAGGTTTTTCCGGGCTATATGGCCATGTTCTGGAGGCAATTTTTCTCCTGACGTTTCGCCTGCATCTATGGCAAGCATCCTCAGAGGTAGTGAGGTCTGTTGGAAGTAGGAAAAATGGGTTTATATATCTTTGGAATGACCAGAGTGGGACAAAGAAGTCTAGGGACCACCTTTTCTCCCAAGGAAATGAACTGAAAAACCATCTCACTGCCCTTCCTCCAGCCCCCCAATGGAGAAACTCCCCACTCAGACCATCAGAAAGAGCTAGCTGTCATCACAAGAGCAGTTCTATATTACAACAAGATGTTTCTTGGAAAATGAGGTTCAGATTTCAGGAGGATGGGGCAAACAAAAGGTTGTAGTCTGTCTTTATTAATCAGGACTCAGCAACAGAGAACCAAACCACTTTGGAAGCAAAATTAATATAGTAGAATAGTTTCCATGTTCTGTGTCCTTTCCTCTCACTTCTGCAGGAGTCTACCGTGTACCATGCAGCTGTGGACAAGTCTACATAGGGACCACCAAACGCAGCATTGCCCAAACACGGATCAAGGAACATGAAAGGCACTGCAGACTACTTCAACCAGAGAAGTCAGCCATAGCAGAGCACCTGATGAACCAACCTGGACACAGCATATTATTTGAGAACACAGAAATGCTGGACCACTCTCACAACCACCATGTCAGACTACACAGAGAAGCCATTGAAATCCACAAGCATGTGGACAATTTCAACAGAAAGGAAGAAACCATGAAAATGAACAATATTTGGCTACCAGTATTAAAAAAAACTCAAAAATTACAACAGCAAAACAACAGAGAGTAAACAATCAGGCACATCAAATTACTCTCAACAAAAGATTTCCCCCCAGGCACTTCCAAGCCATTAAATGCTAATCAAGGTGGTCAGTTGAAACATTCACACCTAGCTCCAGCAGACAAAAGTCCTTTGTCCCACCCTGGTCATTCCACAGATATATAAACCCATTTTCCTAGTTCCAACAGACCTCACTACCTCTGAGGATGCTTGCCATAGATGCAGGCGAAACGTCAGGAGAGAATGCCTCTAGAACATGGCCAGATACCCGGGAAAAAACCTACAACAACCCTGTGTCTTAATTAATTGTTTTAAATGTTATTTTTTGTTTTACTACTGTTATGTGATGCTGGCATTGAATTGTGCCTTTGTAAGCTGCCCTGAGTCCCCTTCGGGGTGAGAAGGGCGGAGTAGAAGAAACCGAAATAAATAAATAAATAAATAAATAAATAATATTTTACTAAGAAAACCCTATGAAATTAATGGGGTCACTATAAGACATCTTGAAGGAACACTAGAGATGGGAGAAGGCTCTCATCAGGAAGGAAAGGCTCGTATGAAATCATCAAATTTGTAGTTTCATTAAATGTTTAAGGTTCTCTGCCAGAGTGATCCTATAGCTCATTAAAAAATAAATCCTGGGATCCTGCAGGATGCAGTTTTGGCAGTTATATCAAAGTGATGTAACTTGGTAATGAGAAAGAGTCCTTAGCTGAAAATGTGGATATGGATGTCCTGCTTGGGATATCAATCCTTTCCTAATTTTCTGAAATAATTACAGTGGGCCCTCCAGATCTGTGAATTCCATTGACCATGGAACATCATTCCCCATGTCATTGAATGACAGTGATGTGTGGAGACACAGAATTGTGTGCATTCACATGGCTGATATTTAATAATATGAGTTGCAATTATCCATGTTTTTTCATATCTCTGTGGGCTTCCAGAACTCAAACCTCATGGCAGTCTCACTGTATTTGCTTATGGAAGGGAGACAACAGCAGGAAGCCGAAGAATGTGCCAAAGCACTAATTATGCCTCATTTTTTGCTCTCCTTGATGAACAGAGCGCAAGGTGGAGATCACCAAACACTTGCAGGATGTGGAAATCGAGGAGGAGAGCTGTGCGGCCTTCTCCTGTGAACTGTCTGAAGACACTGAAGATGTGGAATGGTTCCTCAACGACACACATCTCTTTCCCAACAACTTCAATGAGATCAAGAGCCTGGGCAAGATTCACAGCCTGACGCTAAAACACGTCATGCCAGAAGACTCGGGGACAGTGACCGTCAAGGTGCATAAGAAGGTCTCCGAGAGCGCACGGCTGAAGGTGAAAGGTGAGAAGTTGTCACCTTTGTCTGTTTCTATTTTTCTGTATTGCTTTTCAAAATGCTCTACTTGTGTTACCAAATGAAGCCCAGGAACCCTCACCCTGATGCCTTGGAAGAATTATTGGAAATAAATCAATCTTTGGGTGAGAAACCACAGGTGTTGGGGTCACATATAGTCCACCTTCATTGTGGGGATTCCAAGATGACCATGTCTCCTTCCTTAGGATTGTTTGGTCTTTCCTCAACTTTTGTATATTCTTTTTTTCCTTTCTGAAAGGTTAATATTTTTCTCTTAAGGCTTTACTGACAATAAGAGCTTAAACCTAAAATATGCATGTATTTATTTGGTTGGAGTTACACTGAAAGCACACATCTGTTCCAACTTACATACAAATTCAACTTAAGAACAAACCCACAGAAACAATCTTGTTCATAACTTGGGAACTGCCTGTACTGGTAATAAGAGCTTAAAGCTAAAATATGCATGTATTTTTTCTCCCATCCTTTTGCCTTATGTTTAATTCTCCACATGAATATGGCCTCCATCAACATTCTTTCAAAGAGGTTCTCCAAGGATGCATCTGAACTGCAGAATTAATGTAGCGAGACTTTAAACCATTGTGGCTCAATGCTATGGGATCCTGGGATTTATAGTTTGGTGAGGTACCAACACTTTTTTGGCAGAGATAGCTAAAGACTGTCATACACCAGAGTAGGAACACCTTTGACCTTAAACACCACACCAGCTTGGTAAAATTGGCAAGCAGTTTATTGAAGAATTTAAGTAGGCAAAGCAATAAAATTAACAAAAACAGTAAAGTTTCAAAGCAAAGGTTATTCAATGACCTTCAAGGTAAAACAAGGTCCATAGGTATATACATCCATAAAACAAGACAGCATGAAAAATCCAATAAATAAACCAGGACCTTGGCAAAAACTTGGTATAGGATACTAAGAACACTTGAAAACAAGACCGTCGTGAAATTCCAACATTGACCCAATTGAGGCAACTCATTTTAAGCTGAATGCTTAACAAGTTAAACATGAGCCAACAATGTGATGTGGCGGCAAAAAAAGCCAATGGGATTTTGGCCTGCATCAATAGGAGCCTAGTGTCTAGATCTAGGGAAGTTATGCTCCCCATGCTCTATTCCGCTTTGGTTAGACCACACCTGGAATATTGTGTCCAATTCTGGGCACCACAATTCAAGAGAGATATTGACAAGCTGGAATGTGTCCAGAGGAGGGCGACTAAAATGATCAAGGGTCTGGAGAACAAGCCCTATGAGGAGCGGCTTAAAGAGCTGGGCATGTTTAGCCTAAAGAAGAGAAGGCTGAGAGGAGACATGATAGCCATGTATAAATATGTGAGAGGAAGCCATAGGGAGGAGGGAGCAAGCTTGTTTTCTGCTGCCCTGGAGACTAGGACGTGGAACAATGGCTTCAAACTACAAGAAAGGAGATTCCACCTGAACATTAGGAAGAACTTTCTGACTGTGAGAGCCATTCAGCAGTGGAACTCTCTGCGCCGGAGTGTGGTGAAGGCTCCATCTTTCGAAGCTTTGAAACAGAGGCTGGATGGCCATCTGTCAGGGGTGATTGAATGCAATATTCCTGCTTCTTGGCAGGGGGTTGGACTGGATGGCCCATGAGGGCTCTTACAACTCTTTGATTCTATGAATCAATATAAGACTTTTCCAGATCGCAAAACTAAAAGGAAAACATGTCTTTTGACCTTACCACCAGATAAAGGTTTCTTACCTCTCTTTTCCTGTAAACGAACTTATCTTCTTTGCGCCTGAGTACTCTGTCGCTGTTTACAAAAGCCTTGCTTCCTATCTATGCTCTAATTAGCTTGACTCTCATTAACTACTTCATCTGACAAATCATCTTCAGACAGTTGCTCTGAGAAAGACTGGGAAGGTCCTCTCCCAGGAATGTGACCTTGTGAATCTTCCAGAGACAGCTTAGACTTCTCATCTAAGCTTAACTCAAACCCAGGCAAACCCTCATCCGCACTGCCAACAGAACCAGGCCCACCATCAAGACAATCATGCCCATTCCCATCATGAACATCAGACACAATCACAGGCTGAATAGGCTGACATACAACAAAAACCTTGTAAAACATAAACTTCCAGAATGCCATTGCATTGAGTCATGTAGTGGTGTCAAACTGAATTAATTCTACAATGTAAATACATGATCAACAACCCTGACCTGGACTTGAGTTACAGACTGACCAGCGTTTCTAAATGTCTCATCCCTTTCCTTGTTGCTGTGTTTTGCAGAGAAGCCTGCTGTCTTCATGAAATCCTTGGATGATGTGGTTGGAGAAGAGCGGGGCACCATCACCCTGGAATGTGAGGTCTCCAAGCCAAAGGTCAAACCCATCTGGAAGAAGGAGGGCCTGGAGCTCACGCCAGGAGAGAAGTACGAGATGCTTCAGGCGGGGAAGACGCTGGGTCTCGTCATCCATGACCTCAGCAAGAGCGACGCCGGACTGTATACCTGTGACCTCGGCACAGAGGTCGCCAAGTCTAGGGTCAACATCCAAGGTAAGAGACTCTGGAGAATGACATCCAGAACTACAGGATGGGACACACACCCATTAAGCTGTATAGTCCATAGTACAATGTGTTACAAACAGGGGTAGATACTAGGCTTGGTTGATTTAAAAAATGGTTCAAAACTCATTTCGGATGTAGGGGGCACTGGTGGTTCGATTCTAAAGTCACTTCCAAATTTTTCCAAAAAAAGTCGGAACTTTCCGAAACTTCCGAAACTTCCGAATTAATAGCTTCATTAATGGCAGACGCATTTGTGCAATATGTGGAAAACAGCACTGGCACTGAGGAAACTCCAAGTTCTTCTCCCTCCCTCATTTTTACACCAATTTTGATGAAAGCTGATCTACTGCTACTCCACATTTAAGCAAACCTATCCAACCCTAGTAAATACAATAACCTTTAGTAAAGCCAGCATGGTATAATCACTACACCATTCTGGTTCCCCTTCACACTGCCTTTTATACTTTGAAGTAGTAAAGCTTTAGAATCATAGAATCAAAGAGTTGGAAGAGACCTCATAGGCCATCCAGTCCAACCCCCTGCCAAGAAGCAGGAATATTGCATTCAAATCACGCCTGACAGATGGCCATCCAGCCCCTGTTTTAAAGCTTCCAAAGAAGGAGCCTCCGCCACACTCCGGGGCAGAGAGTTCCACTGCTGAACGGCTCTCACAGTCAGGAAGTTCTTCCTCATGTTCAGATGGATCCTCCTCTCTTGTAGTTTGAAGCCATTGTTCCGCGTCCTAGTCTCCAGGGAAGCAGAAAACAAGCTTGCTCCCTCCTCCCTGTGGCTTCCTCTCACATATTTATACATGGCTATCATATCTCCTCTCAGCCTTCTCTTCTTCAGGCTAAACATGCCCAGCTCCTTAAGCCGCTCCTCATAGGGATTGTTCTCCAGACCCTTGATCATTTTAGTCGCCCTCCTCTGGACACATTCCAGCTTGTCAATATCTCTCTTGAATTGTGGTGCCCAGAATTGGACACAATATTCCAGGTGTGGTCTAACCAAAGCAGAATAGAGGGGTAGCATGACTTCCCTAGATCTAGACACTATGCTCCTATTGATGCAGGCCAAAATCCCATTGGCTTTTTTTGCTGCCACATGACATTGTTGGCTCATGTTTAACTTGTTGTCCACGAGGACTCCAAGATCTTTTTCACACGTACTGCTCTCGAGCCAGGCATTGTCCCCCATTCTGTATCTTTGCATTTTGTTTTTCCTGCCAAAGTGGAGTATCTTGCATTTGTCACTCTTGAACTTCATTTTGTTAGTTTTGAAAAATTTCTTATTTAAGAAAAAACAGGAACAAGCTACTTTAAAGTCTCTGTTTCCTCTTGGAGAGAAAAAGCAGGGTATAAATAAGCATAATAATAATAATAATAATAATAATAATAATAATAATTTACCAAGATCTAGTCAGAACCAGCAGGTATCATATGTACGACGTATTTATAGGTTCTACAATTCAAATACTTTGTGTTCATCAAAATACAATATACATTAAACTTTCTGCAGTTGTTCCCTCAATTAATAATAATAATAATAATAATAATAATAATAATAATAATAATAAAGAATGTGGAAATGTTTTTAGTCAGAACTAGCAGGCATCATATGCATGACTTATTTATAGATTCTACAATTCAAATACTTTGTTTTCATCAATTTCCTAACCAGTAAAAACATTTCCACATTCTTTCTCTCTCAAGTTTCTAATGAGAAAGAAGTTGGGTAGTTTCTTCGTTACAAAAAATAATAATAATAAAATAAAGAGCCACCAATCAACCCTAACAAGACATGCTTTTATTCCGAGTTAACCAAGTTTTACTGTGTCGATCTCTACTGTACAGCATATATAGCTATAGCTCAATATAGAATACAGTGCAATACCAAAACATGTTTAACACTGCCACAGTAGGCAATGTGATTGTACACAGCAAAAGCCCATGGCAGAACCATAGAGAGTATGGCATGGCTTAAGGTCCTCGTCCATGTCTGGGACTGCTCTAACATTCAAATTTAACATATAATAATGCTAGGAAATGTATTCAAATGCCTTCAATATTTTATGTATCCCCCCCCCCCTCTTTGTTGGAAATGTAGAAACAAAAACAGTGGCATCACTGGGGGTTGCAATGGGTGCAGACCGCATTCAATGACACAGTCAAAATAATTATTTGTGAGTTGCATGAATATAAAAAACATTGCTAAGGATTCTGTATGATCTGCTGTGGAAGGAGATCCATAGGGGAGATGTCATGAGTTACTGCACTGAGTGACACCAAACCCAGTGAGACCACTGCAAAAAAGGTGGATGGGGTTGATGGGCCTTGTGGTCCATTGCATCTGGAGTCTTCCAGACCATAAATCAGGCATGCCAACTTGGTCCCTCCAGGAGTTTTTACTTCAACTCCCACCATTCCTAACAGCCTACCAGCTGTTAGGAATGGTGCTAGTTGGAGTCTAAAACAGAGGGCCAAAGTTTGCCCATGCCTGCCATAGATGGTTGATATATGCAAGGAGAACCTTTCTCTCACAACTCGCTTTCCTCCATCTCCCTCTCCAGAGCTGAATGTTGGCATCACAAAACGCTTAAAGAACACCGAAGTGCTGGAAGGAGAAAGCTGCAGCTTTGAATGTGTCCTCTCCCATGAGAGTGTTGAGGATTGCCATTGGCTGCTCAATGGGACTGAAGTGGGCCATGAAGGACGGTTTAGGGCCTTCAACAAAGGAAGGAAGTATACCCTCAATATCAAAAAAGCCCTACCTTCTGACGCTGGAGAAGTGGTTTTCTCTGGACGGGACCTGAACTCTAAGGCCTTGCTGGTCGTGAAAGGTGGGTAGCAAAAGAGCTGTCATATTCAGTTGGCTCTCCACATTTCACTTTTGTGAATTTGATTAAAATGTTCTCTCTAGACATCTCTAGGTCTCCCAGTGCAATTCTGTGGTCAAATATCCCTGGAAGTAGACCACAGAGTCATGCTGGATGACTTAGAGATGATCAGAGAGAACAACTCTCTAGCAATCTCCAGTTCCTCCGGTGTGATTTTATGGTTAGCATCTGGCAGAAGTTGACCATAGACTCATGCTAGAGGACCTAGAGATTTTAATAGAGATGCCCTCTCAGTTAAAAAAGTGGATTTTTAAATTTACAGTTTTCCCACTTTTGTGCTGGTCTTGTGCTCCTAACTTCAGTGAATGTGGAGGACTCATTTCATAGATGGATGTTAGCTGGATTATACGCGTAGATAGATGGAGGATGGATGGATAGATGATAGATGGATGTTCGATGGATTATAGATGGATGGTGGATGGATGGATGGATGGATGATAAATGGGTGTTAGATGAGTGATAGATGGATGTTAGATACATTATAGATGGATGGATAGATGGGTGATAGATGGGTAGATGATGGATGGATGTTAGATGGATTATGGATGGATGAAGGATGGATGGATAGATGATGGATGGATGTTAAATGGATTATAAATGGATGGATGAATGGGTGATAGATGGATTAAAGATGGATGATGGATGGATGATAGATGATAGATGTGTATTAGATGGATTGTAGATGGATGGAGGATGGATGGATAGGTAGATAGATGGATGATAGATGGGTGTTAGATGGATTATAGATGGATGGAGGATGGATGAATAGATGGATGGGTGTTAGATGGGTGATAGATGTTAGATGGATTATAGAAGGAGGAAGGATGGATGGGTGATAGATGAGTATATGATGGATGGACGTTAGATGGATTATAGATGGATGGAGGATGGATATATGGTATATAGATGGATGTTAGATGGATTATAGATGGATGGAGGATGGATAGATGATGGATGGATGTTAAATGGATTATAAATGGATGAAGAATATGTGGATGACAGATGGATTAAAGATGGATGTCAGATGGATTATAGATGGATGGAGGATGGATGGATGGATGGATGGATGGATGGATAGATAGATAGATAGATAGATAGATAGATAGATAGATAGATAGATGATAGATGGGTGCTAGATGGATGCTAGATTGATGTTAGATGGATTATAGATGGATGGATGTATGTTAAATGGATTATAAATGGATGAAGGATGAATGGGTGATAGATGGATTAAAATAGATGATGGATGGATGGATGATACTGTAGATGATAGATGAGTGTTAGATGGATTATAGATGGATGGAGGATGGATGGATAAATAGATTGCTAGATGGGTGTTAGATGGGTGATAGATGGATGTTAGATGGATTATAGATGGATGGAGGATTCAGGAGGGCTGGGAACAACAAAAATTGCTGTTGTGGCTGCATTGGTTGCAATTATTTTGTTATTTTGCTTCCTTCCAGAAAAGCCAGCAGAATTTACCAAGAAGCTGGAAGACAAGACCACGGTGGTGGGCCAGGAGGTGAGCCTGAGCTGTGACATGTCCAAGTGGGACAGCAACGTCAAGTGGTGCAAGGATGGGAAGGAGATCCGGAGGAGCCAGAAGTACGACATCCGGCAGGAGGGGACCCGGGCCATCTTGATCATCCACGATGCCTCCGTCAAGGACAGTGGGGAATATACCTGCGAGACAGAAATCTCCAAAACCAAAGCAAGGCTTACTGTGGAAGGTGAGTGTTCATCCTCTGAGAAGAATGGCGCAGGAGATAGAGCTCAGAGTAGCAACTTTTGTGGTCATGTTGGGTTTCTGGGAGTCATCGTTCAACACAGTGCATTCTCAGGGTCTGAGCAGGTTCTAGTTCATCTTAACGAAACTTTCCTACATTTTTCTTATTGTTGTTGTTAACTGCTGTCAAGTTGACCTTGACTTCTGGTGACCCCATGAATGAGATACTTCCAAGCCACCATCAAATGTCATGTTCAGGTTCTGCAGATTCAGGGCTGTGGCTTCCATGATTGAGTCTATCCATCTGATATGTGGTCATCACCTTTTCTTACTGACTCCTAACTTACCAAATATTACTGTCTTTTCTAATGAGTCCCATCTTCTTATGATATGACCTAATGTGGTAAGTCTCTGTTTAGACATCTTAGCTTCTAGGGACAGTTCAGGCTTGATTTGTTCCGGGACCAATTCATTTGCCTATGTCAGGCATGGGCAAACTTCAGCCCTTCAGGTGTTTTGAACTTCAGCTCCCACAATTCATCTATCTATAATCCATCTCCAAATATCATCCTTGGAGAAGATGGCAGGTGGACCAGACTCCTCTAGTCTGTCACAATTTTGGAATAGTAAAATATCTCTTACATAGCGTATTTCTCATTGATGTTGTTACAAAAAGTTGCAAATGAATGACAGGCAGCTAAAACATCCTGACTCCATGAGTTCCAGACAGATGTTAGCTTTTTTCTTTAACTAATTACTGGTTTTCCTTTTTAACGCAAGGAACTATTGTGTTGACTTAACATAAAAGAGCCGTTGTCCTAGGTAATGTAAACATGTTGTTTTCCACCAAGAGTTAATAATTTGTCTCTGGCCATTAATGTAAGCAGTTCAGCAGTTTTAGTAGTTTCCTAGGCTCCAGTATTACAATGGCATCTCTAGCCTCTATATGTCCCAGCCACACTCCTTTCATACTATTTCATATGTATGAGAATTGGTTGTCTAAATCAAGAGATGTTGGACCAAAGCTGGGGCCTAGCAATAATTCAGGGCCTGGAACCAGTCAAAGGATCAACAAGGCAAGGGTGAATCATAGAATCATAGAATCAAAGAGTTGGAAGAGACCTCATGGGCCATCCCATGAGTCACATGAAAAATGGAACCCGGTCAGGCATTACAAAATCAATCATAGTACTAGCCCGAGAATGATTGTCAAAGTCTCTGTCCTGTAATGGAGGGTTGTATTCTTGAACTCCTCCAAGGCTCAGTTCAATGGTAGCAAGAATATGGCCAGGTTCTGGATTAGGTGTTGAATGTATCTAGGAGAAATAGTTCAGCACCACTTTGACTGAACGGTGCTTGGCAGCTGTGATGGTCTGGATGAGGGCGAACAAATTGAAACTGAATCCAAACAAGACAGAGGTGCTCTTGGTCAGTCAGAAGGCTGAACAGGGTGTATGGTTACAGCTAGTGTTGAATGGGGCTACACTCTCCCTGAAGACACAGGTTCACAGCTTGGGTGTTCTCCTGGACTTGTCGCCAAGCCTGGAACCACAGGTTTCATGGGTGGCCAGGGGAGCGTTCGCACAATTAAAACTTGTGCACCAGTTGCACCTGTACTTTAGGAACTCAAACTTGGCCATGGTGAGCCACACTCTTGTTACATCTTGAATAGACTACAACAATGCACTCTGTGTGGGGTTGCCTTTGAAGACTGTTCGGAAGCTCCAAGTGGTCCAACAGGCAGCAGCTAGGTTCCTCACTGGAGCGGCATACAGAGAGCATACAACTCCCCTGTTACATCAGCTCCACTGACTGCCAGTTTGCTACCGAGCCTATAAAGTCCTAACGGTTCCTGCCCAGCTTACCTGTCCAAATGTATCTCCTACTATGAACTATCACAGAACTTAGTATTTTCTGGGGAGGCCCTGGTCTTGGTCCTGCCTTCCTCACAGATGCGATTGGCGGCGACGAGACACAGGGCCTTCTCAGTGGTGGCCCCCAACTATAAAACTCCCTCTTCAGCAATGTTTGATCAGCTCCTTCCCTTCTAGCCTTCAGAAAGAGAGTTAAAACCTGGCTTTGGGACCAAGCTTTTGGAGAATAACTGCAGTGCAATAAATGAGCATAGAATCTGTGCAATGACATTCAGAATGGCCCTGGATTACGATTTTGGATTATGTAATTTTAATAATTGATGTGATTGTTTTTAGATGTTTTAACTTTCTGGTTTTTAATGTAGATGTTTATGAATTGTATGTTATTTTAAGGCATTTAATTGTTGCTAATTTTTCTGAGTCCCCCTCAGGGTTGAGAAGGGCGGCGTACAATTATAGTAAATAAATAAACATTCCAGAAACGTGTTCAGCTGTCATCATACTTATTCTTTGAGCTGTTTCCCGGAACTGTCTTATCTCTGTTTCTATGCTTCAAGGGACTTAAAAAAATATTTATTCTATCTCACGTTAGAAGCGGGGAATTGCTTCATCAAAGATCTTTCAGACCTGAAGATAGAAGAAAATAAAAAAGCAGTTTTTACCTGTGAAACTAAGAAGCCAGCTTCGACTGTGACATGGAGGAAAGGGATCACGGATCTCAAAGCGAGCAAGAAATGTGAGATTAGCCAGAAGGGGAACGTGCTGCAACTCACGGTGAACGACTTGGTGGAAAGTGACACCGACATCTATACTTGCGACATTGGTGACATGCAGTCAAGCGCAAAGCTGGTTGTAAAAGGTAGGAAATGCCATCTAGTTTCTCTTGGTAGAGCAGAGGCAGGGTCATAGATCAGTGTCTGGAGGGAAATCAGTTCCAACATTACATTTCTGCAAACAAGCCTGTAAGGACATGAACATACTTCTATTCATATGCAAATATGGAGGACCTACTGTAGTGTCTATTGCAGGCATGGGCAAACTTGGGCCCTCCGGGTGTTTTGGACTTCAACTCCCACAATTCCCAATAGCTGGTACTTACTTTACTTACTTAGTAGTCCGAGGATGATGGTCCTCCAAGTGTAGTGTCCTGGCGGTGGGTCCGTAGGTGACTGTGGAGCCCTATTCTTGATCTGCATCTTCTCCCGCAGTGAGGGCATCGGTTTCCAGGTGGACGGCGATCCCTGTCGGGGTTGGCTTGATGTGCCTTCCTCTTGGCACGTTTCTCTCTTTTGCCCTCCATTCATGCCTTTTCAAATTCTATAGCACTGCTGGTCATGGCTGACCTCCAGCTGGAGCACTCAAGGGCCAGGGCTTCCCAGTTTTCAGTGTCTATGCCAGAGTTTTTAAAGTTGTCTTTGAGGCTCATCTTTGAATTTCTTTTCCTGCCCACCAACATTTCGTTTTCCATTCTTGAGTTTGGAATAGGGCAACTTCTTTGGGAGATGGTGGTCGGGCATCCGGACAATGTGGCCGGTCCAGCCGAGTTGATGGCGGAGGAGCATCGCTTCAATGCTGGTGGTCTTTGCTTCTTCCAGTATGCTGACATTTGTTCGCTTGTCTTTCCAAGAGATTTGCAGGATTTTCCAGAGGCAGCGCTGATGGAATCGTTCTAGCAGTTGCATGTGATGTCTGTAGACTGTCCACGTTTCAGAGGCGTATAGCAGGGTTGGGAGGACAATAGCTTTATAAACAAGCACCTCAGTCTCCCTACAGATGTCCCGGTCCTCAAATACTCTCTGCTTCGTTAATAAAAAAGCTGCACTCGCAGAGCTCAGGCAGTGTTGTGTTTTGGTGTCCATGTTGACTTTTGTGGAGAGGTGGCTGCCAAGGTAGCGGAGATGGTCAAAATTTTCTAATGTTACACCATTAAGCTGTATCTCTGGCATTGGAAAGGGATTGGCTGGTGACTGCTGGAAGAGCACTTTGGTTTTTTCAATGTTCAGTGACAGGCCGAGCTTCTTGTACGCTTCTGCAAAGGTGTTTGGCTTGTAGGTCTTCTTCTGAATGCGCACAGACAACATTGTCATCAGCATACTGGAGTTCTATAACTCTAGTAGGCTGTTAGGAATGGTGGGAGTTGAAGTTCTAAACACCTGGAGGGCCCAAGTTTGCCCATGCTTGGTCTAATGCCTCCTATAAAATGAGATATGTGCAACAAAAAGCACAATTCACCACACATTGTGACTACGTCTTGTCTTGTCAAATGGATTGCCTTCATGATGAGTCCCATTTCGACATTTGTGCAGTATTGCAATTTGTTTATTGTGATAATTATTTAAACTTTAATTCCTGTACTGTTATCTTATCAAGGTATCTAAACTCCCTTCCTCTATACCACAGGTTCAAACTTCCACACACAAAGTTCTGAATCATGCTAGCAAATGAAAGTTCTTGTGTTCATGTATGTGTATGTCTGTTTTCCATTTCTAGGTCAGGACCAAAGAGTATGGCGCAGAGTCACTAATAGTCTGCTGTGTTCAAGTGGTGGATCTCTACAATCCAATATAGTAAATTGTATTTGCTTTTTGGAAGGGAAATACCATGCCAATGGGTTTGATGGGACTCATTCTCAGTTAGGTGCTTGGTGCTTTCATTGGTCTATCAAGGCAGTATTTGATATCGCTGAATGGCAGTGATTCTCTAGAGTTTGAGGCAGGATTTCTCCTATCCATATCTGGAGGGCCTTGGGATTCACCTGTGGAACTCACTCCCGGGGGAAATTAGGGCATCGACATCCCTCCTCGCCTTCAGGAGGAAGGTAAAGACGTGGTTGTGGGACCAGGCCTTTGGGCAATCTGACAATTAGATATGGACAACCAGAGGGATAGGACTGAAAGGACTGACAATTGGAATGTGAACTATGAGATTGTGAAACGCTGACCGTTAATGAGGAGAAATGGTTTGTATCAGTTTTATTGCTTTAATTGGTTTTAAGGTTGTTTTTGCCTATAATAGTTGTTGTTTTGCTAATGGATGTTATTGCTGTTTGTTAACTGATGTTTATTGTCCTATTGTTGTTATGTGATGCGGGCATCGAATTGTGCCTCGCTTTTGTAAGCCGCCCTGAGTCCCCCTGAGTCGGGGTGAGAAGGGCGGGGTAGAAGCAACCGAAATAAATAAATAAATTCCTTGGTTGCCTCCCATCCAAGTGTGAACTCTACTTAGTTTCTGAAATCAGACAAGACCAGTGCGTTCCAGTTACTCTAGCGATATCTCATTCTGGAAGGCAGTTGGAAATACATGTAAAACCATTGAATATCTCAGTAGCAAAATTTTAGAAACCTTTTCACTTCCACCAATGGAGCATCCCAACCCTACAGCTGTCAACAAAATCATGCGTACGATATTGCCGTCATCGGATATTTCTGTGTTTGCTGTTTTCTGTTATTGTAGAGTCTATTTGTCTCTATTTTACATCTAGCTGTGTGTATTTTTGTCTTACCTTTTGTGTCAGTCTGTCACCTACTATGTGTACAACAATCAATGTTACATGTTGATATTGTAGGCAGAAATTGTACGTTATATGTGCGTATGTTAATTACATGTTATAACACTTAGTCCACGTGAACCTAAATTATAATTTTTCTCCATTAAAGAGCATTATATTGGAAGCAGACTGAGGTTATGATCTGAATTGTTTTCAGGATATATATATAATTGCAAGTTGTCTGTTAAATAGCTGTTAATTCCTACTTCCGTCTCGGACCTCTGGATTTCCCATTTCAGGCTTTCATATTCCTACTTGCAAAACAGCACATAGGGAAACCCTGAACCCACATTCCTTGATCTCCTGTTTTATGTTCACCGTCTTCAATTCTGCATTTTTAGCCCTGCCGGTTCTTATTCAACAAGAACTGCAAAACAGGGAAGCTCAGGAAGGAAGCAAAGTCCGCTTGAGCTGTGAGCTGAACAAACCAGACCTGCCGGTTCAATGGATGAAGGGCAGCAACGTCCTGCAAGCCGGCGATAAGTATGAACTCAAGCAACGGGGCACCGTGGTGGAGCTGGTCATCCGGGATGTGAAGGCGGCGGATGCCGGGGAATACACGTGTGCCATTGGCGAGGTCAAGACATCTGCTCATGTGGAAGTGACGGGTAGGAAGAACCATGGGCTCTGGGAAGCTCTGCTCTGTTTGCAATCATCTGATGGTCAACGTTTTGTAGTTCATACCTTATAGAAGCAGATTATAGTGCATTCCATAATCTACTTGTCTCTGTTTTTCCTCAGCTCGTACAGATATGTATGAGATTATACCAGTGTTTGCATATTATAATTGTATATACCAGGCATGGGAAAACCTGGGCCCTCCAAGTTTGCCCATGCTTGGTTGATCTCATGTATAAGTTGAGGTCAGATGTTGTGGCCAAAACTATGGATTTTGAAGCATGGATGCTGTGGCCAAAACTATGGATTTATCCCATGGATAAATCAAGGACATTCTGTTGACAGGAGGAAACACCAGCGCTGCCCTAGTGGGACATATGACCATTTAGACTCATGAATTAGCCATTCTTCTACGTGGTCTCTGTGAAATTGCACATATGGGTCTCGGTCACCTGTGCAGTCATGTTTGACCCAAACATAGATGAATCAATCCAGATTTTGGGGCCTGTTTTCTGACTAAATTTTTAAAATTTAGACTTGAGTCCTTCCTGATAGTACTTACAGAGATTTGGTTGAAACTGAGCAATGTATATTGGTTAAAGGACCACGATATGATAGAGAAAATGCTAGGTTGTATGTCCTACATCACAGGAAATGGTGTATATGGTTATGGATTCACTGGAGTCTGTTGTGGTGGCTCTCAGAATGGGATCTTGAAAGAGCTTGGAGTAGGTCAAATATGCCAGGGCTAGTCTCAATGTAGTCTTAACCGAACGTACCCTTGTAATCTGTAACAGTGACTCAGATGATTGAATGATGTGAGGGAGAAGGGTTATGGTTTTCTCCCTGACATGCAGACCTAAGGGACTACCTCATTGAGACCTGAGTGTATTCCTGCATATGAATGTAGCTGCATTTCCACTCCAACCTGTACTTTCCCCCCTTTCCTGGTTGTTCATTTTAGCTGCACCAATCATGTTTAAAGAAGAGCTTAGAGATACGGAGAAAGAAGAGGGGGAAGTTGTAGCTTTGCGCTGTGTCCTTGCCGCACCGGATGTCACCGTGTCCTGGAAAAAAGGAGCCACTGTCCTTCGGGCCAGTGAGAAGTATGAGATGAAGAAGGAAGGCTGTGTAGCTGAACTAATCATTCATGACGCAGAGACAGAGGATGCTGGGAGATATTCCTGTGACACTGGAGAACAGCAGAGCACAGCTCAGGTCAAAGTCCATGGTAGGGTGAACAGGAACACGTCCAATTCATTGTGTCTTCCCCCTTCTCTGTTTTTGCACAAGCTCTTTCAAATTTTGGTTTCCCAGGTTTAACATCTATTATAATCGCGTGAACTAAATAAGTTTGGATTATCTTATAGTGTTGGCTCACATTCCTATATCCTTATCTTCTTGTTTGAAGGTCAGTTTGGTCAACAGGATTTTAGTACTCTTTTGATTCATAGCTCATTAAAAGAAATCTAAAAGTGCAGAGTGATAGAGCGATTACAGTGTTAAGGTCTCATCAGCTACCCATCTTCTGATAGTCAACTAAGCATTAAGATGCCATTTTGCTAAACTGAACTTAGAAAAAGATAGGAAAGGTGGTAGAGTTTTAGTAGAAACCAAGGGAAAATGGAATGGTCCAAAAACAGTGACTTAGGTGATCTCTCGTAGTCCGAGTAGGATTGACTTCCAAGATAGGTGTCCTGGCGGTGGGTCTGTAGGTGACTCTGGAGCCCTATTCTTGATCTGCAACCAGGTGGAAGGCAGTCCTGGTCAGGGTTGGCTTGATGAGCCTTCCTCTTGGCACATTTCTCTCTTTCACCCTCCATTCATGCCTCTTCAAATTCTACAGCACTGCTGGTCACAGCTGACGTCCAGCTGGAGCGCTCAAGAGCCAGGGCTTCCCAGTTCTCCTTGTCTATGCCAGAGTTTTTAAGGTTGGCTTTGAGCCCATCTTTAAATCTCTTTTTCTGCCCACCAACATTCCATTTTCTGTTCTTGAGTTTGGAGTAGAGCAACTACTTTGGGAGACGGTGGTCAGGCATCCGGACAGCATGGCCAGTCCAGCGGAGTTGATGGTGGAGGACCATCACTTCAATGCTGGTGGTCTTTGCTTCTTCCAGCACACTCACATTTGCCCCTTGTCTTTCCAAGAGATTTGCAGGATTTTTCAGAGGCAGCGCTGATGGAATCGTTCCAGGAGTTGCATATGATGTTTGTAGATAGTCCACGTCTCACAGGCGTATAGCAGCGTTGGGAGGACAATAGCTTTATAAACAAGTACCTTGGTATCCCTACGGATGTCCTGGCCCTCAAACACTCTGTGCTTCATTCGGAAAAATGCTGAACTCACAGAGTTCAGGTGGTGTTGTATTTTGGTGTCAATGTTGACTTTTGTGGAGAGGTGGCTGCCAAGGTAGCGGAATTGGTCAACATTTTCTAACGTTACACAATTAAGCTGTATTTCTGGCATTGCAGAGGGATTGGCTGGTGACTTGAGTCACCAGCCAAAAACAGTAAGAGAGAGAGAATCAGAGGAGAAAAGATCAGGAGAACTAGTTGAAAGAATGTGAAGAAACTAGGTTCTTGTGGGTTTTTTCGGGCTATAGGGCCATGTTCTAGAGGCATTTTCTCCTGATGTTTCGCCTGCATTTATGGCAAGCATCCTCAGAGGTAGTGAGATCTGTTGGAATTAGGACAATGGGTTTACATATCTGTGGAATGGCTGGGGCGGGGCAAAGAGCTCTTCTCTGCTGGAGCCATTCCAACAGACCCCACTGCCTCTGAGGATGCTTTCCATAGATGCAGGTGAAACGTCAGGAGAAAATGCCTCTAGAACATGGCCCTATAGCCCGAAAAAACCCAAAAGAACCTAGTGATTCCAGCCATGAAAACCTTCGACAATACAATGTGAAGAAAGTTCCAAAGTTGAGAAAGCTGGAATGAAGTTGTATAGTTGTATGAATTTCCATCTCCTAAAATGCAACCAGAAGCTCTTAAAGTGATGCTCATATATGTAAAGGAAACCCTTCTTCCTTCAGCGACACCTGTCCGTTTCAAAGAAGCCCTGAAGAACACAGAAGCCACACAAGGCGGAGTGGTCACTCTGCGTTGTGAGCTCAACAAACCTGCTCCGGTCGAGTGGATGAAAGGGCAGAAAGGCTTGAGGCCCAGCAGCAAATACAGAATGAAGAAAGAAGGTCCTGTTGTGGAATTGATTGTCCATGATCTGGACCTGAAGGATGCTGGAGATTACTCCTGTACCGCTGGAGACCAAAAGACAACAGCTGTTCTAACAGTGAATGGTAAAAACTCAACGTTGGTAGTCTTTTGGCAAGGTCCCGTCACCTTAACTCATTCCTCTTCTACTTTTTCTTTGTCTTGGCCTTCTTCATCATATTGGCATGATGTACCAAGATTTACTCTTCATTGATTTCACATGTTACGTGATTTCTGACAAATTGTAGAGCAGGCAGAAGGGATATACCTTATCATGCAACTCTTCCACCTCCATTAAGAAAGGGTTGAGTGTTATGCCTTATAAATAGGTTTCCGCAGAGCCCCCAGTGGCACAGTGGGTTAAACCAGTGGTTCTCATCTTGGGGTCCCCAGATGTTTTTGGCCTTCAACATCCAGAAATCCTAACAGCTGGTAAACTGGCTGGGATTTCAGGGAGTTGTAGGCCAAAAACATCTGGGGACCCCACGTTGAGAACCACTGGGTTAAACCCTTGTGCCATCAGGATTTCTGACCAACATGTCAGCAGTTTGAATCCGAGGAGAGTGGGTTGAGCTCCCTCTGTCAGCTCCAGCTCCAAATGCAGGGACATGACAGAAGTCACCCACAAGGATGGTAAAACATTAGAAACATCTGGACGTCCCCTGGGCAACATCTCTGCAGATGGCCAATTCTTTCACACCAGAAGCAACTTGCAGTTTCTTAAGTTGTTCCTGACATGAAAAATGTAGGTTTCTAATCTTACTTTAAAAAAAAATGGAGTCCCTTATTATTTGGTAAGAAATTGATGTTGAATTTGGTCTTCGAAAGTTAGAAATGCATGGATTCTATTGAAAGTATGTCATGAAGGAAACTCCTCGCAACTAAGTCCAGTATCATAAATAGAGACTGAAGTGGGTTGGTTGGAGGAGCTCATTGTAGCTCAGGCATGGGCAAACTTGGGCCCTCCAGGTGTTTTGGACTTCAACTCCCACCATTCCTAACAGCCTATCGGCTGTTAGGAATGGTGGGAGTTGAAGTCCAAAACACCTGGAGGGTCCAAGTTTGCCCATGCCTGTTGTAGCTTGTGGCTGTTGACAGAGTCTGTGTTTGATCTGCATTTCCTAGCCTTGCCAGCCCAGTTCAAAAAACAACTCAAGAACGAGGAAGCCACTGAGAGTGGAACAGCCACTCTGCAATGTGAGCTAACTAAGGCAGTCGACTCCGTCGAGTGGATGAAGGATCAGAAGGTGCTGGAACCCAGCGACAAGTACAGAATGCGGCTAGAAGGCCGCTTTGCTGAGCTCACCATCCAAGACCTGGAACCGGGGGATGCTGGGAGCTACACTTGTGTGTGCGGAGATCTGAAAACCACTGCTGCTTTGAAAGTCAATGGTAATTAACAGCAACAGCCTGTTAATGCACAAGCTTTATATCATACCGTAAAGTGCTTTTGCTCCACCAAGGATTTCTTTTAGTTCTTAGTAGCTTCCGTAGTTCTAACTTCTCTTAATACGCAAATGTATGATATCTTGCAAGATGCCCAGATAATTCTTCTTAGAGTGTGCTTTTCATCTATTTATTATTTATTTATTTACAGCATTTATATTCCGCCCTTTCCATCCCGCAGGGGACTCAGGGTGGATTACAGTGTACACATATATGGCAAACATTCAATGCCAATTTTGAAATACAAACATATACAGACATAAACAGAGGCTATTTAACTTTTTCTGGCCGCCAGGGGAGCTGTCGCTTTCATCGTCCATCTGCGCCACTGATGAAGCACTTCCGCATTCCCCGCATGCTTCCTCGCTGGAATGCTTTTGCTGGAGTCTTCTTTATGGCCTCATAAATCAGTTAATTTAGACTTTAAGGTGGTACCTAATTTTCCTACTTGACAGATGCAACTGTCTTTCGGGTTGCAAAGGTCGACAACAGGCTACACAATTGGTTGGAAACCCACTCCAACCAGGGCTGGCTTCGAACTCAGAGTGATCTTAATGCAGAGTGATTTGGTCAGAGTGATCTTAATGCAGCTGACACTCAGCCAGCTGCGCCACAATCCCGGTGCCGTGCCACAGTCCTATTGATACAGCTCTTTCTCATGCTAGGAACATTCCCCGAAACTTTTCATTTGTTTATTTTTTTCATTTTGTCTTCATATACTTTTCCAGTAACATGGAGCTTTCCTACCTAAGCCACCAAGTCCTCCATTGATGTGACTCTTTCTCTCTGTCCATATTGCATTCTCTAGCACTGCCTGTGTTTTTTCAAGAAGAGCTAAAAAGCCACGAGGTTGCGGAGGGTGAGACGGTGACTTTGCACTGCAGGCTGAGCAAGGCCTCCCCTGTGGAGTGGCAAAAGGGGCCAAAGACACTCAAAGCAGGCGGCAGATACAAAATCAGGCAGGATGGGCTCAATGCTGAGCTGGTGATCCATGACTTGGTTGTGGCAGACGCTGGAGACTACTCTTGCAAGTGTGGAAACCAGAAGACTACAGCTAGCTTGACAGTGAATGGTAATAAACCTAGCTATGCATACCTGTGGCCATCTCTTACAACTTTTCCTCCAAAATTAATTCCAAAGCAAACTTTCTGATCCTTCCTCATTACTGTCATTGCATGTCTGACATTCCTTTCCCCCTCCTCTCCAACATACCTTTGTGATCTTCTGGAACTAATTCATCATAAGGTTAGAGGAGACCCTGACAAATATTTTCTCCAAAGACATAGCTGTGTTAGTCTGGAATAACATTATGCAAAGGGACCTTTTAGCACCTTTTGAGGCTGAGACAAAGAAGTTGCAACATAACCTTTCATAGACTTAATGTATTTCTTCAGATACATGGAACCCATGCATCTTTAGAAGTAGAATAAGTCTACGGAGGTTTTCTATGGTGCCACACGATCCCTTTGAATTTTCTCCAAGTTTGTTCGCAATGTAAATCTTGGAGAAATATCACAGGATCTCTGTATTTCCTGAAATTTTAATTCAGTATTGTCGGTGAGAGTCTGCATTAGTAGGAGAGGAAGATGTAGGTTTTCTTTTCAGTTTGGCACATAAAATTCCAAAGACAGGAACATCTCCAGATCTGTCAGCTAGCTGGACACAAATGAGCAGTCATTTGGAAACTTACTGAAATCCAGGCTACTGAAATGTGAAAAGTATTTGTTTCAAAACTGAAGACAGTTAGCGACATTTGAGTGATATGTTTGGTCAGGACTTCTAATGTTAATTTTTAAACGTATTCAACAGCTTTGCAACCTGACCAAATGGATGTCTCTGAGACATTTTTTAATGAAGGCGCATATAGAGTGGGCCATTGGTACCCACTGGGGTTTGGTTACAGGATCCCCTGTGGAGACCAAAATCTGTGGATGCCCAAGTCCCATTATATATAATGGTGTAGAAAAATGGCATCTCACATATCTGTCTGTCTGTCTGTCTGTCTATCTATCTATCTATCTATCTATCTATCTATCTATCTATCTAATCTATCAATATATTCCATGGATGCTGAATCCTTTGGTACAGAGAGCCAATTGTAATCAGTGTGTCCATGCTGTTAGCATGCTTCTGATTGATTGCTAAGAGGAGAATAGATCACGATCCTGACTGTGTCATCTTTGATGGGCTTCCATCCCATGTTGCCTTCACTCTGCAGTCCTTCCCGTGCTTTTCACCAAACCCTTGAAGGACCAAGAAGCGACCGAAGGGAAAAACGTCACTCTGCAGTGTGAGCTGAACAAAGCCTCTGTCGCCGTGGAATGGAAGAAAGGCCACAAGACCCTGAAGCCAGGCTCCAAGTACAAAATGAGGCATGAAGGTGCCGTGGCCGAACTGGTCATCCAAGGCCTGGACGTCACCGATTCTGGGAGTTACAGCTGTGTTTGTGGAGGGGAGCAGACCACAGCATCTTTAGAAGTCAAGGGTAAAGCCCCTTCCAAGAAACCACTTTTGTTGTTCCATTGCTCGCTCTGTTGCTTTGGTCCGATCCCCATGGCTTTCCTATCCTTTGTACTCACGGTTTACAGACCTTTTCCACTGGATGCATTCCAGTTTTTCCAGGGGAGACATCAAATACAATCCCAGTCATGAAGGTTCTTGGTCAGAATAGCGATGAAACTTAATTATTTCAGGAAGGTGTCCTACAATGGTGCATGACTTTGCATGAACAATATCTTCAAGAGGGTTTTCATAGATTCCTTTCTAGATAGCTCATTCTCTCAAACACCATCTCAATTGGTTTCAGAGGCGGCCCTAGGTAATTTTCAACGGTAAGCAAACAGTATTTTGGCGCCCCCCCCCCAACCAAACATTGATATATATTTTCTGTTTGTCGTGGGAGTTCTGTGTGCCATATTTGGTTCAATTCCATCATTGGTGGAGTTCAGAATGCTCTTTGATTGTAGGTGAACTATACATCCCAGTAACTACACTTGCCGCACTTGCTCCCTTGCCTGGCCGCTTTGGGTCCGGAGGCGTGCCTGAAGACCCCAGCGTGTGCACCAAAAGTCACCTCTTCTCCTGACTTTCTCCTCAGCCATTGGGACCAAGAGAGAGAGAGAGAGAGAGGTGGAGATGCCCACCTTTCCTGAAGGTAGGCGCAAAAACAAAGGAGGGAGCGGAGGTGGGAGATACCTCCAGCTGGAGGGGCTCTCTCTCTCTCTCTCTCTTGGTCCCAATGGCTGAAGAGAAAGTCAGGAGAAGAGGTGACTTTTGGTGCGCACGCTGGGGTCTTCAGACATGCCTCCGGACCTGAAGCGGGCCAGGCGCGGCGGCTCCGCCCCTTGGCCCACCCGCGGATTGGGGAGAGGAGTGGAGCGGGGGATCGGGAAAGGGAGCTGGTCATGGGGAAGGGATCGAACACAGAGAACGATTGAGTGCCGGCTCTGCTCATGCACCCGGTGGCCGGGTGGAGCAGGAATGAGAGGGGCTAGGCGAGGCTCAAGGGCCCGGCCCCTTTGGGAAGAGGATCGCCCGGCAGCGAGGCAAGAAAGCCGAGGCTCCCCCCGGACTGCTAGGGCTGTTGTGAGCTGAGGGGGCGCTCCTCAAGTGGCGGTCGAGGGGCATTTACAGAGGCGCCTCTGCGCCCCTGGCAAAAAAAAGTGTTCTGCGACCACTTACTTCGCGTAATGGACGAGCCGCCCCTGATTGGTTTCTATCAATCTTGGGCCAAGTACCTTTCTAAATTGCACAAATCCCTTTATTCATATCTATTTTACATCTCTTCCAAAGGAAAGAAAGCTCTAGAGAAGTTTAGACAACCAATGTTTCTCCCCAAGGGGTGATGCCTTTTGCTGCTCTGAGCGATGGAAATGCATTGGTTGCATGGACTCAGTTTCTTTTCTTCCCACCTGTTCCTTACTTATTTTCACACTCTGTCCTTATTGCCCTCCTCTCAGCCCTTCCTGTACTGTTCAAAGAAGGACTGAAGAACAGGGAAGTGGTAGAAGGCACCACGGCCACCTTGCGTTGTGAAATGACCAGAGCGGGAGCTGAAGTGGAGTGGAGGAAGGGGCCCCAGGCCCTCAAGCCCAGCGACAAATACCGAATGAGACAGGAAGGAGCGGCGGCAGAATTGCTGATTCGGGATCTGCAGGTGGAGGACACAGGAGAGTTTGCCTGCCTTTGTGGAGACCAAAAGACAACAGCCATCTTGACCGTTCATGGTAATGAAATGTTCTGCATTGCGTCGGAGATGTTTCGGAGTCTGCCTACTCTGTGGAAACTCCTGGTTTTGTGCTGTCTCCGTTCATTGTTCTGTTTCTTGTCTGGCTTTGTTGCCAATGTGGTGAAATACTGTGTATTGTGCTGTATTTATTTCTGATGTTACAATGTCTTCCTAAATGTTGTTGTTGTTGTTGTGTACCTTCAGTAATTTTTGACCTCCAGTGTTACAATGTCTTCTTAAATATGCTGTTGTTGTTCATGTTGTTGTGCGCCTTTAAGTAATTTCTGACCCCCAGTGTTCCAATGTCTTCCTAAATGTGTTGTTGTTGTTGTGAGGCTGTCATCTCCCAACCTCTGAGGATGCCTGCTATAGATGTAGGCACAACATCAGGACAGAATGCTTCTGGAACATGGCCATACAGCCCGGAAAACTCACAACAACCCAGTGATTCCAGCCATGAAAGCCTTCGACAATACATTGTTGTTGTTGTTGTTGTTGTTGTTGTTGTTGCTGTGTGCCTTCAAGTCGTTTTTGACCTCCAGTGTTACAATGTCTTCCTAAATGTGTTGCTGTTGTTGTTGTTGTTGTTGTTGTTGTGAGGCTGTCACCTCACAACCTCTGAGAATGCCTGCTATAGATGCAGGCAAAATGTCAGGAGAGAATGCTTCTGGAACATGGCCATGCGGCCCAGAAAACTCACAACAACCCAGTGATTCTGGCCCTGAAAGCCTTTGACAATACATTGAGCATCTCTACGGGAGAAACTGTTCCAAGACACACGAGACCTCACAACCTCTGGGGATGCTTGCCATAGATGCAGGTGAAACGTCAGGAGAGAATACTACTGGAACATGGCCATACAGCCCGGAAAACTCACAACAACCCAGTGATTCCGGCCATGAAAGCCTTCGACAATACATTGTTGTTGTTGTTGCTGTGTGCCTTCAAGTCGTTTTTGATCTCCAGTGTTACAATGTCTTCCTAAATGTGTGTTGTTGTTGTTATTGTTGTTGTTGTTGTGAGGCTGTCACCTCACAACCTCTGAGAATGGCTGCTATAGATGCAGGCAAAATGTCAGGAGAGAATGCTTCTGGAACATGGCCATACAGCCCAGAAAACTCACAACAACCCAGTGATTCCGGCCATGAAAGCCTTTGACAATACATTGTTGTTGTTGTTGTTGTTGTTGTGTGCCTTCAAGTCATTTCTGACCCCTGATGTTACAATGTCTTCCTAAATGTGGTGTTGCTGTTGTTTACTTGTTGTGGGCATTTAAAGTCATTCGATGAAATCTGCCCACTATATCTGGTGCAATTGTGTGCCATTGTCCTCATCGTACTATTTGCATTGAGAAGGATTTGTATGTGCTTGTAATCTGTTTGTGAGAGCTGCCCTGAAAAGAAACTGCAATTAATTAACAGCAGTGAATGGAATGATAATGGGCAATTTATTTGGATTTTGTCCAATGTGTTGCTAGGAAAAAGTAGGAAAAACCCAATATTTCCTTTTTAGAGGAGTATAATTTGATGTTTATGCTAAAATTTAAAATGTCAGTTTTTAAAAACTGGGTTGCTGTGAGTTTTTTGGGATGTATGACTATGTTCCAGTAGCCTTATTTCCTGACATTTTGCCTGCATCTGTGGCTAATGTCACCTTCAGAGGTTCTGCTGGCAGTGAAGCAAGTGGAGTGTATTTATACCTGTGGAATAATGTCCAGTGTGGGAGGAAGAACCCTTGTCTGTTTGAAGCAAGTGTGGATGTTGCCATTGGCAAGCTTGAATAGCATTGAGTAGCCATGATGCTGCAAAGTCAATCAGTGAAGGTATCTGCGTGGAGGTAGCCTGGTGCCTGTTGCCTGGGGGCACCCTCCGTTCTTACCATACATCAAGGGATGTGTCCCAGTGTGGAACACATCTCACCACACTAAAATAGTGGATGTGGCTCTTATCGAGACATGCCGCATTATCACGGGGTGTCTGTGCCCTACACCACTGGAGAAACTACACTGCTTAGCCGGTATTGCACCACCTGACATCCGCCGGGAAGTAGCAGCCAATAGTGAAAGGATCAAGGCAGAGACATTTGCAGCTCATCCCCTGTTTGGGTATCAGCCAGCACGTCAATGACTTAAATCTAGAAATAGTTTTCTAAGATCTACAGAGACACTCGCTGGAACACCTCAGCAAGCAAGAGTCCAAAAGTGGCAGGCTCAAACCCAGCACCTCAACCAATAGCTGATACCAAATGAGAAACTCCCCCCTGGGCACACAGAGGACTGGGCAACTTGGAAGGAGCTGAACAGATTGCGCTCTGGCACCACAAGATGCAGAGCCAATCTTCAGAAATGGGGCTACAGGGTGGAATCCACGACATGCGAGTGTGGGGAAGAGCAAACCACTGACCACCTGCTGCAATGCAACCTGAGCCCTGCCACATGCACAAGGGAGGGCCTTCTTGCAGCAACACCAGAAGCACTCCAAGTGGCCAGATACTGCTCAAAGGACATTTAATCAAGTACCAAACTCACAAATTTTGTATTTTGTCTGTTTGTTTTCTTTGTTCTGTTAGAACAAAGCAAACTGAATGCACAAGGAAACTGATGAAGATACACAACCTCCAAACAATCTACAGACCCACCAAGAAAATCCAACAAATACTACATTTAGTAAAGGACAAGAGGGATCCTCTAACCACTGCAGGAGTCTAGTGCATACCAGGCAGCTGTGGACAAGTCTACATAGGGATCCCCAAATGCAGCAGCATTGCCCAGACATTAATCAAGGAACATGGAAGGCACGGCAGACTCATTCAACCAGAGAAGTCATCTATAGCAGAGCACCTGATGAACCAATCTGGACACAAAATATTATTGGAGAACACAGAAATGCTGGACCACTCTCACAACCATCATGCCAGACCACACAGAGAAGTCACTGAAATCTACAAGCACATGGGCAATTTCATCAGAAAGGAGGAAACCATGAGAATGAACAAAATCTGGTTACTAGTATTAAAAAAAACACCAAAATCAAGAGAGAAAATAATGAACATGACTCAGAAACAGTGAAACTCCTGACAGCAAACAATCAAGGGCCAGTTAACACCTCCCAGACAAAGGATGCCTCCAGGTAACAGCATCCAGGTTACCTTTATGCAGATACTCTCACTGATTGACTTTGCAGCTTCATGGCCACTCAATGCTAACCAAGCTTGCTCATTGCAGTATTCACACTTGCTTCAAACAGACAAGGGCATTATTCCATTATTTCTCTCACGTGGGCATTATTCCAGATATATATCTTATCTATATAAATAAAAATGTAATTTTCATTTGTGGGATTAATATAACTCAAAAACCACACGATGAATTGATACCGAATTTGGACACAATACACCTATCAGGCCAACGAGTGCCTATCACTCATAAAAAACATTGAAAAACACAGCAGAAGAGACTTATAAAGCCAAAAATACAACAAAAACCCACATTACAAACCATGCACAAAACCACATATAGACATAAACACTCATACACAAATATATACACACACACATCCATATATACAGACACAATATACACATAAAGTGGGAAAGAAGGAAGTAAGGAAGGAGAAAAGGAGGGATAGAAAGAGGGAAAGAAGGAGGGAAGGAGAGAAGGAAAGGAAGGCAGTGAAGGAAGGAAGGAGAGAAGGAAATAAAAAAGTGAAAGAAGGATGGAAAGAAAGAGGGAAGGAAGGAGAGAAGGAACAAAAGAGAGAAAGAGGGAGGGAAGGAAGGAAAGAAAGAGAGAAGGAAGGATGGAACCAAAGAGCAAAGGAAGGGAGGAAAGAAACAGGTAGAGAAGGAAGAAAGAAAAAGGGAAAGAAGAAGGAAAAGAAAAAGAGGGAGGGAAGAAAGGAGAGAAAGAAAGGAAAGAAAGAAGGAGGGAAGGTTTGGCCACAATCATTCATAAAACACTGAAAAACACAGCAGAAGAGACTTAAAAAGCCAAAAAACAAAAAAAAAACCCCAAAAAACATTACAACACATGCGCATAACCACATAAATACACATATACAGAAATATATAAATACACACATATACACATATATACACACGCAAAACACAAATACACAGACTGGGCACAGCAACGCGTGGCAGGGGATGGCTAGTGTGTGTGTGTGTGTGTGTGTGTGTGTGTGTGTATATATATATATATACACACACACACACACACACACACACATACATACACACATACATACACACACACACACCCCACTTGCTCCACTACCAACAGAACCTAAGAAGGTGCCATTAGCCACAGATGCAGGTGAAACGTTAGAAGAGAATGCTGCTGGAACATGGCCATACAGCCCGAAAAATACACACCAACCTAGCGATTCTGACCATGAAAGTTTTTTGACAATACAATTTTTAAAAAGTTGTGGCCAAATGACATTTTCTCAAAATGGCATTACTCCCATGAAACAATTTTCAGTACTTTGTATTGCATTCTGTTGTTGACAATGCCATACTAAGTTGAGTCTAACTAGCAAAATATGACTCTCTGGAAGGCCCCACTGATTAGAATGGGGCTCCTTTGAACTTGGTGGAAGAGCCTGTTGTTCGTGGGACGTATTGGACCATGACATGCTCTTTGTCCATGTTGCACCTTCAGCCGTACCCGCACATTTCCAAGAAGAGCTCAAAAGCAAAGACGTGACCGAAGGGGAGGCGGTCATTCTCCACTGCGAACTCAACAAGGCTGCCCCGGTGGAGTGGAGGAAGGCCGGGCAGCCGCTCAAGGCAGACGACAAACACAAAATCAAGCAGAAGGATCGTGTGGCTGAGCTGGCGATCCACAATGTCACCGAGCAGGATGGCGGAGACTATTCCTGCATTTGTGGTGATCAGAAGACATCTGCGTCTCTAACGGTGCATGGTAAATATTATATATCTAGAAAAGTGTCATATTGCTGGTGTTCTGTGGCATTTCTTTATATCTAGATTCCAATACAACTTTGTATACATTCTAGATGAGGTTCTGTTCATAGTGTTAAGTCTCCTTTTTCTATTTCCCAAATCCTTTCTACAGTCATTCCAGAATCCCATTCCATGCCATCTTCTTTCATACTGTCATTGCTGTAAATAGTTATACAATATGACCTACTAGTTCATGGATTCTATCTCCTTGTGATTATGGAAACTCAGACTCCAAAAACTATTTGTTCCAAGATTTATATGTTTATCTAGGTCCTCCAGTACAACTCTGTGGTGTGCTTCATACTCGAGTCTAGTAAAAAATATAGGGTTTGCTATTATCCACATTTTCTAGGTACAGTATAGCCTCGCTTATGCAACACTAGCCATCCCCTGCCAGGCGTTGCTGTGGCCCAGTCTGTTGATCTGGAAAATAAAGTAATGAGAAAGTGTTGGTTTCTAATATATGTAATTTCTTTGTGCTTGTGGGTAAACAGTATTTCTTGCTGTTTCTTTGTCAGTGTTGATGTGGAGATTGTCTGGTTTGCCCACTCTGGAACATGCAACATATAATTGTCCTTCTTTTGATACTATATCTCTCTGTGTGTGACTCATATATATATCTATCTATATCTATGGTTGGATGGCTTTTTGTCAGGAGGGCTTTGATTACATTTTATTGCCCTGTTGAAGGGAGTTGGACTGGGTGGCCTTAAGTATGGGGGTTCTGTGTGGGACGTTTGCCCCAATTCTGTCATTGGTGGGGTTCAGTATGCTTTTTGATTGTGGGTGAACTATAAATCCCAGTAACTACAACTACCAAATATCAAGGTCTATTTTCCCCAAACTCCATTTGTGTTCATATTTGGGCATATTGAGTATTCGTGCCAAGTTTGGTCCAGATCCATCATTGTTTGAGTCCACAGTGCTCTCTGGATGTAGGTGAACTACAACTCCCAAACTCAAGGTCAATGCCCCCCAAAACCTTCTAGTGCAGTGTTTCTCAACCTGGGGGTCGGGACCCCTAGGGGGGTTGCGAGGGGTTGCCAGAGGGTTCACCAAAGACCATTAGAAAACACAGTATTTTCTGCTGGTCATGGGGGTTCTGTGTGGGAAATTTGGTCCAATTCTATCATTGGTGGGGTTCAGAATGCTCTTTGATTGTAGGTGAACTATAAATCCCAGCAACTACAGCTCTCAAATGTCAAGGTCCATTTCCCCTAAATTCCACCAGTGTGAACATTTGGGCATATTGAGTATTTGTGCCATGTTTGGTCCAGAGCTATCATTGTTGAAGTCCATAGTGCTCTCTAGATGTAGGTGAACTATAACTCCAAAACTCAATGACAATGCCCATCAAACCCTTCCAGTATTTTTTCTTGGTCATGGGAATTCTGTGTGCCAAGTTTGGTTCAATTCCATTGTTGGTGAAGTTCAGAATGGTATTTGATTGTAGGTGAATTATCAATCCTTGCAACTACAACTCTCAAATGACAAAATCAACCCCCCCCAACCCCACTAGTATTCAAATTTGGGTGTATTGGGCATTTGTGCCAAATTTCGCCCAGTGAATGAAAGTACATCCTGCATATCAGATATTTACATTATGATTCATAAGGGTAGTAACATTACAGTTATGAAGTAGCAACGAAAATAATGTTATGATTGGGGGTCACCACAACATGAGGCACTGTATTAAGGGGTCACGGCATTAGGAAGGTTGAGAATCACTGTTCTAGTGTTTTCTGTTGGTCATGGGAGTCCTGTGTGACAAATTGGTTCAATTCCATCATTGGTGAAGTTCAGAATTCTCTTTGATTGTAGGTGAACTATTAATCCCAGCAACTACAACTCCCAAATGACAAAATCAATTCTTTGAGTGATGGTCACTCCTTGGGTTAGTAGGTGTCTTGTGGCCAAATTTGGTGGCCTTTCATCCTGTGGTTTTTGAGTTATGTTAATCCCACAAACGAACATTACATTTTTATTTATATAGATCGATACAACAGAATGTCAGCTAAATGAAAATGTTGGATAATATGGATTCTCCTACTGTTACCCGTCCAACGTTGCGCTAGACACTTAGAATACTAACAATAGGGACTCAAAGAGTTAAGGCAAGGCAATGCTTCAGGGATAGACCGGTCCAGCAGGAAGTGCCTGGATGTGGAAGAGGAACGTGGAAATCACAGAGGGAAGGAGGGAGGATGCTTCCGCTTCCGGTCCTGCCTCTTTTCCCCCTTTCCTCCCTTCTCCTCCTCCTTGCCTTGCCTTTTTTACTTACTGGGAATGGAGATGAGAGTTCTCCTTTAATTGAAGGAGAAGTGTTGGAGGAAAAACGGGCATTGATAAGTGCGTCGGATAAGACAGAATGTCAGATAAGTGAAGGTCGGATAAGCAAGACTCTACTGTATCCACATGGGGTTTTGGAATGTATCCACTGTGGATATGGGGGTTCATACTGTACTTTGATGGATATGCAATATTTGAAAGCAACCAAGTCACTGCTGAGTTCCTATGCCCTGAACAAACAATGATTTCAAGGCACAAAAGGATCTATTTTTGGTTGACATGTGTGCTGTGTGAGTATCAGAAAATACTCTAATTGTAGTGTTTTCCCATAGCTGCACATGAATGCATATGCGATACAAATATTTTGTTGGCAGTGTTACAGGAGGGTACTGGTAAAGTTTGAAAGCTCTGCTCAGAACAGTAGATGGTATAAAGTTTTTCATGGTATAAACTGCATATTTATGTATGTGTGTGAATCTGGAGGGAAGATTTGGAATTAGCACCTTTGATTTTAATACTATCATTAATTTGAAACTTGGACAAGGTTCATGGCTTCATTAGGAACACGTAATCCCACACATTTTTGTACTGTAAAATTTAGAGTGGGCAAGCTAGTTATGGGTGGTCTATCAGAGTTTCGCAACCTGGGGGGGGGTCGTGGGGGGTGTCAGAGGGGTCACTAAGACCATCAGAAAACACAGTATTTTCTGTTGGTCATGGAGTTCTGTGTGGGAAGTTTGGCCCAATTCTCGTTGGTGGGGTTCAGAATGCTCTTTGATTGTAGGGAACTATAAATCCCAGCAACTACAACTCCCAAATGTCAAGGTGTATTTCCCCCAAACTCAATCTGTTTTCACATTTGGGCATATTGATATTTGTGCCAAGTTTGGTCCAGATCCATCATTGTTTGAGTCCACAGTGCTCTCTGGATGGAGGTGAACTACAACTCCCAAACTCAAGGTCAATGCCCAACAAAGCCTTCCTGTATTTTCTGTTGGTCATGGAGGTTCTGTGTGGGAAAATTGGGCCAGTTCTCTCAGTAGGGTTCAGAATGCTCTTTGATTGCAGGTGAACTATAAATCCCAGCAACTACAACTCCCAAATGTCAATGTCTATTTTCCCCAAACTCTACCAGTGTTCACATTTGGGCATATTGAGTATTTGTGCCAAGTTTGGTCCAGATCCATCATTGTTTGAGTCCACAGTACTCTCCAGATGTAGGTGAACTACAACTCCCAAACTCAAGATCAATGTCCAACAAAGCCTTCCTGTATTTTCTGTTGGTCATGGGAGGTTTTGTGTGCCAAGTTTGGCTCAATTGCTTGATTGGTGGAGTTAACTATAAATCCCAGCAACTACAACTCCCAAATGACAAAATCAATCCACCGCAACACCAGTATTCAAATTTGGGTGTATCGGGATTTGTGCCAAATTTGGTCCAGTGAATGAAAATACATCCTGCATATCAGATATTTTACATTACGATTCATAACAGTAGCAAAATTACAGTTATGAAGTAGCAACGAAAATAATGTTATGGTTGGGAGTCACCACAACATGAGGAACTGTATTAAGAAGCTAAAGTAGAAAACATCTCGAGACTAAACCTTGGGAAACACTGGTCTTGAGATGAATCTGGAGGCCAGTTGTAGGTTTTCCTTTATCCACCAGCTTATGTGCTGCTTGTAAATCCCAAGGAATGTATTGGAATCTTCCAGCCATGATGACCTTGCCTTGTTTAACACGATCTTTGCGATCTCCAGCTCTGCCTCCACGATTCAAAACAGAGTTGAGGAACCTGGAAGCTGCAGAAGGTGGAACGGCGACTTTGCATTGTGAACTGACCAAAGTGGCCGCTCCTGTGGAGTGGAAGAAGGGCAGCGAGGCGCTCAGGCCAAGTGCCAAATACGAAATGAAGCTGGAAGGTGTTGTTGCTGAGCTTGTCGTTCACAACCTGGAACTGGCTGATGGTGGAGAGTACAGTTGCATGTTTGGTGACCAGAAGACTTCCGCTTCCTTGAAAGTCAATGGTATATTGAAGGTTCTACTTCTTATGATCAGATACAACCCATGTAGGTTTGAAGAACATCCTTGATTGTTCTCCTGGGCAGTCAAGGAATCCAAATAGATTTACTTATTTTGTAAACAGAATGATAGCTCATATATTTTAGAACTTAAGAAAGCAACCAGACGTTTAGAAGTCAGAATCCTTATTTAAAAGATGGCAAGAACATTATGTGTGGGATAGCATGGTTCCATTATAAATAAATGCATTAATTCTGTTGACATGTTAGTCCTTTACTATGATTCTCAAGAGACTCGAGGAGGAACATTTTAAGCTTCTTAGGCCCCTTCCACACTGACCTATATCCCAGAATCTGAACCTACCTCTGAGGATGCTTGCCATAGATGCAGGCGAAACGTCAGGAGAGAATGCCTCTAAAACTTGGCCATATAGCCCGCAAAAACCTACAACAACCCAGTGATTCCGGCCATGAAAGCCTTCGAAAATACATTAAACCTAGATTATTTGCTTATCCCAGATTATCTGGCAGTGGAGACTCATATAATCCATTTTAAAGCAGATAATCTGGATCAGATCCTGGGATATACAGCAGTGTAGAAGGGGCCTTAGACTCCCCTATTACATGTGAAGCATTTCCATAAAAAAAATTTTAGCAGTGTGGAAGGTAAATGGAGGATATAGTAAGAACAAAAGACTGAAGCTGGGCCTAATCCAGTTATTCTGTTCACAAGATGACCAACTAGTTGTCCATGGAAACCTTTGGGCACCTTATGAGTACCCAAAGGTTGGTGTTCATGCTTTCCAGGAAGCATATACAGAGAAATGCTCTGATATTGGAGGTTCTAACCATGGCTGGTCACCACTCTTGACCTCCTTCTCCATGAAGCTGCTCAATCCTTTAAATTGGCAGCTCTCTCTATTTCTCATGGAAGGGAACTGTGAAATTCCTGGAACACAGCATGACAAACCATGTGGTCCATATTCCTTGAATATCTGTGCACATCGTTGGTTTTGCATTGACATGGTCTGTTCATTCTAAACTTCTCAGCCCTCCCTGCCCAGTTCAAGAAAGGCCTGGAGAACCAAGAAGCCCTGGAAGATGGGACGGCCACCTTCCAGTGTGAACTCACAAAACCATCTCCCGTGGAATGGAGGAAGAAGCATAAGTTGCTCAAACCGAGTGACAAATACAAGATGAGGCAGGACGGCGTCCTCTCAGAGCTTGTGATCTCCAACCTGGAAGCGAAAGATGCCGGAGACTATTGCTGTGTTTGTGGAGATCAGAAGACATCTGCGGCTCTGACAGTGCATGGTAAATTACTGCATCCCTCCGTAAATTTGTGGAGAAGCCTACACGTTCCTTTCTACTTGTCTCATCTGTTGATGTCAGATTCTCCTTTGTAATGTGACATTTTTGTGGTCTCTGTCAAATCACTGGAAATCCCCTTGGTCTATTTAGTGTGGCCCCACAAGTTCTAGAACTGTAATTTCCGGTCTCC